ATTATCGAAGATTTGCGTTTTGATTTTTAGCCATGTAGATGTTTGTAAAAAGCTACTGCCTTTTTGGTGACCATGGCAGTTCCGTGCGTTTGCAAGTAATTTTTCCGTCGAATTATAATGAATTCCGTCTAAGTGCTTTCTCTAGTAAAGGTTTTGAAATGGGGGGAATGGGGGGAATGGGGGAGGGAGGGGGGATGTCAAAAATGTATAAAGTCTTCTACACTGTGTATACTATGTTTATATGCCCTCAGCTTGTGGAATATTTGTGTATAAACTCGTACCGTGCATTGAAACGAGTATCACTTTTTTCGGAAGCCTTGTTTTCAGTCTGTGAAGTTCATGAAGTTTGTTGTATCTTTGACTTCTATTTTTGTGCGATCGGCTGAAGAATTTGATAGCTTTTCTGTTACTTCTCCTGTTGGTGATGTTTTTGTGCCCCACTTATAAAGACTGTAAACACATCGAGGAACAATTGTTTTTTTTTAAGCCGGCCAAATATGCCATAAGCAAGTCTTTGCCTTTCTCCATAATCATGTAAAGGCTTTAATTTGTCCATCAGTTTAAATAAGGCGGTGAAGTAGAGCAACCTGCGTTTAACCCGGCAGGATCGGAATGAAACTGTTCATTGCGGCGGGATGGTAGGATGCATTGAAAAATAGCGGCGGAATGCAGGATTGGATAAGCCGGTCGAATATGGACCCCATATAAAGCAAGAACCGCGTGATTATCGATATCCACGCTTTCTTTCCATACGTCCATTAGCAAAATTAAGGTAAAGAATTTCTCGATGACAACGAAAGAAGTGATACGTGACACCTAAAGAATGTTGTAAAACCAAACTTTATTTGTTTCATGAACAAATGATAGGTCAAATCGAATTTTTTAAGATTAATAAAAGAGCTATTTTCATGTTTATCTGAAAATTAGTAAATTAGTAGTTTAGTAAATTAGTAGCCGTTAATTAAGTGCTTGATATTTCAGAGTCCAATTCTCTTCTCAACTCGGAACGAAGAACGAGCCCATAGTTGAATATTCATGTTAAAAAGTTGTAATTTTAATTTTCGAAGGAAGTAGAATCTTTTGCCAAGTAAAGAAATTTCGATCAAACAAAGCATGCAATTGTCTCTTGAAATTCTCTGCTCTCATGGTGTGCTGACAGATGTCGCACAATCCTGGGGGCCGTACCTTGAATGATCCTTCGGGAACAGTTCACGCAACGGATAAGTGTTTGTACTTGTTCGACAAAGTGTTTGCTGACTAGAATTCCACGGGAGGGTCATCGGCGTTTATTTGGTTTTCAGAGACCGAAAGTTGAGCGAGTAACCAACAGCAACAGCATCAAACAGTACCCCAGAATCGAACAACACGCAGAACTCCTTTTCGCACAACTACAAGGCCAACTATGTGCGGATATTCTTCATCATCGCGTACAACGCATGCGCAGAACGTAAATGCGCTTACCGACCTAGCTTTAATCTAAACTCAATATAAAATCAGCAGGTTTCAATGTAGCAGAGAGCGATAAGTCTTTCATTGTGTAACCGCATTCACGACTTAAAAAGGAATTGGTTTCGAGCGTGGCTTCGTTTGCATCCCGAGCACAGTGCACTGGGCGTAAGCCGTCGATAAGGGAGGTATATAATCTAATAGAACAAAAATTGATGAGGAAAGTGAAAAGTTGAAATAAAAACTTAAATCACTGTTAACAATTTATGTGAATGAAAGACAACACGTGTCCAAAGTATAGCGAACAGAGACGATATTCTTTTCCTCACTTTTTCACAGTCAATTTTTTTTAGCGATGTCATGAACTGAAACTCAAAGTGATAGATTTGTAACATTAAAGAACTAACAAACACACCGATGGATTCTGTTACACTGTTGGGTTTAAAACCCGCAGAGGCCTGTACTTCCTTTCTTTAAAAAAAAACCCTCAAAACATGGATGGAAATATATCTAGTTCCGCGAACCTTCAAAATAACACATTTTGCATTAAGGATAGGTTTCAATTTAATTATTTGATATTGCGGTTGACTGGCGTCTTAGCTTTTTGCCATAACCGCTATACGCAATATATATGCAAATACATTTTATTCTAGTTTTTCTTATAAAACGACCATTTGTTTTATCATGGACTAGTAAATTATTTGGCCCATAAACCCGGTTACCATGAAAGCTATAATATTTCTTGTACTTTTTGTGGTAAAAAATATTCCTGGCGCTCCTATTGCTTTCAACGGCAATGCATATATATCTCTGGATTTGAAATCGACTGAATCGATAGAGATCCATCCCCGGCAGCTGATTTTACAGCTAAGATTCCGCACCATACACCCGAATGGGCTTCTTATGTACAGTAAAGGAGCCAGTGGCCAATATTTCAGACTAGAGATCATCCAGGGAAGAGTAAGGTGAGAAAAAAAAATGTTAACCTCTGGACCAAGGAAGAAAAAGATTCTGATCAAGTAAAGTAATCCTCGTCAGTTTTAAATTGAGAACGCATTTCATCAAGTGATTCTAATTTGTCTTTGCTGTTTAGATGTATAGACGATGAATTTGTTTTGTATCGTCCGGTTTTCTCCTACATAAAAAAAATTGTGTATTTTCGAGCTGTTTTCTAATGAAACGTTCTAGATTACATTCTTAAATATTGCAAACAGAGGCAATTTTCGTCTGTTTCACCTGATTTTCCGTCGCGAGATGCAAAGCTAGAAATTTATCTTGGCAATCTAGGTCAAGTTTAAGCTTCTCGAAATCAGGAAGAAATAAATTCCAGCCTCGACTTTTTGATTAAAAGTCGTTTTCTGAAACTGAACCTGCCAGCAGACTTGCATAATCCAAGGGTGCGTTACTGGCCGCCCTGTGTACCTGATCCTTTGTGGCATTTGTTGCTGGGCCCCCCGTATACCTGATCCTTCGTGGCTTTTAAGTTACAAGCTTGAATTCTTTGAGCTTTCATAACTATATTCAAAGTCAAAGCAAAATTTACGCATGTTACCTCTTGTGTATGTATTTGAACTAAAGCTTATGATCGCTGATGAGTCGGATTAGTCGAAGCGTGGTCGGTATCAACTCTCCAGTGTGTCTTCCTGTAAGGCTTAAAAGATGATGAAATTTGCTGATCGACCGAAGCAGTACGTACTTAATTTTCATCGCCGATCACAACAACGTTTAACACTGATCCTAAAAACTTTCATTTAACGTTTGAAACTGGACCGGAGAACTCGTTAAATCTTCTTAGACTTTCAGTGAAGTATAAAAATGAAATAATGGTTTAATAATTTACCTGAAAGAAACGAATTGTTTTCTTTTACTGCGCATTGTTTCAGAAAAGTCTATTCACGCAATAGGCTGAGGATCGGAGATAAGATAATTCTCGAAATGATTCCGTAACTCATAGAGGCTCAAATAATAAGCTAATTTATTTTCTTGGTGCCAGACTTATTAATTTTTTATTTTAAAAATATTCAGAAACTGTTGGACATTTGGTGTCCTGTATTCTTGAGTTTAAATCAATATAAAGCTTGGTACGTTCGAGCGGCGAAAATCTCGATCGCTTCTCAACATAAACTAACTTGAAATAAACGAGCAGGAACTTAGGGAACAATGAGGTCATTTCTATGATCCCTTCTGAAAATTCTTCGGATTGTAAACGTCGTATGAATTATTTGCAATTGGCACTTCAGGTATTTGAAAATATCAGATAATAATAATAAGAGGTACAAATGTCTTCTTATTGTAAGAGAAGTCTAAACATTAGTATCTCACCACACGAGGGATAGCAATATTTTTCACATTAAAATTCATGACAGAAAGAAATATTTACCCCCTACATCAGGAAATCTTGCTGTAGATAACCAGATCCAAAACCGCAAATAAAAATAAGGATCAGCAAGAAAAGATGTATTAAAATGAACATGCATATGTGATGTGTTTATTGGCATATCTTTATCATTTTTTAAGCATAAACTAGTGTCCCAGGAGTTCAAAGTTTATTGGGGAATATAACTATATCACGTTATTACGAAAAATTGTCTAAGTTAAGTCCTAGAACATTCTACAGAACAGTCTAGGACCCGAAGTCATCCAGCCGTAACCTTCTTGTATTAGAACATTCTAGAACGTTCTATTTTTTATGTAATTACTTAGAAATCGTGTTAATCTTCTTAATTTAGTTCTTTCGAGAAGTTTCTAGATCCTTGGACTTTATGTATATAAGAGCGATAGTTTCGTCTAAGACAGAGAAGTGTGAAGAAGCTCAGTGCTGTAAAGTCGAGAAGTTAACTACCTGGAAATAAATCAGTTTGTTGCTGATACCGACGATCCTGAGTTTTGTCTAGGAACAACTCTGCTCTACATTGACACTCGTAACACATGTCACAATTGGTTTAAAAAGACTGACTCCTAGAGTATCACTAGCATGAACTTGTAGCATTGATTCAGCAACGTCCAATGAAGCAAGCAACCTTTAAATTTCTGGGTGTACGCGTTCTGTTGGAATTCTCAAACCGTTAACCGAAAGAAATTCCATGTTTAAATACATGATGCAAATCCACTTCTGTCCAATAACCCTAAAAGATCCTAACTATATTCACGACTCACTACTCTTGGGAAGTCTTTTCGAACATCTCACCACTTCCAGAGCATTTCACATAAGAACTCGGCGTCGTTTCAAAGTACCCTAGCATACCACACTCTTGCATGAAATTCACAATTTCCACTTTTCTCTAGATATGCTACATACCCTACCTTATAAAAGGGAGTGCAATCTTTCCCTCTGTTCAACCCCCTTCCCCCTCACACGCATAACCACTCCCACCCACACATACCCACCCAGACAAACGAAGGGCGGAAAGGCTCACTATAAATAAGTTACTTACAAACCTACACCAGGTACTCAATCAACAGGTCATAAGAACATCTTATTCTAAATTTGAATTTGTCTGCAGATTAAAGTACGGAAAATACACGATCCTTAAACCTTCCTTTTACTTTCCAGCTATTCCTCCTATTTTCATGGTAGCTACCAAAATGGCCTCCTCACAATCTTGTCCCCAAATAAAGACCTGAATGACGACAAATGGCACAATGTGACACTCATTAGACACGGACGAAAATTTGCCCTCTGTGTCGACAAGATCACTGCATTCCACATACACCAGGGAGAGTATGAAAAGCTCGGCATGAATGACGTCATTTACGTCGGTGGAATGACAGAGCAAAGTTACCACTCCCTACGCGTTACAGGGTCTAAAAATTTCCGTGGATGTCTTAGAGATGTAAAGTACGGCAACGTAAATATTCTGGCTGGTGCTGTAATGGGACTACATGGTTTTGAAATCCATAAAAAAATTTCATTCCAGTGTAAATCTGCAGCTCATCGCATTTTTTCAAGCATCAGTCCTAATTTGAGCGTGCGGATACCTTACAGAGCAATGGGTGACTGTTTCTTTACGACAAGTTTTCAGTTCCGTACCTATTTTAAAGAGGGTTACTTCATTTCGGTTATTTCACCCAGAGTGAAGTCTTACCTTTTTCTCTCGAACGGCGTTCTGGTCTTGAAAGTCGTTGACGTTAGTGGATTCAAATCAGAGCTGAGACTGGGCACTAACCTTAATGATGGTGAATGGCATCAACTGTCAGTGCGTATCGCAGGCTTGGAAATTGCTTTACAACTTGACGGACAGGTCACGACGAAAGAGGTTAATAACTCTCTTTTATCGATTAGAAATTCCAGAAACAAGCTCCGACCAAAGATTTCTCTTGGGAAAGAAAGGAAAATGAAATCGAATATATCGAGCTTTGTTGGGTGTATATTGGATTTGATAATACAGGATCGTCAAATTCCATTGAGCGGCATACGAAGAAAGAAGTACGTTCAGAGTGTGGTGATGAAATCTTGTCATTTGGAAAACTACTGTGAGCCTAATCCTTGTAAAAATGGCGGGCAATGCTCGCAAGATTGGAAGCAGTTTTATTGTAATTGCGATCACACAGATTTTGAGGGTGAAATTTGCGAAATTTCGATTTACAAGCCAACTTGTGAACATTACAGATTCATGGGGCTGCAGACGAGTGCTTTATGTTTGTTGGATTCCAAGGGAGAAGGAAACCCTTACACTGCATTCTGTAATGTAACACGCTCGTCACGAACATACACGATTATAGCTCACAATAAAATGGCGGAAACTCCCGTTGGAGACGGGGAACTCTTGGACGCCCTCTACAGCCATGAAATCACGTATACTGCCCGAACAGGAATGGATCAGATTAAGGCTCTGATAGAGAAAAGCAAACATTGCCGTCAGTATGTAGAATTTCATTGTTTTGCTTCTAAACTTTTTAACACGCCTCGCGGATCCTCACAAGCGTTTTGGTTATCACGTGACAAGGTAAGACAGGAATACTGGGGAGGAGGACAACCAGGGAGTAAAAAGTACGCATGCGGAATGACCGAGCCACCTTCATGTGTGGGTAAGAAATTCTGCAACTGTGATGCCAGGGATAGGATTTGGCGCGTTGATGCGGGGTACTTACGTGACAAGAGCACTTTACCTGTGACTGGGCTGCTTTTCAACAAGAAAAGCAAGAAATCAGATTTCACAGTTGGACCATTAGAATGCTGGGGAACTGAGGAAGACAGCGAAGCATCAGCAAGCTTCGGTGAAAATCTGAACGAAAAACAAGTTGATCGTCGATTGAAGAGGGTCTGCCTAAGTGAGTCAAAGTCGGAGAAAAAGTTTGTGAAGGATTCACTGGAAAGCCCACAATTTTCAAGCACCACCCTAGAACAGAGTCAAGGGTCGCCAAGTAACATCGCGTCTGTAACAGCAAACGCTTCTCAAAACTTTTCTATCCTTTCAGAAAACAAAACGTTTGCTGTTAAGACCCTTCAAAGTGGGAATTTCAGCCTGGACAATTCCCAGAAAGCCAATGCAATGGAAAAAACCGCAAACACGGATAAAAATGAAGAAACTGGGTTGTCAACCATGGCCATTGTTGTAATATCATTTACACTCACCTTCGTTATTTCTTTTTTTATCGTATTTGACAGAATCAATCGAAAATTCAAGTCTCCATTCCCTTTTAGATATTTTGGGGCAAAAAAGGTTGATGTTGCTGACTAAAATGTGAGAAAATCTGACAAAAGCACAATTTTAAAGCTGCATGGTTTGACTTCCTAAACAGAACTTGCCCTCTAAGCTTTGAATATATGCAAAGTATTCTATCACCTTACAGTACATTTATCTAATTAGCGAAGTATTCTCTTTAATTAATCCATACAGGTGTAGGTGGGTCGGTCAGAATCTATGTTGCGCCTGCGGTCAAACATGGAGCATGCACAAATGGGTAAATTTGAGACGCTCTTCTGAGTTCCGCAAGGACACAGACTGTAAACAGATAAGGACCCGTAGACTTTGTAAAATCCTCTTTGTGGTTATGGTTTCATTGCAAACACTTTTTTTTGTTATCTTTGTTACCTGATCGCTAGAGAGAGTTGACTTGGTTCCGTATCGTGGAAAGCTTTACTGTGATGAAAAACGTTGAATACCAGGGCACCTTACGTCGCGTGCAACAAAATCAAAAAAGGAAAATGGAAAATGGGAAGAACACTTGGATGAGAGGGGAAAATGAGTGAATTGATAAATGAAACTTGAATAAAAGTAAATGAATAATTAATAAAGTATTAAAATGGATTTTTGCCGTCCAGGAGATTGGTTTAAGATACACCATCCCTTGCGTAGCAATTATTTGTCTCAGTAAAGAAGGAACCGAATGTGTTGAATTATTTGCCCGATATGCGCATCGTGTACATCTAGCGGATTTAAAAAATCTCATTTTGTAATATTTAATGCTATGTTATGTATGTTGCCGATTTAAAAACGGAAAATACTTAATTTCACGCCATTAATTCCATTTGAGACCATAATCTTCGATAACGAGAAATTTTCCCAAATTTCCGTAAAACACATATTTCAGCCTTGATAGCCGCGCGATATCAACAGGGTTCTTATCAACTCAGTGTCTTAATTGTGTCGGCCGCTCACCGAGACATTTTGATCATCGGATCTATAGATTATTTTGGAGGTTTTGTCATATTGTTGTTTGCGAACACGAAGAATCTCTAGGAATTTGTAGCCTGATCTCCAATTCTTTTTCTTATGGCGGTTAGCGCCAGCTTTACGTATAATACAACTTGAAGAAAGTTACCATGTGATTTCAGTTTTGGTTGTAATTTTCTTTTTTCTTCTAGAATATCATTCACGTAACACAATTTAATCAAAGTCTCTCCTGTGGTTACTTGCATACTAATCAGTTCACTGAATCTCACTGAAAAAGGAAAATGTTTTACCCCCCAAAATTTAGCACCTTTGGTGTTGCGATCAAAAATCAACTTTTAAAATGTGGATATCGGCGAACTAATTTAATTTTGATTCAATTTCACTTCATCATCGTTTGGTGTTAGTGTAATCTTTATACTCTGATTATATCCCTATTTACAACTTAGTAATTTTTCTTTTGTGACCTTGTCCGCGACGACAAATTTAAGCAGATATCCGAGATAGTGATCGCAGAAATAAACGCCGACGAGGCAGGTTGGAAAATACTTAACGAGAAAATTTATATTGTTATTAAAGGCGAAAAGATGCAAATTCAGAATAAAGAGGTGATGTGTAACAATTTCCACCAAAGGATTTATCATTTACTGTCGTAATTTCAAAGCTTCAAGTCCAAGTTTTAACAAAACATCACAATTTCGACCAAAGTAGTCCACTGCAACTTTTCATTCTGCTTACAAATATTTTCGATGCTGTTTTGGTTTGGATAAAAATTTCGAGAATATCAAAAACACAATTTTCTTTTTAAAGATTAAATGGAGATTTAAAAATGTATTTAAGGAATCACTGGAAGAGATCCGAATTTGGGCTCAATGGTAGGTACTGGTTAATATTTGTAAAGAGAATGTTCCTCAAAACCGAGTGTCCACCAAAAACGACACAATTTCAAAAAGTTGCAAATTATTTCAGTTAACATTTGTTGTTGTTATTTGACAGCGGTTCAAAAACCAAATACGCCGAGAAGTATTCTGATAAATCTTTCTTCTCTTGTAGGTACATGTGGAACCTCGAAATCAAAATATACTCAGTTGGCTTCACGGCCTAGCGGCAAGCAACTTTTTTACTTGCCGCGAAATTGTTTCGACATGTTAATAAATTTCACGCGAGCTAACAGCGTAAATGAATCAATACCATCATTTTGAAGCTCTTTCCTTTTCAAGGATATGCGAGATAAGCGTTAATAATCCTAAGAGAATCATTCAGTGGTATTCCTATTAAATGAAGATATATTTTTGCATGAAATATTCACGAATTTGGGCGGCTCGACGCAAAAATAATAGAATTTGAAGTGACTGGGATTATCTCGTAGATTTTACTTTCACGCGAGTGTATAACAGCCTGGGGCATGAAAATATTTCCGAATTTGTTTTCTGAGAGCACCTCAACAAGACATCCATGATAAGCTAATTCTGTATCCTCATTGAGCCAGTTGTGCTCCTTGAATGGCGCACATTTTATAACATAAATTGAATTCGATTCCTTCGCACTGCGATTAAAATTGAAAAGATCCCTCCCTATGCGACAAATCTTGTTGTTAGCCGCTGCGGATAGAGCGCGGCTAAGTAGAGCGCATATATTATGTAAGCTCATTTGTCTTATTTAGAATTGTATGTCCTTATTAGAAATCCAGTCTTGATTATAATAAAATTCATTCTTCCTTGGACAGGAAACTGTATCACATTTTGAGACAAACACATAATTTGAGTCACTATTGTTCGAGAATTAATTCGACGACGTTAAAATATCCTCGATATTCAATGCCAGTTTTCTGTTAATTTCAACTAGCTTTTGAAAGGTTATTAAGCTTGTTTTCCTTTCGTTGATTTCGTGGATTGAGAATCCTCGAAGTTCGCCGAGGAAGTGTCAAATGAAACACCTGGCTCGTGAAAAGAAAGAAAATCAATTAATGTTTATTAACACGCTATCATCTCATTGGATGATTCATAATTTCCAATCCCCTTCTGACCAAATTTTCCGCCCTCTAGAGCTTCGAAACCGAAACAGCTTGGTTCTTCTTGCGGGGAACACTCGTGTTGTGTTTCATTCTTTGATGCAAATCGGCATGTTTGAAGTGCGACAGAGCGCCCGCGGAGGCCATCTAAAGTTTATTCGCTTGTAATTACTCGGCTTGTAATCTGCAATTGTGCTATTCTTTTTAGGCGCCTCGCAGAGTCGAACTTGCAAGTACGCGATGGGTCTGCAATACGGTTGGAGCCCTCTACTGCTTTTTCTCGCTCTCGAATTTTCAATTCCGATAACATTTGCCTCTCAAGTGCAGCTCGAAGGCAAAAGTTATATCACTTACGGCATAAGAGAAAACACTGATCCTCGAAAAACTAAAATAACGTTGCGATTCCGAACCATACACCCAAACGGCCTTCTCATCTTCGGAACCGAAGAAACAAAAGCGATGGATTACCTCCAACTTTGCCTCCACCATGGACAAGTGCGGTGAGTTTATTTATTATTGCTATTTTTAACAAGCTGAAGAGAATGGGAGTGTTTTGTGAAATCGTAAACAGGTAGACATAACTTTTTTCTCTTCCTATGCAAAAGCAAACAAGAGGAAACTAAGGGCAGATTTCATTGTACACCAATTACCTCTAAATAAATAGTTTAAAATACTTGATTTCAAAGTGAGTCTTTGTCCAAAAAGAAATGATCATTTCCAAGCGGTTTATTGAGCTTCGTCTGATAGGTAACATATATGCATATGCATGCTGAGAAAGTTAACAAATTTAGGATAGAGTAACACTGTAATCCAAAAATATAGTAATACATCGGTATACGAGTTCCTATTTTACACGTAATTTCATTCGTATAATAATCGATCGAAACAAAGAGATATTTACATTAAGCACCATAAATAGTGTACCAAACAATACTGTCAAAAGAATGAAATCTTAATTTTTGGACATTGTACCGAATTTATCGTGCCGTAAAAGAAAAAATGCGGACATGATTTAAAAAGGGTACTTTGTTGTCCACAAGAAAGGGTATTCAAAATTATTGTTTCTAGTAAATGTTGAAATCTTCTTATCTTGGTTATCAATGCAAAATTCGTGGGTTTTGCGATCAAGATATGTTTACAATGATTTCTCTCTTTCGGTCAAGCTCTGTCCAGAGTCGCAGAGTAATGATAAATATTTTGCCCAAACCACCAACTGCGATAAAGTCTTTTAATTCTATAAAATTAGCAGGAAATCTTTCGAAATTAGAAACAACCTTATTGTCCCACTGTTTTGAAGCAGACGAAAATTGTTTCTTGTTGTAAAAAAGAGGGAAATAACTGAAAATTATATAAAACGATAAGGAGTACATTGTTAGAAGAAAAGTTACTCCAAACTCCTCACAGAGAGCTCGGTAGGGGGTGATTTCATGTTTTGAGATTTTTTCGAGATTTTTTTCCACACGTGAAGATGGGATTAAAAATTCTAATTGAAGAAATTTCTCAGTTCAAAGAAAGGGCATCTCTTGGTTTCGTTTTGAGTGGGTAGGTTTCCTCCTCAAGGTTAAACAAAAAAATTGACGGTTCGTTTATATTTGTTTATCAGTGAGAACGAAATGTTTTATTTTTTTTCCTACCCAAATGCTAGTTCCTACCCTCCAATAGAAGAGGAAGGAACAATGATGATAATGACAAGATAAACTGCTCTTAATTTCTTATTCTCAGACTCCAAATGAGTAGAACATCATAAAGTGATTTGAATGTTAATGTCAGGGTTCATGATTCCCCTTTAAAATTTTTTTCATTTTTTGAAGCATGATTGATGGTTAACACTGACATTTCTAGGATCTGAAAACTTAGTCTCCTTATTGTCTGCCATAAATCTGTGATGATGTTAGTAATGAAGAATCTGCTGTTAAATCGAAAGTATTCTTCTATCAACATTTTGGCTTTGTTCTTTCTATTTTCACACGTAAAAATATATTGATATTACGAAAAGAAATTGCCTATGGGTGAAACTGATTTCTTTGCTGCGTGAAAATTTCACTATTTATATAGATGTATTGACCAAAAACTCAACTTTACATAAGATGACGTCGGTTTGGTATTCTTGTATTTACTTTTTTTAAATAAGTTGATTTTGTTACCAAACTAAGCACAAGTTATCATATTATTCATCCGAAGCAACTCTTCGACGATTCAAACTCTCTCCGCTTTTTGTCAGACTTCCAATGAAAACCTACTCATTTTGCAAATGCAGATACATAATTTGTTACGCCTCTATAACGGCTACTTTGAACAAAATGTGTGATTAATGCTCAGAGTGCTTCACAAGTTAGACACAAATCGTAGGAATTGCGATAAAATTGGCTTTAACAACAAAAATGGAAGCTGCCACGCCAAGACCAAATTAACAATTTTTACCGCTTATTCTAGCCAGAGTCATTTTCAATTCAATTTCGAATGTAGTAAGTGATGTTGTGGTTTTTGTTTACAATGGTATGTGATTGATATTGCAAAACTCGTTCCACAACCAATTAGATGTAAGTAAAAAACCATGAATTATATGCGTGATGGTTGACTCGAGCTTAGCCCTCATCAACTATCACGCGATAGAATTTTCAAGGTCATAATCTTAGTGCTAATAAATTAGTAGTTCTCGTTTAAGAGAAATAAGACTAATTATTTGATTATTTCATATTCATTTATCATGTATGACCATCGATCGGTACATAGACATGAATGCATCCAGGAAGAGGCATTAAGGCGTGTCACACAACGGGAAACTGACCTTAAAAACTAAAAAACAGGAATGAAAATTCGCTGAAATTAAGTTCTGAAATAAGGTTAATATGATGCGGCCTGTGAACTAAATCCTCAAAAGAGCCAATTATCACAAAGACCAAAGTTTCACACAAAAAAAAATTTGAAGAGTTTGAGAGCAAAATCTAAACCCGACAAGGAAACAAAACCTCATATTATTTCCGGAGGGGGAGGGGGGTGGGGAAGTAACAAAGTAACTGTGACTAGTGGCTGGCTTAACCTTTTTTTCATACTCGGTTGTAACGTGTCTTCCTAATGATAAGCAATAATTGGATGAGGTTAAGCATGATATCATGAATCATCAAAACCAAAGTCTGAGATATCTGTCAAAGCCGAGGTCTGAGGAACACCGACACGATGATTGATAATTCATGTCATCATGCAAAAACCGAGTTCCACGGCAATAATTATACATTTGTTTAAACGATCTACAGAAGGAGACACTTCCCTCTAAGTTTGCAAAAGTTTATGAACACTGCACAAATGAAGGGCTTGGAAACTATACAGACTTTTAACTCGACGTGATAAATGCAATATCCGCTGCAGATATTGCATTTATCAATTAAACTTCGAACACTATCGTATATTGATTGAATGCTCTTGAACAATCAGATTTTTGATATTAAGTCTACTTGGTATTATAACAAAGTTCGGATATAACGCGCACCGTCTTGGTTGAAAGAGCGTGCTCTATCAGAGCTAAAGCTGTCACGCCATCTGCCAAATTATACTTTGTCCGACCTTTTCCGGGAATTCTCTTTACTAAGCTTTTTTTCGGTAATTGAAAGTGAAATTTCGGAACAAGCGAGCCGGCAAGTTACAAAAGAAGAGCCAAACAAAAGTTTGTGAACATGCCAAGCGCCGTAATTTACGTTATTATAACGTGAGCAGGGACAAGAATCCTCAAAGAGAAAACGAAATGGACAGTCCGAGTTATGAAGGTTTTCGCGCTCAGTTAGATTGCAAGCTTACGTACGGTAATAAAAATCAAACACAGCGAACACTCGTATAGTACGTATAGTTTCGTGTTCAAAAACAAAAAACAGGAATGATAAAAAATGTAGCCAAACTGGCATAACTGTTAAAATTCATACTAATTATGACGATGTCAGACCGACTACGATCATGCTGAGGTCCATTGCGGCTAGCACATCATCATCAGAGATTACATCGGCCGCCCTTCAAGTGAAGAACTAAGAGCTTGATCTGATGTCCTTTCCGATGCGTTGAGTGGAAGGCCACATCAGTCACAACTGGCTAGTTTTATGGCGCTGTCATCATGAGCAATCTTCATGTTCCTGTGAATTCGGCTGTCGTTCATTAATAAAAAACACACACCTTGAGCAGTTTGTTTTCAAATTGCCGTGTTGAAAAACTCGCTTGTTTTTATGAGCCACAATTCGGCCGGATTTCAATAAATATTTCACTTTTACATTTTGTTTTAGAGACTTAAAAAGACCTCAGGCAAAAAAATTGAATAAGTGGGGAGAAACACGAGACGTAGTCTAGTGTTTCTCCCTACACTTCTTTCGTACTCTAACCGCTTCCTACGCGCTTTATAACAGAACAGAACACAGTCAAGGCTTCTCTATTTGTTAAATAAAAAAGGTCATATGTATTCGGTGGGTGGTAGTAAAATGATGGAATTATGTTTGCCCAAGCTGACTCATTTGCGTAGTTTTATGCGAGAGTCACTCTATTATTCACTGATATTTCATCTTCTTCCTTGTAGTTACCTTGCTTATCTTGGAGGCAGTCATAATTTGGGACAACTAGACATTGTTCATTCAAAAAATAATTTGAACGATGGCAAATGGCACAATGTGACTGTGCTGCAAGAGGGCCGGAGGGCGGAGGTAACTGTAGATTCTGTACCGAGTTTTGCAATTACGCGACAAGAATATGAAGATCTTGGTTTGAAGAAGGTTTACGTCGGTGGAATGACACCCCCTGAATACAAGTCTTATGACTACTTAAAATGTCCAAAAATCAATTTTAATGGTTGTATAGAAGACTTGACATTTCGTGATAAAAACGTCATCAGAGAGGTTGAACGCGGTTCTAACTCTGGATATTATCTATTTGGACAAGCGCCGTTTAAATGCAAGGAACTCGACTATCGCGTTGTAACAATGACTAGCCCTAACGAGGGTTTCAAAGTGACTGTCAAAAAATTACCGATAGATAACGACACATTTTCTGCCAGTTTTCGGTTCCGCACGCTCGTGGGTGATGGTCTTCTTCTATCGCGTAGCGCCATCAAAGTCAAGTTATACATCCGTCTGTCAAGTGGCTCTTTGCGTTATGACGTCATTGCTCCGAATGGATCTAAGACTGAGTTGGCTATGGGTTCTAATCTTGACGATGGAGAATGGCATAGTGTGAACGCAAGTATCCGAGGAAGAGACGTGAGTCTTCATGTGGATGGTAAACCGAGAACAAAACAATTTAATCATTCACTTTTAATGCAGGAATTCTCAAACAAGTCTCGTTTAAAGATTTTTCTTGGGGGCTATGACGCAGAAAGAAGATTCTATTCCGGTTTCGTTGGTTGCATATTAAATTTAAAAATTGACAGTCAAAAGATATCTTTAAAGAATCTTAGAATGAGTAAACACACCAAAGATGACCTGAAATATTCTTGCCGCTTACAGAATCACTGTCAGCCGAATCCCTGCAAAAATAATGGTAAATGTTCTCAGGATTGGGAACGTTTCTATTGCGACTGCACATATACTGAGTTCGAGGGAGACAAATGTGAAACATCCAAGTACAGGCCAACCTGTGAATATTACAGGTCCCTTGGATTAAAGAAAAGCATGGCATGTCTGCTAGATTCACAAGGATATGGAAAACCTTACACAGCATTTTGTAATATAACGAATGAACATAAACGGACTTACACCGTCATAACTCACAATAAAATGAACAAAATACGTGTTGGCGATGCTCCGGTCGTAAAAACGTTTTATCAACATGATGTTACGTATTCTAACTCAATTGAAAAGGAGCAAATCACTCAGCTGATAGAAAGAAGCAAGGAGTGCCGCCAATACATCCGGTTTCATTGCTTCGCTTCCAAACTTCTTAACACGCCTCGCGGACCCTCGCACGCGTTTTGGTATACACGTGACAACTTGCAACAGAAATACTGGGGAGGAGCTGAGCCCGGAAGTGACAAGTGTGCCTGCGGAAGCAAAGAGCCTTCTTCTTGTGACGGCCCGGGAAAGTTGTGCAACTGTGACATCAGAGATAACCGGTGGAGAGTTGATGAAGGGTATTTGACAGATAAATCTTCTCTTCCTGTTAAAAGATTGCAATTCCATAAGAAAAGTGAGAGATCTGATTTTACGCTCGGCCCACTGGAATGTTGGGGCAATTCCCATAGAGAAAAATTTCCTCAAAAAACTCAAAGGAATCCGAAGCCAGGTTACCGCACAAACAATGAGATTATAGCTTTAGCTTGCCCGTCCACCACTCTGCCCCCTCCACCGGAAACACCCAGTACAACTCTTACAACGCCGACAGGAACGACTATGTGCCCCAGCGAGGATGAAGAAAGGTGCTTAAATTCGTCTTCGTCTTCTTCACTATTGGTAAACTTTACGTCGCCTACTGTGACGGCAGAAATGATTAGACAGGAGGAGCCTTGGGATGAAGAAGATATTTCAACCATTGCAGTTGTTATGATTTCTGCTGCTCTGGTTGTTATAGTTCTACTCTCAATGAAACTCGCCCTTCCACGTGTTATCATGTGTATTCGAACTCATAGTAAGCGCGGTGAATACATTGTCCCCCCGACTGGATCGTCTGGATATACGGCAAGATTACTTCCTATTGTGGCCAAGAGGTCGTCCATCCGAGGAAAGCAGCTAACACAGTGCAGTGGCAATGACAGGTATGTGGAGGGCAATGGAGCAGCTGGGCTCAAGTCATATTGGGTGTGATATGACGTTTATAGACTGAAAATGAAATAAATGAATTGAGGGCCCGTGATGTTGAGGAGTAGTAAAAGTTCAAAAACAGGAAGACATGCTAAAACTGCGCTTGCGCAAGTGAGATCAATATCTAACGTGTACATTTCAGATATAAGGAAGAATTTGGTAAGTGTCTAAATTGCTTGCAGTACGGTCGGAACGTTCGTCACACTAAAAAAATTTAAGAAAATTTTATTAATACAATATCTTTACGATGGTGTATTATACACGTAATTTTGAAAAAGGAGATCATTAAGTTCAATTTATTAGTATTCATGGATGTAAAGTCAATTAAAACAATTTTACACCATGTAATGTTTCATCAGAGCTGAGCTATTAAATTGTACTATACTGCATTATCTATCAGAATAGAAAACAGTGGTGTAGTTTTCTTCTCTGGTAATACTTCCGGTTACAATCGCGGGAAGGCCTTAAACTTTTATCGGCGAAAAGCGAGACGACACGTTTTGACAAACTTGAGCAAATGGAAAGGATGAAATGTCTTTTTGGTTAAAACCTGAGGAAACAATCATTTTCTCAACTCACAATGGTCCATCTAATCTGAGCTTATTCTGTTTTCCATCAAATGGAGTTACCTGGAATTTTTCTTCCCCCCCCCCCTTCCCCTCCCTCCCCCCCTAAATGGGATGTTAAGTGATCCATGACATGCGGACACTGCATTTCCATCGTAGTTTGTGAGGTATCAGTGGGAACTGGGAAGAGGTACAGTGTCTCGCTTAGGAACACAGCACAATAATCTTCGATCCATATGTCTGCACATCAAATAATCTAGCCGTTTAGCCGCCCTTTCCCCTTCTGGTAAAGAAGTCAATGTCGAGTTTTATCAGACAACGACAAGATGTGTGATTGTAAGGAGCAGGGGTTAGGGCGCTGCTGAACAGGATCAGAAAACACGATTGAGCCTAACACTTTGTGAAAATTTTGATTTCATTTGTAACTTTAATAGTCGATTTCGTATCTTGTATTTTTCTGGCCTTAAATTTTGCCCGACAGTAAGATAATATGATATGATGATTTGGCAAAAAAATCAAAAGCAAGTTTAATTTTTGACCCTGAATTAGCGCTTAATGCTTTTCGAATAATCGACCCTTAGGGCTTAACATTTAACTTTATGTCATCACAATTAAAAATAAAAAAGAAAACAGTTTACTTGATAACTTCCCTTTATTACGTTGTCGCGTCGTACAATACAGATATTCCAGGATTGAACTCGCCAAACCTGTTTCTAATCCGGAGTAAAAAAGGTGAAGTTGAATTAATAATAGTTTTTCAAAAGCAGGCTGAGACACACAAAAAAAAATTATATGTCATTTGGAGCAAGGTGGAATACTGCTTGTCCGTTCCAATTAAATTGAGTTGATTTGACATAGCATAAACTAAGTCGTATCTACACGAAAGTGCTAAAAATCACGGGGACACTCATAACTTCTTTTTCTTGTTACGAGTCATACCTTCTTCAAACTTTTCGCCACCGATCTGGTCTTTTGAGAATCAGTGGGCTGACCCTAATTCATTTTTGAGAAATTATGGTTATGTCCATCTTAGCGGTGATTGATAACGCGTTATGCAGGTACGCCAGAAATCTTTGCTTTCATTTCACAATCAACTTTTCTCATGGATCTCATAAAACATCTTTGTAGTAACTCTGTAGTAAAAATTGATCAGTGTAACAGTTTTGCTGAAACCTTTGTCTTTTCAAATTTATCCGGTGTTGGTCTCATAACTACTCTAAAACAGAACCCACCCACTAAAAATGAAACGGAACACTGCTTTGCACGTGCAAAACAGACACAAAAAGTGATTGACAACAGCTATATGGTAAAGCTATGGTAAGTGTTACCTTAAATGCGTCGCTGTTTCCCGTATGTAAATTGTCCTACTGAACTTGTTGGAAAGGTGACAATGATAATTTCACTTAAATTAACTTCTTCGAGAAAGAATATGTTGATTACTCACTCCCTCTCTCTACCTTCGACCGTGAACAGTCCTTCTGTGAGATCTAGCTATTATGAGTACTAACACCATTATCTACCAGTTCAAGCATGTCCTTAGTAACTACTTCATTTGCAACGTGTTCCAATCGGTTTAAGCCAAGGGTAATCGTTTTTATATCGTAATTATTTAACTTACAGCAATATTCGTTATGGTAATTTCAACTCAAAGCACTAGTTCTAATCAAGCCTTTTCATTTTATCCTACAAGTCGGATATTTTTTGATCAACTTACAGAAACTCTCATTAATTTTTTCAGCTGAAGCAAAAATTTAAAAGAAAAAAATTAGGTTGTGATAGGTGCAGGCTTGATATTATGGGTTTGAATTTTGATCATTTGGAACAATTCTCATAACTTTCGACATTTTCCAGACAGCACACTACCTCAGCGAAAAGCTGACTCAACAAACTGGAAAATCAAGTTTGTGATTCCAGGGGTTCCTTTATCGAGTTTCTATTCCACATCTGTTAGATGTACACACGCAATGCGTGCTAATATTCGTGTATATTCCAACTATCTTCGCCCTTTTGTTCTAATTGGTTCGTTTTCCATTGCCAGAAGTTCCTTATCACCCAATCCTGAGTCAGCATAGATAATATCTTCCTTGTAGACCTCAAATAACTTGTGCGTAATTAAAACAAAAATTCTTCTGTCACAGCATGAGTCAAGCTTCATTGACAGGGTCGATCTAAAATATTCCTGTGAAGATAGCAACGATGATAATAAAAAAGAACAGAAAAACCAAGAAAAGTTTGTTTAAATTGAAATCTTTCTCCTCTACTCGAACTTCAAAGATAAAATGTATATCTTCGTTTTTTCCGCTCGATTTATGGCCCACACACCTCGCGTATGGGCCATAAATCTGTGCGGGAAAAACTCGATCGGCATCTTACAGTACAGACCTTGAACTCGAATAGTAGAAGATATGTAACTAATGAAGGCTTAAGTCAAAGAAGTGGGCCGGGAAATTCTTCAGAGTTAGTGCCATGCTTTGGTATCTTATGCTTTCAGCAGGTAACTGCCCAAGATTAAGAAAATTAAAGTAAAATGATTCATTGAAATTAGAGCATTTGAAGTGAATTTCGTCTCTGATAAAAATAAATACCTTGATATCCGGTCTGAATTCAGAGCTTGGAGGTGGAAGCTGAAAAGGACACGTATTTTCTGACGTGCGAATCTCGATGCACCGAGTGGTAAACTGTGGCGCCGTTACTCATATTGTAGGCCCCAACCTCCATCGTGCCGTGCCCCATCTCATCCAGCTGGACCACATCCGGAGAATCCGTGCGAACCGAATGGCGATACACCTCAATATCCGGGATATTCTTGTTCCTCCTGCAGCTCTTACAGGAAATGCAGCACACGTACCTGCGACCAGACCGCTTCAGGAAAACGAAAATGAGAACACAAATGAGAAGAATGAAGGCCAGTACGGACGAAGCTACCAAGATTATAAACCTTGCATCGTAAACAACTCCTCCTTCAACCCGCGTGATGTAGTCAATGCTACTTCTTGTTATAACGGTCACGTTGCGGCTTCTGTTCGGCTCCAACGGCGTGACAGGAGGCAGTGTGACAGTCTTTCCTTTGGTGGTGATGCTTGTGTGCACTGTCACGCCAGATTTACCTGTGGTAATGGAAGAATGTACTGTCACACCAGCGCTCTTGGGTTCGTGAGTAAACACTGACGTCACCAGGGTTGAGTTTTTATTCGTTGCGATAGTGGTCGTCATGGTAACGTGATGTTTAAGGGAAGACAACGAATTTCTATTGTTACCTGGACTTTTAGTGGTAGTGCTGCCTGTCTTTTCCGCCTGCAGCTTGGGAATAGTGGATGGGGTAGTGGCTCTTTGCACTGGCTCAGTTTCAATACGCACTGTGGGGGGCGGGTTAACCAATCTGCAGGCGGACGAAATAAAGTTTGCATTGCTCACTTCTTCGGGAGCGCGACTCCCGGTTCCAAAACATTCTAATGGACCAAGAGTGAAGAAAGAGTCCTTGGCATCCGAATTGAACTGCAACATATTCACTGGTAATGATGATTTGTCGTGTAAATAACCTGTAAAGCAAAGATCGCGAGAGACATGAATTAGTTTTAGTAAATGTAAACATGAACTTGGTTTTAAATTTTCACAAGACGAGTGATTTACTCTTTCAAGTTAGCTGACAGTCACACCAGTTAACCTTTGGCCGAAATAAATTGAATGCATCTCAAGATATCAAAATCAGTGTGATGCAAAATTTTTTGGAGGGTTTTCTTCTTTTCATGTATAGGAAAGCGTTAATATATATTGTTAAGTAATTGGGCCTAAATGCATTCAACGAAGCCCATAGCCATGCCACTGATTTTTACTCACCAGAGTCTTCCCTCCACCGATCTTTGCTGTCGGCATCACAGTTACAATATTTTGAAGGATCTGCACAGCTCTTCGTCTCTCCACATGCGCACTTGCCACTTCCAGGCCTCGCACCTCCCCAGTAATTTTGCGGGACTGCGGTACTTGATAACCACTGCACATTCTCAGGACCAACGGGAGAATTCAACAGTTTTGAATTGTAACAGTGATAACTGATGTACTGGCGACAGTTTCCGCTACGCTGAATCAATGCACGAATGCTGGCCAAGTCAGTTCCATACGCGATGCGTTGAAAGTAATAGCTATCGACGCGCGAGGCTTCCCGCGTCACGGGATATTTGCCCTCCTTGTTGTGGTGTAGTTCTGTCTTGGCCGCGTCAGAGGCTGTCATGTTGCACAACACTTCAAAGGCCCCTAACGGTCCAGTGCCATCAGGATCCACTTTGCAATATGCATCCTGGACCATACCCAGTATTTTGTATTCGTGGCATGTAGCACGGAAAAGAGGATCCTCACACTGGGTTCCTCGGTAAAACGTCCCTTCGCAGTCACACGTGTAAGTTTCCCATGTCTGTAAACAGCGGCCACTGTTTTCGCAAGGATTTGGAAAACACTTACTAGTAATTTTACATCGGTCGATGACCGCTCCGTTTATACGAGAGCCGGATAATCTTTTCAAATTTACTAATTCATCGTTCAACCTTATTTGGTGCATGCAGCCAACAAATCCATCACTATGTGTTCCATAGCCAATATGAACACGATTTTGGAATTTACCGATTCGGTCCAACAAGGGGTTTTCGTGACGGAGCTTTGGTTTGGAATCCAACTTCAACCAAAGTTCTTTACGTGTTACTCCAGCCATGACGTAGTGCCACATGCCATCACTTAAATCTTCACCAACACTTATTTTGACCGGTTTTTCAGTTCCTACAGATATTTTAAGCTCAAGCCTGCTTGATACCAGAGAAAGGTAGAGGCGCGCATGAGAAGCTTGTTTGTAAACCAAAATACCTTTACCGTAGTTAGTGCGAAAGTTGAGTTCCACCGTAAAATTCTGAGGAGAGGCCTTACTGAGTTTCAAATGCGTATTTGGAGTTGGAAAATTGACCGGAACGTACGTGTTGACTGGACAGTAGAAGCGCAAAAAACCGTGCGTGTCACATCCAAGAAGGTCAACCTTAGAACAATATAAAATGTCTTTGTAATCGAAGTGAAGATTCCTCAAACAGCCGTTAAAATTCGGAGTAGTTGGCGCTCCGTGTAGATTAGAGGTCTCACTCGTATCCAGGCCTGCCACGTAGAGGAATGAGTCAAGATCAAGTCGAACGAAAGAGCCTGGTGTGGTTGATTGGCTTCTGACATCATCAACAGTTACCACAAGTGTTCGTTTGTTTCGATCCACTTGAACCTCATGCCATTTGTTGTCCGCTAAGTTATTGCCAACAAGTACTGAGTGTTCTCCCGATACGGTGGAACTTCCCAGATTGATAGTAAACCTTACAGAAAGTTCATAAATGCAAGTTATTTGAAGCGTTTTAAACGAGAAGTTGCCATTTCAAGAAATGCGCAGTCTTTCCCGGTTATAAAGTGCACATGCTTTTTTTTTTTTCGGAGGCCCGGCACCTCAATAAATCATTTGTAAGTCTAAGAACATTTGGTATCCAAATAAATACGAATTGAGGGGTAGTTAATTCTTTATTGTTTCCTTGGCCGAGAGGCCATGTCAATCTCACAAATCGTTTTTTTACCGAGCAAATTGATCCAAAGGAATTCTGGAGGTTTTGAGAGCTATGTATTTGTTTACTAAATTTTGCTTCCCTAATAATTATGTAACTTTGGCTGTTGTCAGTGAGTGAGATCCTAAAAAGTAAATTGATTGATCAGCATGACGCGACTTCGCTTTTGCGGCAAGGTGATTAAAAGAAAAAAAAACAAATAACAAAGAAACAAAACTGCCCAAGAGTAAAAGACGAATTTCGAAGTCCTTCTTCCGTGGCAGAGACGAATTTAAAGCAATCATTTAAAAAGCAATTGTAAGTCGAGCTGATAACCCTAAACATTTTATTTGCATTTAACTGCCCTCGGAAAATAGACCAGGATTCGCTGGTTTTCGACTGATCAGCCAACAATTTTAAATCTGAGCAATTTTTAGAAGGTTGATTTTGTGTTTTTTTGTTGTTAGTTGTCAAATCTCTATCTATACTGTAATATATATAGAAAGATTTATAACGAGATACCATGGATACCGTGCTGTCAGTCTATGCAGAATATGTGTATGTAGGGCAAAATTTTACATGTACAAAGATGAAACCCTAAAATAGAGGAATTTCGATCATGAGACTTTTTATGGGAAACGTCGGAAATAATCACAGTGAAAGAAATTCTTAACAAAGCCTCTTGGAAATGTCCTCAACTATTATGCGGCAAAGAGCTGACTTTAGTCTTCAGCACGTTTGAAAACAGGTGAAAGAAAAAACAAAGGATAAATCTGCACCTAGGTCAACAGGGTGCGTCGGTCACGAGAGCAGAGAGATTGTAAGTGTCCGGCAAAAGACCTACTTTGATTTCATGAACATGAAGTTCACAATGAAAACCTTGCATATATGTAGGAAATTTCCTCATCTTTTCATTCCACTTAGCTTGAGGTGATACACCCTCATCACGGAGACCAACTGGAAATCCTATAACTGCTTTACGAGCACGTACAGCAATTAAGATTAAATTTTATAAGTTCCTTAAGTGTTTGTTTACAAACTAAACGTTAAATGATTAATTGTTAAAATTGCCGATAATTGTGTTTGGTTCACGCGCATATTATCGCAAAACCACAAAACCAGGACAACCTTAGTCTAAGTCTAATGATAGTAATAGTGGAGACCGGCAGAGTACAACACTATTCAAAGTTAGTTTTTCTGCTGATATTTTCCTAACTTTCAGTGTTTCCATAGTCCCACAGTATCATTGCAATTTAGAGCTGGAAAGGAGTACCGTTTATTCGGTGGAAGAAAAATATTCCTCTAGGGCAGTCGTAGAAGAGAACTAAGATGACGTTGAGTCAGGAGTATGCTTGTTGTGAGTGTTTCAGTCGTATTAGCGAAAACGCGGTTCTTAACGAATCGAACTGCAAAGAATTCGTTTCTACGCTTAGCCATTTACTTCGCCCACGAAAACTCCGTCATACTAGTTAGATCAACGATGCCACAAGCGCCCTATGAATTTGAACTCAGCGCGGCAATCCAACTAGGTCACGGGCATGGGACATCTGCAAAAGGATATTACCTTGAAAGACGCTGTTTTCGTGGTCGGATGCTCCACAAATTGAAGTGGGTTTTGAAATAAAATGCAAAGAAGATATTGACGCTAGTTTTATCTTCATGAATTCAATAAAGGAGGTCAATTAGTTTTATCGACGTTATTTATCCTCGTCACTCGGCGTGGAGCGGTCTTAGACATAATAATGGTAATAATGTATACTCATAACTTTCAACCGATTCTGATCAACGGAAATATTTTAATCGGAAAAGTCGAGCATTGCATAGTTTGTAACAGAAACCTTTTCGAGTGTAATTACGAAAAGATTTTATCTAAAATTTCCCATGCTATTTATCGCGGTTTTTGTTTTTTTATGGCTATCTAACTTTTTCATATTATCTTAGGTATAGGACCCCACTTGCTCGGTGTTCGTGGGAGGTCCGCTATAACGTAAAACTACTATTTGAATGGGTTTTGTTTGATTTTTTTATTCTGACGATACAAAAGAGAAAAATTTATCACTCTAATTCATCTTTCATCAAGGTTCCTTTTACATATTTGAAGTTTATGTAATTAAGGAGCTCTTATGACGCTGTCTTACAAAACTTATCGCAATAGTTTGGCACACCCTAATCCGAATGAGTTGCGAATCAATAAACCTTTCTATCGCCAGTAACGAAACAATAGCAGTGTGTTCATTCACAGGCAGCTGAAATACATAAAAGACAAATTTAGGTTTTTTTTGATAAGGAGGATTTTCAGACGGGATGGTTGAGTTGAAATTGTCTAGCACAATTTCTATCAACTGGCGATAAATTCAAGCTCCCTTCCTATATTTCCCCTCGTTTATTCATCGAAGCAAGCACGGAAAGAGTTCAAACTAATTTTATTTGTTGTTGCCGACCCCAGTTGATTTGGAAAATACTAGTGTATAGCGTCCTTCGCTCTCCAAAATAAGGGGTTTCATTTTCTACGAAAAAGAGATGTTACAAGATAACAAAGTTGCAAAGTGTGCCCTATGTCTGGGAAGGAACGAGTGATCAAGGACAAAAAGTTGACATGGTTTTCTTGACTCTTACAAATTCTTTATCTGCTAAAATTTAGTGGTCCCGTTCGTAACATTACCTTTGATGTTTATGACCGAAGTAAGAATAAAATTCACAGCACATTTCAATCTGTCTTCACCGTCTTAACAGGTACTATTACAATAATTGGGCGCGTGCCTTTGTGTAATTATCCCTCGGTTTATCTTTCTTTCAGGTTCTTTTTGTCTTTTTCTCTTGCGACAGGTGACTAAAACCAAAACGTTGCAAAAAAATACACATTGTGTTATTTGGCAGGTAAACAAAGAGTGCTAAAGATATCTAAACTGGGTTTTTGTGCAAGCTTCCTAATAAATACACCGTTTGCATATATGGTGAACACCGATTCAAGATAAAGAGAAAAAAACAATCACGATTGCAGTGCAAAACGATGGTTTACATCAAGTAGGTTTTTCTTCAAGCTCAAATCTTCACATGGTAATGATGAGGTTTATTTCACACTTTAATTACTCCGATACCACCTGGTAATTGCAAAAACAATTTTCAGAGAAGAAACTGTGTTCCTGCATGCACTCTCTGTTAAAATTGTTATCTGCGTGTTATATTAGTCATTTATATAAAGAAATCCTCACTGAAAATTTTCCTGACGACATTGATTGTTCTCATGGACGGAAGAAACATTTTCAGATTTGTTAAATGAGATGTTCCCATGTTTAATTGAATATGTCATTCTATCCAGTATGGTTATCTAACAAGGCTTTCTCGACAGCTGAATGATATTCTACTCAGTCAAAGAAAGCGTCATGGTCTACAATTATTGGTTAAGTTGAATTCTTGGCCAGCTTCGATGTTACGTGAGAAAGAGCGTTTGACTATCTGTCGATGACCAAGAATCAATTTGCATCTCTTAGTCACTAAGTGAAATATAAGGCTTGATATGCGCCGAGATAACAATGCATCATCAACAATTCTGTGAGGCTTATTAGAAACGCTGAGCTATTGATCATCTACTTTTGTTCAAATTGAAAACATCTCACTTCTTTGGTTGACTAATTTTCACCTCTTTTCAAAGCAATTAAAACATGATACACAAGATTTCTGGTCTTTGTTTACCTAGCTTGACGCTACAAACTTTTAAAAAAACTTCTCTGAAGTTGACAGAAAACTATATTGAAGGGGAGAGGCTCTCTTTCGAAGCAACTTTTGCGTTAGAGATAGTCTAGCTCAAAGTCGAGAAAAAAATCATGCCCATTGGTGGACATACTCGTACTCGTTTTAAACATCGATCGTTTAGTTCAAGAGCTTTTTAATTCTTCGGCGTAAACTATGCCTCGATGTTTTTGACATCGTTTTTTGTATAGAATCGAGTTTTACCAACTGTCCCAATTTTAACAGCAATTTCAAATGAACTGTGCTTACCTCAATCGTCCATGAATGAGCTCAATAGATATAAAATCTCCCTGAGACCCGCTGCTGTAAAGCAATAATCCAGAAGGACGGAACGTTTTAAACGAAAATACGATATGGTTTGTTAGGGATGCGATGATATTGGAACGAAGATCGTAGGTAATGTAGCCTGTTCCTTCCATATTTACTTCAGTTGCCGAAGAAAAACAAGAATTCACGAAGATTAACGCAACAAATATGGAGAACCCCCGACTCGAAGTCATGTCGATTCGGCGTTAGAGTCTCGACTCGTGATACACACTCAGTTTTATCACATTTGAACGCTTCTCACAGCATCCGCTTATCAGAGAACTGTATATTTTACGAAATCAAAACACCATTTGTCTCTACAAACCCTCTTTGGCTAATTAGCGGTGAAACGGCGCTAATAAGCGATAAATAGCACTATGCAACACAAAGCGACAATTGGATCCGTAGGCGATTGGAAGATACTGATAAATTAAGTTAATACAGTGCGCTGTTATCCAATCAGTACCACTCTTGTGGGTTGTGTCGAACAAACCAAACCAAGGTATCAATCTCAGTATAAAGCTGTGGTTGAAGACTCTGCAATGATCGCTTTTCGCCTTTTACTCTCTACAAAGGGCCATATTAATCACTCTTTGGTCGAATATTCCGCTATCTTTGGTTAGCGAAAGGACTAAGTTTATTTCAAGTCAGTTTTCGATTGCGCGTGAAAATATCTTGCTTGAAATGCATAGCTATTCCGTTTATTTATACTTTGAAACTAAAGCATTCTCACCTGCTGCGCAAGTTATTAAATTTGCCTAATTTCCTCATAGGAAAGAAAAAACACTGTTTTCCTTAGTTAATTTCATGACTCAAAAAACAAGTGAATCAATTTTTAAAATGTGTCACGTAGAAAAATACTTCCGTTGAAGACGATTTCCATATTCTTATCCTATTAGAGGAGGTTTGCTAGTTCTCGAAAAGACGAAATTGATATACGCAACTTAAACAGAGCACAGAAAATAATTTAGAAAGATGTCGAGGCCGAAACAATTTGTTCGTGGATATGATAAATAAATGAATAAGATCGGCTCGTCAAAACGTATTCTCTTTTCACGAAAGGTAACCGAGGCGTAATGAAAAAAACGGCCCACTAATTTCGCGTAAACGTTTGTAGTTCAGATTCACAGCGAATAATCAGCGACTGCAAGAAATCATGTATTTATCATCGACAAGAAAACTCTTTTTTTAATTGCATCCGTGGATTTATTTACTCTGATCAGTTTGTGATTCTAAGCTTTCAAAGCAGCTACGTGGAGAAAACACAAAATTTTACAATAATCTATACTTCTGTTTAATATTTCTTAAAATCATTATAATTTCTCGTTAGTTTCTTTCTTGACACCAAGAAATCGAGTTTAATTGTTACGCTATAGTCGTAGAAAACGACGTGAAGGAGAATGAAAAGGTATTACTCGGTAACCGAATAGTAACGTCGGTGTGACGTAGGAATAGATGTCCATTGTGAAGTGGAGACTGGAAACAGATATTTTTTTATTAAAAAAAACTGCACAAGAATCATAATTAACAAAGGCGTTAACACGTGTTCACCTCATGGAGTTTAACTCAGCTATCGCGGAAGTAATAGATGATGAAAGAAATATGATAAATCGAATTTGGCTCAGGTAACCACATTGTGCCTATTCCTGTATATTCAATTTTAGCAGCTCATGTAGGAATTTGTGTTAGTTTTTGTTGAAGGTGGAAAACCGAAGAAACTCCAAGAAAACCCGGCTCCGACGAGAAAAAATATCAAACTCAACGCAAGCTTTGGGAATAGAAATCGGACCACAATAGTAGACGGCGAGTGCTCTCATTTTTTTCAAAAAAAGAATATTGTCCTGTGGTATAAGAAGCAAATTTTGGGAGCGTTCGGTGTTAGCAATTTTAACACGAACTGATTAAACGCTGTATTCCAAAACGCTTCTTGCTGTCGCCTCTTTTTTCAAAAAACGTACACGCTGCTAACAGCTCTACGGAAATTACACTGTCTAGGGGAAAACATTGTCATATCTTTTCTAACAAAATTTTTTTAGCCTCTATTTCTCGAACTACCAAAAACAGACGGAGGATGTACACTCATTGCAACTGTTTTCCCGGCGATCTGATGTACAACTTAAGAAATTACTTAGGAGCATCACTTCAAAAGCCCAACAGTAGAGAAACACCATGGATGGGCTACGAGGTTACTACAGGGAAAACTGGGACGAAATATATGACAGATGTCGTTCATCAGCTTCCATCATTTCAACGAAACGGCGCGTGCAAGTCTTCACGCGGCTTTTATACTTTTGGTCAGCAAGAGAGTGTGACGAAAGTTTCGGGATTACTTCTGGTCTTCCTTCCCCTCCAACTCCAACTGCCATTGAGTGTCCTTCAAACCGCCTGCATATAGATAATGAGTCAAAAAATCACACACGAAATACCAATTGAACAGTTTTATTAAAAAGTACAATTCCAGTAGTATAGCTCAAATTTCTCCCCGATTTATCATGGTAGCAGTCACTTTCATCATATTGCTTCCCGAATAAAAAAATATTACTGTAAATTGCGGTTGAATTTTCAGTCTAAGGGAACACAATGGCCGTTAGTTAAAAAAATTCTATATATTACGTAGGGATTCACAGAGAAGATTTATCGTCACACAATGTATTCTAATTTCAAAACGCATCAGTAGCTAGAAAAGGGCACAATTGCCTTTGGTTGACTTTCCAAAATAGCCTGGTGGATTATGCGTACAAAATCTTTGTGAATTTCAGCAATTCTGAAAAGGGATCTTCAATAAATATCAAGTTTTGTCTCTGATTACGATAAATATCTTTTACTGTTATTTCATATATAAACATGCAATTATTCTGTACTTGCTGGAAAGCAAGTAGCAATTTGAATATTCTTCATGAAATATTTTGTCATCTTGTTTCTCCCTTTTCAGGAAAAATAAATTTGCAAATTCCCCATTATGATTTTCAACTTTGAATAATAGGAAACATTTAACAACCTTATAGTCGTCGGAAAGCAATTAATTATATTATACTTTATCATTACTTCTTCATTTCAGTTTTCATTCTCATCAGTAGTATTTCGCAGACTCAATCAATCTACTGAACCGCCTGCTTGCCGGCATGAATTAGATGCTCTAACTAGCATACAAAGCTATACCCACATTTCTCTTTCAAAGTTTTTCCTTTACGAACTTAAACAAAGGAAAAGCACTTTAAATGGTACCCTTACCAACAAATCAAATAACCCATGCTTGAGTTGTGTGTGTCAGTCATGTAAAAGGCGAGTAAAAACCACATAAACAGACAAAAGAAAGAATGGAAATAGTACGACGACTAAGATTGTGCAAGACGTTCGAAGGCGCACCTCAGTCAAGTCGTTTCCAAAGTGAATATCAATTCAACAAAAGGTACGCCTTCTTTTCTAATCTTTTTCTTCCATACATGTCACTAATTCCGTTTGTATTTCGTCCATTTTATGAGCGTCTGTGGTGACCGGTACAGAAACATGAGCTTGGCAAACAAATCCTCCTCTAACTTGAGTTCCTTGCTCTCTCGCACCATGAAGATATCCAGGCACAATTTGAGAACCTTATCAACGTTTGGCATCTCGTCAAACATGATACGGTAGGATATGGAAGTGAAAAACAGACGGACAAACTTGCCAATCAACCAAACGAAACCCACATAAAGTCCGATTATCCTGAAAGAGATCATCGAAAAAACCAAAATGAAATAAAAATCCGTAATAATTCAGCAGTGGCACATCCACGGGATGGCTCCTTGCCGAAAGTTTCCAGGTCAAGTTGATTTTCGTGGATAGACAAAAACCGCAGAATCCAGAGAAAAATTAACAACAAACTCAACCCGCATGTAATGTCGGGAGTCGTACCAAGGCTACAGAGGTGCGAGGCGAGGCACCCTCTAATGCACCATCGTGGTTCCCTGCTCCCAAACAAACTGAGGCGCTATGACTTTTTCAATTAACAGTTGTCTCAATCAAGAGTCAATATATTGGCGACAAAGTGCTTGATCTTACATGACACACTTTACCATACCAACAGGCTTATGTTTTTTTTCTTTAAACTAGCAGTCTATTGAAAATAATGATACAAATCCACCCCCCACCCCCACCCCTTCATTTAATTTGTATGAGTAAAAAGACAACAAAATTGCACGAGCCTGGAGGGCGAGTGCAATGTGTAGTCTTTAAAAAATTTACAAGTGTTTATTTACACCAAATTGCACGGGAAATCATGTTGTTACTTGTTAATAATTTACATGAAAAACGCATAACAGAAAGTCAAGACGGACGAAATTTTGGCAGCGCGCGAGCGCGCTATTTGTAATTGGCACTCGTGTTGCAACTTTTATTCGTGCTACATGAAAATGGAGTCGTTTTCACCCAATCAGACGCTCGTAGTTTTTTCATGTATTTGTTCAATAAACTATGTATCCTGTGGACTGTATGGTAGACAGAGCGGAAAATTGAAATAAAAAAATAAAAAATCTTGGAAGTGGAAGGGTAAACACAATGATTTAAACATCCTACCCAGTGCTAGTGAAGAAAGAGAAGTGCAGCGGCGGTACTAAGTCATTGAATGTGATCATTTCCAGTACATTGTCCTTGGCACCAAAAAGTGGAGTGGGACTCTTCTGTGTCAGTTCCCACCAATCAAACACGCTCTTTGATCGCATGCGCAGACGGCACGTCACAAAGTTGGCTCCGTTGTTATTTAAGACCGCAGTGACCGAGCCACTAGCTGGGACGCGTACGAAGCTTGGGAACAAGTCCTTGATCAACCTTGAAATCGAATATGAAAATTAACTCACAAAATGATAAGAATGATCAGGAGAGTTGTGGATGGCACGGTATGAGGAACTCGAAAACATTGAAAGATAACATAAGAGCCTCGGAAAAGTCAAAAGCCTATTTGAATCTGCGCAGGAATCAACTCGTAACTTTTTGGTTATGGTGTTGTTTAGCTTTATTCTCCGTGCAGAATATCCTCAATCTTTCCTTTTATTTCAAGTTCACAGATGTATCAATTCACGTTGAAACTGTAAAATAGGAAAAAGAAGATAAAAAAACAGTTACCTAAAAATTTCCACGTAAGGATATTTAACAACAATATAAAGCAGGTTTCCTTACACGTCATCTTTGGTTGAATTCCCTTCTAACATAGCAGCCAGTTGACTTTTAGTGGAATTGTCGAGGAGGACCTGGGTCACACCGGATATGGTCTCCTGTGCGAGGGCCGTTTTAGGCTCTCTAATGACAAATGAGCAGAATGAATAAGCAGGTTTAATGAGAGTAAGATGAATATACCATATTCTCTCTCAAATTGCGATTGAAATTAAAAATTTCACGGGTTCTATTCTGCAGAGCGGGAGCGAAAACGGCACAAGTAGTGTGAAGGAAGATTCTTTAATCGAGGAGATGACAATCTGAAATCGTTCATGCGTACTGACATTTCTACAAGTTACGGGATATCCAACACATTCTTTCATACTGATTACTGAATTTTAAGCAATTTAAAATAACAGTTCCTCGGCTACATCAACACTTGAAAAAACGAAACATTTAAAAGATTGCCAATTGAAATGTACTTACTTAGGGGCTGGTATGATTTCCTTTATAAAATGTATTTTAATATTTTCGATAATTTTCAACCACTTTTTCCGGAGAAGTAGATTAGGGGGAATGTGGAAATAGGAGTTTGTGGATCAGGAATACATTGAGGAGGAGAAAATGATGGAGACGAGGTCAATTAAAAAATGTGTGATAACGGGGTAATGGATGAAATGGGATTAATTGTCTACTGTAACAGCAGGTTGTCGTTGACGAGAACATGTAATACGAGCGGCAAAGAAATGCGGACAAACGAGCCATCTCCTCGCTAACTGGTTACTAGTGGCCTCGCCGCTTGTAAAACAGAAAGCACGAAAACCTCGCAGGATAAGGGAAGACGTGCAAACGATCACAGGTAGCCCAACTCTCACCTTGTAAACTCATAACTGAAGCGCATTGTAACGTTGTTGTCGGCAAGGTACTTAGTCATTAGGTCACGTGATGGTGGACTGATGGTCCAGATGGAGCTAGAATTACCAACAATCTTCACCTGAACCACTGTACCTCTCCCTTTAAAACTTTGGAAGAATGTCTCCAACTATGAGAGAAACTTGTGGTTAGAGTCAACAAAAAAAGTTTGATATGCAGAAGGATGATATTTTACATTCCTCGACCACCTTGACAAATCCAATCAAAAGCGTCCCTACATAGCCATTTAGAAGAATATGACGTATTCGTGTTTTCATAAAGCGCCGTGTTCACTCGAATGGCTCGAAGCGCAAGCTACAGCATGTTGCAAAATAATGAAATACCTTGAGCAAAAAACGTGTTCACCAACTTTATCAGATAACCCAAGAGAATTAAGTGCAAAAAAATAAAAGCTCTCCCCCTTTCTCGATTCAAAGTTTTTGATCGAAGTATTGTACATGATACTGCTTAGCTACCAACATTGCAAATAGGGGAGTGGGGGAATACATTACGTTGGGTCAAAAGGTGAAAAATTGTCTTCTGCAACTGGTTGTAGGTGCATACAACGCTAAATGGACCTACGAGAAGATTAAACAAATTTTCTTATCGACATTCTCATCACGGTTGCTTATCAAAAATCCTTTTGGCTAGAGAAACCAAACCCCTCGAAATGACTGATCTAACCCTAGGGTGTTTGCAGGCTCCATTAATTACACAGTAATAACTTTTATAGCACTTCATAAATCACACGGTTCGAGTCATAAAGTGAAACAGCTTCCACATCTACTCTCAGAGAATATGAGTCCACAATACAACGAAATGATTATCTTTCACAATTGAAGGGGGCTTGGTGAACAAACATTTTAACTGTCGTAGCTTGTTACAATTTAAGAAAAGGTAAAAAGTTGAATGGAGAGACCACTTTGATTTGACGGTCAATAACATTAATTTTAAAGGGCGAAACGAGATTTTTTGGGGGTTTCCAGAAATTACTTTAGGGCCAAGTCAAGTGAGCACCTCAGTTTCTGAATATCCTCCTGGACGTTCTTTTTTTATCTTGTCGATTTCCATGTCAGACAACACGTTCAAAGATTTCTCTTGCGCGCTGACTTTGAATAATGGCTGTGGAGAGGGAAGATAAACATAAAAACGTTTAATGAAGTACTGAGCCGTGACTCGCATTATGAACTTGATCTGGGCATCAAATGCTCTTTCACGTGGAGATCAGCTCTTCACTTAACCCAACAGAAGGCTCTTATTACTTACGTCGCCGCACGAGTGTTTCCTCTCCCGCGAGAAAGTTGGAGGCCTGGAGCAAAGCGAGCCGGAGAGAGAGATCTGTAAGGGGTCTGGGTCCAGATGCAGATAAAGACCTCTCGCCGGTGCGCTTGCCTCCAGGCCTCATACTTTCCACGCAGGCGAAGACAAAATCGCGTCCCAGCGCTGATTATGAGGGCCAGCTCGCAAGTTACTCTTTATCGATCTTATTTACTTTCTCTTTATAGAACCTCATTTATCAGTAAAACGTTTTTTTTAACAATAATAGGACCGAAACAGATGTTTCCGTGTGATTTAGTGCTTTTGACTAAGTTGCTAACGTAAATTGGCCACCGTGATGAGTTTAAAAGCTGACGTTTCGAGCGTTGGCCCTTCATCTATCGCTCGAAACGTCAGCTTTTAAACCCTTCACGGTGGCCAATTTACATTATCAACTCAGTGTTGATACTACTAAATTACCCTGTTAAACTCTCCCACCAACGTAGTCCCACAGTTTCTCCAAAAACTTACCCCCTTTATTTAGCAGAGTCCGTTAGCTTAAATGAATCGATCTCACACTGGGAATTAATTTAAGGTTACTCCTGAGAATTAAGGTTTAACTGCCAGAAGTAAACATACAACTAAGTATGCACAGACCTGGTATCCTCCGATAGACAGTGTGAACGTTGCGTCCTGTGGCAAGTTACTTGTATATACAGAATTGATGTAGGACATAAACAAAAGAGGGAACCATATCACGATCACCAGGAGAGCCACCAGGAGTCCGCCTAGGCCCCATTTGCTAATAGTCCAATACTTTTGGCCCCTGGCTTGAAACCATGTCTAGACACCAAAGAAAAAATGGATTAACCTGTGAATCAAGTTTACTTCACCATAGCCGTGGCCAAAGTTACCTTCTCGGCGTAAGTCACAGTCAATTGAGAGAGGTTACGCGTGACGTTTGCAGCAAGTGTCAACAGCAAAATTTGAACTTCACGCCATCTTTGATCTACCGTTTTCATTTTACGCATCGACCGATCACATCGACCATCAATAAGAGACTTTTGCAATACTTCATCAGGTTCAAAATCAAGTAAAATTTTTACCGCTTGCCTTTGCTGTAAACATCCCGTTTAAACTCAGGAAAACAACGCGTTCCACCCCAACCACACTTTTCCCAGCCGCCACTTGATATCAGTTCTTGAGACGTTTTGGGTAACGCAAAAGCACACAACTTTTTTTATTTTAACATGATGGACAAGGGGACAAAAGCGGATAGCCGCCATTTCTTCTCTACCGGCTCTAAACGACTGAACCATTCATTCAATAACTCCAGTGGACTACCGCTGGCAAAACTGTTCTCACCTTCTCGGATTCTCTGTAACACTTCAAGACATAAATGTTAGCATAAATATCCTCCATCTTGAGCCAGTGATACAAGGTCAGCGTGGTATCCGTACAAACCCAGTCCAACACACTGCGCAACTCAAGAAGGAAGGGAATGGCCTGGAAACTAGTAACATAACAGATGATGGAGACAAATCTAATCTTGAAAATAATTTCGTGGCAGATCAAGGAAATTGAAAATAAAATTAAAGCTCATTTCAAGTGGTGAATTGAGGGAGAAATTTCGACGTTAGAGATCATCTTTTCAATCTCAAACGGACTTACCCCTGGAATAGAATTCCACTGGTCAAGGTATAGCTCTTTGTCAAAAAATTACCCAGAATCCTGGTCGGGTAACCGCAACGCACTTGATAGGCGGACAGACCGAAGTACATACACATGAAGATGTACATGAAGATTGCGGGAATGTTCTTGATAAAAGGCCTAGAGTGATGACAAAAAGCATATTCCGTACAAATATTCCTTCATGATTTTCTCAAACTGCCACCTTTAAGAATGGCAATCAACCAAGAACAACAAAAAAAATTCGGCACCAAAGCTAGGGCAATAATAAATCTAAGTGTATATGTAAGGATTTAAAGCGCAGTATGTTCGGATCTGAACATCTCTAGGTTCGCAGTATGTTCGAACTGAGCTCCCTGAGAGTCGCTGGCAAACTAAACTGCAGGCGATGTATAAGGTTTGCATTTGACAAGTACTAAGCACACTGCTAAGAGCAACAATGTCGAAACTGATCTGTGTGCAGTAAGAGAGACGTAATGTACTGCGTTCCGTCGTCGAGAAACGTTTTTTTTTTCTTTCTTTTACATACCTTTGCGTAACGAGCGGCACGATAAAAAACATGAACAAGTGGAATGAAATCACCAAGAAAACATTGTACATCAGCTTTGCAATCACAAACTTCCTTAAATACAAATATCTGTAAGGAAAAAATAACGAAGTGTTTTAAAATAATCATATCACTTGCAACAATAACAATATCCAAGAGTCACACATGCACTTTTAGCCAAGGAAATCATATTTACCTGTCGATGACGATGAGAAAAAACTGCGATAACAACATGTAAAGAAAGGTTTTCGGCACCTACAAAAAAATTAGGCGAAATGTCAATTAGATTAAGTCTGAAACACATATCTTTCTACCAAGCCTGACCTACAATCCACAGATGGCATCGAAAACAGTCTCCAAAGAGGAGAAATTGGAGAGCACCGGCTAGATTGAGTGGTATGGAGATGACGATCAAATAGATGACGTCAAATGACCAAGTAGTGATTCTAACAGTCCTCTTTTGAACCATGCAATGCGCATGCTCTACATATACCAGTCGTCGAGGACTAGAAAGCCAATTTATCCATATTATTGAGAGGAATAAGATGAAAAACCCTTTTTCAAATTCATCCACATTTGTAAGGGGGATTTTGGCTCCTGCTGAAATAACACTTGAAGAAAACACAACTTACCACATTTTGCTCAATAATCTGCATAAATTGCGCTTGCGGTTTCGTCTACATACAAAAGAGAAGAAACTTAGAGAGAGGAATAATGAACAAAAATACATTAAGCTCAATTAACTCATATATTTATTTCTCCTGAATTCTCGTTTAAGTCTTAAGACTACTACGCGAGTTTTAACTCCAATTAATATATCACCTTTTGTTCTAAAGGGTAATACTACATTGCAACTAGTGAAAAGATCATCTTGTACTAAAAGGCGTTCCATTTTCAGTCTATAGGAGAGACATACTTGGCGGGTGTTAAGTTACGTGGATTGGCAGAAAATGCACGTTTGAAGGCACTAAAGTCTCATTTAACTAAACATTACACATCCCTGTAGGCTGACACGGGCAATTCCAGGGATATCATTGGAACTCTTAAAACACCCATAACCAGTCACCCCTAGGTAACTACGGTGATTCATGTTTTAGCGTTGTTGTAAATTGAAATCGATAGCCGCTGACATGTACAATTAGCTGCAAATTTCCATATCAAAATGCAACTGGTTCTTCTACGACAAGTAGTCCCTTTGAGGGGTTAATCTCGAAAACAGCCAATTTCAGTCCCTCTAAACACTTGTTCTACTTCCCTGATGATGCCGTGAAACTATGAAAACTCGGAGCTTTCATTCTTTTCTAATGGTTACAGTAGTTACGGCCTCATTGGAAACTATCATGCCATCTGCTTCCGAAGTCTGTCTAATCAAGAGGTATTGAAATGTTCCACTTTCACCGACTATTCTGATAGTCCATTGGTAAACCTTCTACTCCCCGCTGACATTTATACCGTTTACTTTCATTAAAACTGAGAGACTCCTTACCTCTGAAGAGGAAAAAGCCGACCAACTGAACACAATTATGATGAAGATGATAAACTGACACGCGAACATCATAGCATAAACATCCACAGCACCAGAACCAACTTCAGGATCATAAATACGACGCAAAAACGTAGCCACTGGATGGCACAATCCGCTGAGGAAAGAACAAAATTGAAAAATGTATGTTAAGAGGAAATGCATTGATTGAACTGCATGCTGTTAAAATGCGCAAGGAATGTTATTTACCATTCTTGCTTGCTATTTCTCTCTTCCCCATCCGTCGCATTGGTTGTCTAAAAAGAAACATTTGATTATTTTTTTACTTATTTTACGTTTTACTTTGAAATGGTTTCTTGGCAGAGCAGATGGTAGAAAATGAAATGTTTTTTCATTGACGAGCCTCCATGTCTACCAACTAAAATGGTCGCTTTTGAACATGGAAATCTGTCCTGAAAAAACCTTGTCCAGGACGAGATCTGCTCATGTATGCGAACTTCCGTGCACACTTTCCAAGGAAAGGGTGCATGATTCAAGGGAAACCAACTCCAGCAAATGTTAATCGACAAAGGACGCTATCACGTTTTCTATGCTGATGTATAAAGGAAGGAGAAGTCAGCTTGTGAACCTATAGGCACATGCCGGTTTGTCTAAAATATCAAAAGAAGAAATTACGGTAAAAACTTCTTTTGATCGCGAGAATCTCTCTATGAAGACGGTTGTTTTGAAAACGTTTCCCTCCCTTACTTGTTAGCTATAAGGCTAAAATCATGAGAGCTACAACACAGTCAGCACCGAGATCTTCCATAAACAGTAGTGACTGATGGCAAGGAATACGCACCACCTTCGCAACAGCTTGGTTCAGTGTTAATTTGCCAGATTTCTTGCGCAGGCGAACAATATATAAGCGAACATTTAGACTAACCTGTGATTGCTGAGTTGATATGCTGCTCTCGATGGAAGACGATCTGTCCAGCACTATAGAGCCAGAATTTACTTTACTAAAAGGACCTAGGAAAAGATGATAAAAAAAATTACAATTATCCATGCACTTCAAACTTCCAGCTGCAAAACGTCGGCGCTCTGGAAGCCTCGCTTCTCATTTTAGCGGCTATATCACTCAAAACTGTCACAAACCTACTAGCTGTAAATACTGGATGTACCTGGTGATATGGGTGACATTGGTGGTTCATCAGTATCCTCACCGTCTTCTCGATTCGCGTGGTCTCTCCACAAACCGTGAACCTAAAGTCGAACATACAAAGATACAAAAAAATGCAATGTGGGGAACATATTGCAAACGGTTGTGTATTGGACTCCCATGTATTTTGATATTTGGTGGTTACACCTTTCACCCATATTTGATCAGTTCGATGGTTTAACAGCACAGTTATTTTATAGTCTTTTTGAAATCCATCCGTTTCTTAACTAGCAAATTCAAATTTAATCACACAATCCAATTTGGATACTGATGACGTTGCGCCTCCAGAAATCCTTACACATCTTTCGTGCCCTTCAAACTTCCCCCGTGCTTCATACCTCGATGAACGCACAGAGACGCACGAGCCAATTCTTAACTGAGCGGGAGTTTTACTGGTCCACTAGGGAACCAAAGAAGGAAAGCAGAGTCCCCTAATGCATTTAAGCGTGGTCTGTCTAAAATTATATTAAAATTGTATTATATTTACGACATTTCCCTGGTGCTTCTACTTTTATTTGTTTGCTTCTTGGCTTTTTTTTCCTTTTAGTTTCTAAATTTTAGGACCCTTATGTAAACCATATCTTGTAACGTTGGCATCCTCAACAAAGATCATTACTACTAAAAGAGAATGTTACCTTCAAGGAATATCTGTGAAAGAACAGCACCAAAAGCAACAGCAGATCATAGGCAGACGTGTGTCCAACCCGTTCAATACCAATTATTCTCGGTGAACACAACGGACTGTTCTTCTCCAATCCTTCTGACGGATTACAATCAGTAATGTCGATAAACTGAAACTTGAACAGATACTTCAACACAATTACGACTTGTGTGTACGTCATCACGGTGATCCAAAAGATCTTGGTCGGCCTGGGAATGGACAGCATACCCCACAGGAATACCAAGAAAGGAAGAGGCATCGACAAGATGCTGGCGTACACCATGTGGTTTAAAATCATCAGCATGTAACACAGGATGTCAGTGTTTGCCAAAAGCGCGTAAATGAAAGCTATTGTTAGACGAGAGATACGCATGTTGGATTTACGCCAGCTTGCGCTTCCGTCAATATCCTCGAAATCCAAGTTTGAGGCAGACCATGCGTCCTCGTCCTCCATAGTAAAGCGTGACGTCATACTCTGTGTGTTAAAAAACTACTTGTAAAATTACTACTTGAAGGTGAGGCTGAGTATAGCACATATATATATATAAATATATATATATATATATATATATATATGTAAAAATTGTTAGTAGAACTCTCAGGCCAACAAAGGCGCACCGCGCCAGGAGGATCAATAAAGATTCGCAGTCCAAACCTCACAACAAACACGAACGTAAAGAGTTAAAAAAATGCGAGGATGGACAACTTCTGAAAAAAACTAATAAAAACGTTTCGGTCAAAGACCTCCTTCAGTTATTTGCAGTATATGTATGTTTATATATATATATGTATATGTATATATGTATATGTAAAAAGGCACACGACTTTCGTGCTCTTTCTAACTGCATATTTAATGACTATCCTTAACGTGCTCCTGGACTTCGAGGATGTTTACCACGAAAAAGTTGAGATATAGCCGCCTGCCATAGCTCTCAGCTACAGAGCATTACTCTCTGCTTACGAACACTCGATAGACTGGGAGACTTAGAAGGTGGCTGAAATCTTCACACCATGTTTCTAGTAAAATTAAAATCCATCTTGATAACCCTTTGGCCCCTAACAGAGACTAGCATCTATTTTTTTTTGTCACAATATCAGCCCTGAATCACACATTAAGGTCACAAGAATAAAGGCAATGAACTCCAACTAAAAAAGCGCGATCAACAAATTCTCCTTTCCAGCACCTCTGGAAATGTATGGAGATAAGTATGGAGAATATGCATACTGATATTTGGGCGTAAAGGGTTGAATGTAAGTTACAATATGAAAGAAAAAAAGTATTCTCACGCGCACCTTCGTATCTGCTTCGGGATCCGACGCTTCACCGAGCCGAATGCGAGCACTTCCGTAACCAAGCTTAGCACGACGCAGCTTCTCATGTCTCTTCTCTTTTTGTTCTCTCTTAAGCTGATCGGCGATCTCTCTGTAGTCTTTGGAGATGTCATTTAATAAGTCGATGACTTTATCCACAGATATAGCGATATAGTAATACAACCAGCTCCACCATTTTTTAATTTTGGTGACAAACCCATCCGCCTGGCCGTCATCGCTACTTGCTTCCGGGACGAAAACTTCTACGAATTCATCTTCATTGCCAATTGAACTGCTAGAGCTCTTCCGACCCCAGGCTGCCCCTCCTGTGGCCTCTACTGGAACTTCGCTCGGTTTCTCTGTGATCAAAATTGTTTTAGCAAAATGAGGAAGCAAGAAAATTCCCCCCAAAAGTTCCTAGTTACAGGGCAGGGTGACCACTTGAGCTAAAATTGATGTGGAATACTAAAAGGCGGTCTGATTAATGAAGAGGCCTCATCAAAGAGATGGTCATTGCCGTGTGTTGGGCTAAATGTAACCAAATCTCGAAAGTTTTTCACACCTCATTAATAATGTCATAACTTGCTTTCTTGAACTTCGTAATTTTTTCAGGGTTGAAATTGATTTTAAATCTCGACGTTTCGGAAAAGTACGCTTTTTTTCTCGTCACTTTTCTTCTCTCTTCCTTCTTTCCCCTTTTTCAATAAACAAGAGACATACCCTTGTCTCCAGTCTCCTCAGCTACACCTCGCCCTCTTTCTGCCTCAGTGGGACTGTGACTCCTGTCATGTGTTGGACTCCCCGTCGCTGATTCACCCTCGGACTCTGCTTCTGATTCACTTTCAAACCACTTGTAATCGCCGGAGTAAATTGCTGCAAAAGATGAGAGAAACGAGAGCGAGACATGTCAAGCGCTATAAGCCAAATACGAAGAAAAAGAAGCCAAAAAAATAAAAATAAAATAAAATAAAAAAAAGCTTGTGTATGATGGAGCAAATATACACCAAGCCAAATTAATGATCCATGTCATATCTATACCAAGTAGCAATGCAGAGCCAATTTTATTTACGTGTAAAATACTTCAAAACAGGTTGCCGGCGGAGGTAATTATAACCAAGTGCGACGCCGGATTGTAACGGATGCAATGGTTCACAAAGAGACAAACGACCCTGCATTAAATCAAAACGTCGACTGGTTGGTAGCTTTGAGCTTTCAGCGGTTGGCGTAAAATTGTACAAATTTCTTTTGATTTGAAAACCGCGTGAAGAAGACACTGAGTACGTTAAGTCTCTAGCAAAAGGTTTTCCAAGAGCGAAAAGCTAACGGTGGCATCACAGACAGTGCTACCTTCATAGTGTGACTGGGGTTCGTACTGCATTCCTGCCGGGTGCAACTTGGCCAGTTTCTGTTTCAGCTTGTGAAGCCTGAAACAAAAAAGTTACAGCAAAATTAAAATATTGTCAGTTATAACGGGGCACCAAGCTGAAATGCACAGTGAATAGTTAGCCCTTTCACAGTGCGGCATCTAATATTCTGGGTAACACCTCGATGTGGCAAGAGCGGGTTATCAAGCGTTCAACTTACGATTTCCTGATTCTATCCATCTTCCCTTTGTCTTCTCGTCTCACGGCATCTAACTGGGCACGAACATGTTCATTGACTAACTCAGCACCCCTAAGGAAAACAAACATACATCCATAACTTCAATTCACAACAACAGAGACTTCAGATTTACCTAGTATTGTAATACAAATATAAATTTCAAAAATCTACATTAACTGTGAGTAAAATCGTATAAGAATTGATGAGCATCCATAAAGAAATCGAAATTGGAGTAATGCTTTTTAGGGAGGGTTGAAAGGGAGGGAGGAGAAAGAGTTTCATTGAAAAAGTAGAAATTTAAGGCTGGGTTCGCAACGCAGATCCCTGTGACCGTATCACTAAGAAGATGTGAGCACTCTCGCTGCTGCCATAACTGTTCTCTCCCTTCTAGAAGTGCAAGAGACATGAATTTTTAGCCGTTCCTGACCTGTTGGCCATGTCTGACTGCTCTCTGTGATCACGCACCACGTGCTTGAAATAATCTGATGTGAATACACGATACTGTATGACAAGGAACGTGAAGCATGCGCAGTCCATAGCAAGTCCCGTGTCATCAGGAGCCACACAAGGATCATTCTTGGTTTCTACGTTGTTCTTGTATCCACCTTCTCTCAAACAGTACAAGCTCAATAACTGTAACGCCCAGCAGCCGGTGTGCTTTTTCACATATTCTACATACACACAAGACACAAGCTGAAAGAAATCATAAGGACATGAGAGGTTAAGATGTAGTTAATCTTGGATCACAGTCTGCTGAAAAATTCGCTGAAAACAGCATATAATAACTGCAATAAAAAGGTAACAAATAAAGCGAGACAAAACAAACAAAAAATACGAACGGATCCTCAAACATGACCCACAATTTCAAACTGTGGAAGGAGTAGTCAGACGTCGATGGGGTTTACGGAAAACCGTGTTGTCGTAGCCTGAATTTCCTTCGTTACTCTTCACCCACGATGATCAGTTCGTTATTTTTGTGATTACCAAACCGACCGTAAACCGACCATACAGGTCGCGTCATCCCCATTACTCCTCTTAATGTTGGAAATACTATAACGAAAATTTTGGTGACCTAAGAGTGTTCACAAACGAGCAATACTTCAAATTGTGCAGGGGTAGGAAGAGAAAAATTCACGGAGAGCAAAATTTTATCCTAGACCCTTGTGACGAAGGAGGCGAAAATGTGTTTCTCGGGTATGTACTTCTCACGATCATAAAATCTAGGAAAACATTCAAAACGTATTACAAGGTTTGCATTCAGTGCTTTAAGTAAATTTTCCATAAATAAAATGAGTTTCTTTTACCTGTAAACAAACTTTAGCCAAAAGCGTGAAATAATTGTATCCTATGAAGATTTTCCAAAGTCTGAATAGTCTTGTCCTCGGCTGAAGGTAGAGCGCTTGGCCGTGCCACAAGAAGAAGAAACACCACAAAATAAAACCAAAATTGAAGATGCTAATGGTGCTTTGAACAGTGATGTATACTACGGCTAAAGTCACCCAGTACATGTGTTGAAATACGAACACCTGCAACGATAAAGTTACCAGTTACTTTCTGTAGAGAGAGGCGTGGTTTGATAGAAGTAATGTCTTGCGTTGGGCTGCCAAATGTGCCGAAGGGGGAGGGGTAAGGGTAGGACGGGTGAATTATTAATGTCTCTTACAACTAAAAGTGGGACGGAGAACGTTCCTACTGATGTTGTCTGTCAGTCACTGTATGAAAATAAAATACGAAGAGTTACCAAAGACTCGGAAAATAGTGGTATTCCTTTGACTGATAGAGCGTAATACACTGTTCGTGACGAAGGAGAACGTCAATTGTTGATTTTCGCCGATGTTTACAAAGTCTACCTTAACGAAGTCAAGCCAAGTTATATTCCACATGAAGTCAGGAGTAACAGTTTTTCCGCGGCTTCCTCGTCTGTTGGAATTAAAAGCTGAACCCGAAGAAGCTTGCTCAGTTGATCGTTTAAAACGCTCCATAGAGAACACGTTTTCTTGACAACAGGCGAATAGCAGTTGGAAGAAATCACCTAAAAAGAAAACCATCATCAGTCAAGAGTCACTCAATTAGAATCAAGGAAAACTTTAAAGTCCCTCGCGTCACAACACGTGACATTTGCTACCAAACATAGAAACCACCTGACAGTCAACCTCAAAGGAGTAGCATCAGTTGCAATAAAAAAAAACCTCTCACTCTCAGTAAAAACAAAAATATTGTAACAGGAAAGATCAGTCAAGGTACGTCACACACGACAAAAAAGTTCACTTGAGGTCACAGGACTTACCTAAAAGAAGCTTAGGGTCGGGTGGGAGCTTCACATCGGTTAAATACAGCCAGTGAACGAGGTTAGGCTTCAACGCATTGGTCCAGGGATAAGCTACACCGGGAGGATAAATATGGTTATGGTTAGAAACTTGTTTATGTACACGGAGAGAAATCTTCAGCAACAGCTTAATAAAGCAAAATGAGCGCGATCTTGACGGAAATATTCAAATTCTGCGTTGCGGTGTCCTGCCACTGAGCTTCATGGAAATCCTGAAAGAGTTAGGCCATTACCAGGTTCATTGTGCTTTATTGCAGTTCTCACGCTACAGCTCTGGATGAACATAAATCCAAACAGAGATTTAAAAAATGGATACAGCCCGCCGGGTAAATGTTTTGAGAGCAGCTGAAGGGTTACCAGTAAAAACACAAAACAGGTATTACACAGACAAAGGACAGCACTACAAACCGATACAAGTAATCCATCGATAAAGTTAAAACTTTGATCAAAAGAACGATGTTTCATACCCAGGCATAGCGCAGGAGGCCATCCCAACACCAGGAGATACTGCAGAGGTAGGAGCACTGCCAAGAAGCCCACATAAACAGGCCACACTATCGAGCAGTTCTGTCGGCCCAGTACCAAAAATGTCCCTAGCCAAATGGCATATACCACTGACGTGATGTCACAACGGACAGCCATATTTATTACGATCATAACTAAGCAAACCTGAAAACGGTGAGAGGATAGCCAGTCATATCTAACAACCTCTACTCAGCCTAACATCCGATACAGTGACGAGTAACCAATCGATCTCATCACTTGACGAAGAGTAGCAGTACGCAGTCTTTAAGACGCGAGCTACAACACAGGTGACTAAATTGTGAAATACAGCATCAGACACCAAAGTAATTGTTCCTTGATCAGCAGGATGAACACCAACAACCACTAAAACAATTCATGTGAAGGTGTTGGGGGGAAGTGGAGGAATTGGGAAAAACTAACGTTCGACGCCGACTGAATACGATGCCTTTACAATATGGTGCAAATGTTAGCATCAGTTCATTCGTTTACTTTCTCACCCCTGGCTTGTAAAGCGTTTTGAGAACCAGTTTAAAGGCTATGTCAGTCAGTTTAATAACCAAATTGATGAAAAAGGCAGTTTTGCTTTTAAACCGCAGAGTAACGTTCGATTGGCAGACGTTGTCACGTTATCGGAAAGTGGAGGAGGTACCTGACTGATACGGCGAACTTCTCACGCGCCAGACTACCGTAGTAACTAAATATGACATAACCCATGATTTAGTTTAAACTATGATTCTTATACAGTCGTATTTTTTTCTTTTTCGGTTGGAGATGAGTACTCCATTTTAATTGGGATTGACTTCCAAGTCGGAGTTTGGTTAACTTAGGTTTGGTATGGGAGTAGCATGGTGTTTGACTAAGAGGGCTTCGATAACAACCTTGTGTATGTGTGTGTTGTGGTTCAATTTTAACCTTGGTTCTAATTTTATCTTCTTTTGTTTTTGGGTATTGTAATTTATGATAATGAGTTTGAAACAAAGGAAAATAAAATTTGAATCAAGGATAAAATTGAACTACAACATAAACATTGAATCAAGACATCATAAACTATTCTCTCGTTGTATCAAGAGATTTCATTCTCTTGATTGTTTGTGTGTCAGTAAAACAAAAACCATGATGCAGGTTAAGCCAGATTGTTGGGGGCATCAAAAAGATTATTAACAATTCATTGAATGTATCGTAGAAACTGAGCATCCTACAATTACAATCACTTTTAGTTTTTCGTCATCTAATAATCATAATAAGGATTAATGTAAGCTTACCTCCCAACCAAAATGGAAGAAAAACTTGTTAAACAAATACTTGATACAATCTACAATTCCCTCATCAGCATCTGGTCGTGTTATTCCCGGAAACAATATTCCGACATCTGGTTCTTTCAAATTATTTCTCCAACGGTAGAGTTTCTGTCGATAAATAAAACAACGGGGAAAAAAGTTTGATTAAGAACGTTTAAGAGATGATCGTTTTCAGCAGGTTAGCTAAAAAAAGAGACTGTAAAGACTCTTCAGAAGCAGTGTGGTTGAGTGGTTGGGCGCTAGGCTTGTAATCCGGTGCCCACGGGGTTCAAGCCCTCCACCCTGCTACTCACTGGATTGGTTCTTGGTTGCCCCAAGTTCAACTCATTGGCTGCGCTTTGTATACAGCCAACTGGTCTCCCTCTAGCCAGCTGAGATTTGTAAACACTTTGTTTGTTAATTCATCATTCATTCACTGGTATTGGCCTTCAAAATCTCCATTTGGGGAGTGGTTAATTAAGTCTACATGCATAGGCACAGGACAACAACGAAAAAATAAACCTAGTTACAACAGCTAACGAATATCGACAACAACGAAGGAAACTGATGTTCTTAAAATGGAACCAAATCGCCTACCTGATGATGTTTAATGACAGCATGTAAAACAATAACTATCACGATCAGCAGGTATCCCTACAAAAAAAATAAAAAAAATAAAAAATAAAACTGAAAAGTGAAACAAAAACTTAAAGACTCTCGTGAAAAAGACAAAAAAGAGAAAATAATTTTGCTCAGACGTAAACCGCGTGTCTGCACTCTGATAAATCACAGGCTACAACTAATCACAGAAAGCGTAGTAATCAGTTCAATGGATAGAAAGATAAATAGATCACAAGGAATGACCAATCACGGAACGTGTAATAAACAATACATTGGATAAAAAGGTATAAATGTTTTCAATACCTTTATGTCCTCCGAGATGTTATCTGTCTTGTAAAAGCCAACCCACAATGCATTGTTGATAAAATGATTAAAAGAAGACGGACGAGGCAAGGTCTGAGGACAAAGAAAGGAGAATGATAAAACGATCAAAATATGACTTCTCAAATCTCTGCTAACTCTACTTAAAGCCGTACTGACTCATTCCCACTATACTTAACAAACATACTAAGAAGATTTCTCAAAATATAGCAGAGCCCGTTCCAACCTATTGGCCAAAAGAGAAGAGTTGAAGCGCGAGCGTCAAACATCGCTTTTTGTTGCCGGTCAAAGAAACTACTTTTCAATTTCTATTCTTAGCCTGCCCTCTTCGTTTCTCGCGCCCACACTTTCGCGCATGTTCGCGCATCTTAGCCTTTTCTTTTCGTGACAGTGAGACTCTGCTCTGTTCGTTGCAACGAAAATAATAATGATGCTCCCAGCTTGATTCGGCGTCAGATCGCATTCGCTACCTTCAAACGTGATTTAAAATATTAGTTGAGAGGGAGTTAACTGCGCTCTGTGGCTTACTTTGTAAAAGTGGGCAAAATCTATTGCGAATCGCTCTAAATTATTTTTTTTTGTCTTATTTTCGGTGTTTTTTCCTGTTTTCCTTTTAAGGTTTTATTTTGTGTGAGTGTGTGCGTGCGTATGGTTTATTTCACCTCGTTTATCGACGGCTACACAGCACTAGTGTCTAATAAATTTTAGTTTCCACTGGGCTTGTTCTGTTGGTCTACTTTGTCGTGACTATTTCTAACACTCAGGCATAAATACTCCCTAAGACTTACCTGGTCTGTGCAGTTATGTTGAAATAAATCGGCTTGTACAAATCTCAGCTGATAAATCATCTTACTTAGAATAACAAGCGAGCTCCAGATCAGAAAACAGTAAGATAAGGCCCTCTGGAGAAGATGTGACGGCATAGAGATACCAAGCAAAATAATAATCACTGCGTTGATAGCACAGACCTAAAAGAGAATGACACATCGATGAATAAATTAGTCCTCAAAGACACAAATAGTATTCGTATTCTACAAGACTTAAAAAATGAAACTGCATAAACCAGCAGATCAACCATTAAGTGTAACAATTTTTAATAATGCTCTTCAAAAAGAAAGTGTATTATTCAAAATTCTCCGTTACTTATTTCACCGAATGGGTATCTGGTTGGCAAGCTAGCTGTCTTACACTGTACATTCAGTCTAAAAGAACCGGCTGAGAGCCTAACTAGTCAATTGACTACCAGACAAACAGGCAGACAGACCGGACGACTGAACAAACGACTGACCCATTGACTAAGACCTATCAAAAGCTTTAGCGCACGTTTGCCTTTGATTTGATTGGTTGCCTAAATTCCAGTACTTTTTGTAAGCGTGCGAACTATGGAGATGTAGATCATGTCCCTCAAACGTGTCGCTTACTTTCCGAATATCATTGCCATGTTCAGAGGGTTTTAAGGGTGATTTTTTCAAGTTGTGATTTGAGGATCTCGATCCACTTTGTTTGTTTCTCCTCCCAGATACCCGCTGTGATGATAACTGACGGCAACATAAAATAAATCGCAAAAAGACGTGCTCCTAACTTTACAATTAGCATGATATTGAAAGCGACATTAATCTAACCTGATGAAGCACCACGCAAATCAGCGTCAAATTGACAAGCTTCAACATGTGTAGCTCTCCTACTCTCCAAAGAAACACAGTCAGATCATTGTAAAAATTCACTATCCTGATAAGTGCCACAACTAACAGAGACTTTTGGGTAATCGGCCTAGTCCCTCGAGCAGTGCCTACTGGCCCGGCACCATCTTGCTGAGACGTGGGTGGTGGGACATGCGGGTCAACAGCTCCCCTGGCGGAGGACTGGTGCACGGTAGAGTTATTTCGCGCTTTTAGATCAATCATGGCCAGAAATGGACGATGGAAGAAATGAAGTTGTATAACAATGATGATTGAAAAGGCGGTAGGAGTAAGAAGTTCTAACAGAAGGCTGGCTTTTGTATGTTGACGAAGCCCAAGGTTGTATAACCTGTAAACAAACAGGATGACGATCGTAATTTATGCGAAAGTTAACTCCTGGCGAACAACGCAGCAAACAAAAATCATAATCTATGGAAAACGTTCCTTTTAAAACTATTATGTACCCTGTTCACACTGCAAATTTTGGTTAAGGAAATAAACTCATTGGTAAAGAAAAGAAAGAAAAAAGAGCTTAAGTGCTAAAGACGGAACATTTGCCGTCAGGTGGGAGGAACAATTTGCTATTGGAAATAAATCATGAACGCTTTTAAATTTTCAATACCAATTTGGAAACCGATCAGCCTGTGTTAAAGATTGTCTCCGTAGAACTGTATTATGGATAAATTTGTGCATATTAATTGTCAGTTCTAAAACACAAGTCGTATAGCATTGCTAAAAATTCTTTTCAAGGGGCATTTTGTATGACACAAAAGTCACATTACAGAAAACAAGATCTTACGAAACAAAAACGAATGACAAAATGATTGAGTTGAGACATTTCTTGTGGAGACGAGCCAGCAGGTTTGTACTTACCATTGGTCTGATAGTCCAGTAGCATTGTGCCAGTAAACTGGCATGTTGTCAAACTGGTAAGTGTAGATAAGTAACAAGATGCAAATTGAATAAATGACCATCACCCACCACAGGGGACGAAGGATTAATCGCCACGTACCAATGGATATCTTCAAAAAAAAAAAACAAAAACACTGACTTGTTAATTCATTCATGCTCGGTGATTACATCCATGGTAAGGTAAATTCTTTACTCGAGCCCAGTATCCCACCCAGCCAGAGCCTATCCCGGCTTCCATATACAGTGTAGCATGAGGCTACTAGGAGTATTACCTCCCAGCACTTTACCAGGGTTCTCTGACAATTCTTCAGTACCCATTTCTACTCCTAGGTGGAGAGAGGCACTATGAGAGTTTAGTATTTTGCCCAAGAATACAACACAATGACCTGGCCAGGTCTTGAACCCAGACCTCTCAACCAGGAGTCTAGCGCACTACCAATTTGGCCGACGCGTCTCCCACACCCACTGACAAGGAAAAGCAATATGTAAACCAAGAATAAAATTCAACCATAACATAACGTATTTATAAAACGCTTTCCATCTACAGGCTTCCATTGGAGTACTGCTCCGCACAACTAGGTCATTGTGATGAACTGTACTGTATGGACATCTGTATGAAGCTACATAAAGTTTTTAGGGCTGGTAGATTTTTCTGGGATAAATGGCTGTGGGTCACCTATTGTATTATTTGCCTTTATGTCCTTATTCAGTTTGTTTGGCAAATAACTACATCACCCCCACCAAAGTTATAGATCCAGTAACGTCCGTAGAAGTAATTTTTTAAAGTGCCTAAAATAAATATAGGCGCTAGGTCGTCAAAGCCAGCGGCTACACATCAAGTAAAAAAACTGACAGTCCGTGCAAATCCTCTTTCTGCTTAACCGCTGATTTTCTGAGCTCTTCTGCTCGATACTTTCAAGTGCACTCAGCATTGCTATCAACATGCACTTTAAAATCTAAGCACAGCATCTTTTATGATACAAACCAAAGGAAAGTGAACTACAAACTATGCCATGAAACAGCTGTTACATTCAGTGGAATGTTAGAGGTTTGCATCTAGAAATATGTGTATATACATATTTTAGTATCCTGAAAAATAATTGATACATATGTATGATCTACTCACCTGATAACAAATTAGTATGAAGAGGAATATTGCCATGTATCCAATCTGATAGACTGACACCTCATTCTGCAAACCAACCAATAGGAATGCACCACAGCATAGTAAGATCCAGTACTTAGCGAGTACTGATTTTACCCACATCATGAGTGCTTTGGCATCATCTGATGCTTTAGGATCCAAAGAATCACCTTCCTCTGAACCAACAGCTAAAAAATAATGTTTGTATCATCATCAATAATTGGCAAAACTACTGCTTAAGGTAACTCTATTATTTCTAGCATTAAATACACCTGTCAGATAACGTGCAAATACTTGCACATTAAGTGGCTTTATTGATCAAGAAAAGAAACCAAGATAAGTGGAGTAGCCAAATAGACAAATATGAAAATGGTGAAGAATTCAATTCAGTTTAGGAAACTAAAATAATTATGCTGTGAGCTGTATTAGAGGGGTAGTCTGCTCATTCTTTTCAGTCACATCAAGAGTAATAAGATTGTTGATTATGTATTAAGAGGTATTAGAAAAGAGGGCAATGTCAAAGTCCTCAAAAGGTGAACAAATATCATGCTTTTAAAACTTTTTTCATTTCACGCTAAAATGTATGATAAGAAATAAACATATGTACTTGCACATAAACCATGTTTGAGCTTTGAACTTACATTGATAAGATTAGTTCTGCAACTAAATTTAAACATTTATCATAAATTCACTTTATTCTACAGATTGCAATCACAGGAAAGTTTTTAAAAGACTTTAAGAAAATTAAATTGCCAAAATCTTCTTTACAGTTAGTGAAAGTTAAAGGGCAAGTATCACTAGTTTATTAATTGATTTTAGGATTGAATTATTTTTTAATTGTTCATTTACGCCATGTATTTACTCATTAACTTATTTCTTTCTAATTGGGTAATAATTAGCCTTGATGACTAGAGATTAAAGATTATACGTCAAAAGATACTGGTTGATTTATACTTTATCATAAAACTGTAACTAGGTATAAACATGGTAATTTGGTATTATCAACTGAGGTGATAACATAAATTGGCCTTCATTAACCCTTTAACTCCCATGAGTGACCAAGACAGAATTTCTCCTTACAATAACTATACAATATCAACCAAAGAAGTGATGAGAATTGAGAAAAATATCAATTTAGGGATAATTAGTTGATCCAATACTAAGTTCTCTGAACTAACATTATAAGAATTGTATAGTTGACAGTAAAGAGAATTAAAAATTTGATCTGGGAGTTAAAGGCTTTAGAGTTAGAAAGCTGACATTTCCAGCACTAGCCCTTTGTCATTTCCTTTGATGAAGGGCTGATGTTCCAAATGTCAGCTTTTAAACTCTCACCATTGTCAAATGTATGCTATCAACTCAGCTGATAACACCAAGCTACCTTGCTCTGCTATCCCACCAATGCAGCATCCCAGTTTCTTTAGAAACTAACCCCCTTTATTCATTTTCTTAAAAAAAAAAAAAAAAAAAAAAAAATATATATATATATATGTATTAGGTTACATTTAGTTCATTCATTTACACATTACCTGAGGAGGAGGATGGTTCCATGGAGGCTTTAGAAAAATAACCAAAGAAAATTTTACATTTTTTTTTTTAAAATTTATTATCATTGATGTAATTTTATTTCATATGTGCTTGGATTGGCAAAAATCCAAACCTGATGTTTATCATATAACTAAAGAAGTGTTTAATGACCATTTTTACTCAATCACTGATGACTTCCATGCGTTAAATAGTCTACCCTTACACCTTCATATGGATGAAAAGATTTAATTTGCAGATTTAGATCCTGGCTAGGAACTCATCTTTTATAGGTTGACATTAACTAATGATAAATGTGAAGACTGACCAGTGCTTTAAATTTATAGTTTAATTTAGTCTTTTTGTTATGTCAAATGGTAAGTGAGCTGTACCATATAAATTGTTCCTTCCAAGGTAATGTTTCATTCAGTAAAACACTTTTTAATTTAAATTTTGCTTTATCATTTTTTCATTCTAATTTTTGTCTCTACAATATACTTACACATCTTTCGAAGTGCCCTTAAAAATGGATGAGCCAGGTTTCTCAGTGGCATAGATTCTTCATTTTCTCTCTCCCTTCTTTTCATTTTCTTCTCTCTGATATGCTGTCTCAATGTCACCCAGAACACCCAAGTGAAGAGAGTCTAAGGGACATGAAAAAAAAAAAAACTTCAATTGAAACCCACTTTCAAATAAAGGCAGTGATATGTGTGATAGTGCTTCTACAGTTTAACAGTGTGGTGAAAATGAAGCTCTAAAAGGACATGCCCTTGCGAACCAGAGCAAAAATTTTAACTTTAACTGGAATTGACATTTTGCAGGTAAGATTTTTGAAATTGTTGGTGGATAAATAACCATTTTAACAAATTGTGTTACCAAGTTGTTGTCTTATATTGATTTTCACCAACAACGACACAAAAATATATAAGACTGACATGCAATATAGCATGGTAATTGTGAAAGACAAGTGTCTTTTCAATTTTTCCACATGCAAGTTCAGTTTTAGATCATAGAGGAAATTAATGTGCCAAGAACATCAGTGACACCCTTCCCTATTGAATTCCAAGCCACTTTTTTTTCTCACCAAATTTTGATATTATCTGTGATTGGCTGCACACATGAAAAGCACAAGGCAAACTGGAATCTATTTATTATTGATATTTAAAAAACTATTAAATCATTGGATTCAAATGATGTTACTGAAAGTGAAAATCTTGCCTGAGCACCAAGGTGCAAACATGGGAACTTCCACTTCTTCAGCCCAAGTTCAGAATAATCAAATGTTCCTGTTGGATCTTGGAGTGGCAGCTCGTCATTGGTGAGCTGAAGGCCATAAACATATTGTACAAGAAGAAGTAACTCAGCATAGATGACAAGTCCTGGCGATGAAACCATACAGAACCAACGTGCAAATGGAGTAATCCAGATAAGACACGCCCACAATAAGAGGACAAATGTCAACCAAGAATGGTAGGTAATACTCCAGGCCTTTGGACCAGAACAAATATAAAATTAAAAATTTGCACTGCTTAAAATAATGCAATAACCCCCACTGAATATGATCATTTAAAATCTCCTGGAAACCAAACTTTGGGGGCAGAGCACACACTTTTGAGGCAAACAAAATTTACCTATGGTATATCTAATACAATTTCTTACCATCAGTTTCAAAAAAATCATTATCTAAACTGACGATCTTGGAAATGTCAGAACCTCCTCACTCAAATAGTAATGCATGTTCCCATGAGCCCTTTCTTCTTTCTCCACTCTCCCCCTGTGCCCTCTTTCTCAAATAACCCTTTAACTCCTAAGAGTGACCAAGACAGAATTCCTCCTTACAATATCAATACAATATCAAGCAGACAAGTGATGAGAATGAAGAAAAATATCAAATAGGGGACTATAAATCAATCCAATAACAAATTCTCCAAATTAACATCACAAGAACTGTATGGCAGACAGTAAGGAGAATTATTAAATAATTAAGATCTTGGTAGTTATTAAGGGTTAAGCATCACAGCGAGACAAAATTTACAGTCGTTTAAAAAAGAAAGTCTAATGCCCATTTCTTCAGCTTGTAACAACTTTTGCCATGAGTATGAATTGATTTACTTGTCCACCAAGCGGGAAACCGGTTTTCTTTAGAAATCACCAACTCCATATAATCTTGGCTAACATTAAAAAGATATCAGCAAAGAGTCACTCTACAAAACTATTACTAACCAAGTCTGAGGTCTATACAGTAAATTACTGCCTGATTTTTTTCCTCAAAGATTTATGGCCAGATCACAAAAGCACTTGGGTCACAAATGCAGAGGGAAAACCCAAAGTTCTGTAATTTACAGTAAAGACCTTGAACTAAGTTAGTAAGATATTTGTTTTATTTCTGGATTCAAATAGACGGTGGAGATTTAAACTGAAACAAAATTTTGAATTTAGCAAGCTCTAATGTAACAGCTAAACTCAGCCTTCTGAATTAACCAATCATAGTGCACATGTATACTGACTAGGAGATGTAATGAAAAAAATACATACAAGAGTCACTACACTATGATTGAAACTTACCATCATAATAATAAGAGCTGCAATGTAGCTTTGTCTCATGAGGAACATCATGATGCTTCCCAGAGTTCCCTGCACTCCTGGGTATTCATAAGGCTCCTGAATTGGTTGGACTGGCTCCTCAGTGACAATGCTCTCAGGAACAGGTCCCAAAGTATTGTAGTTGGTTTGGCCCCCTACCATTAGGGACTATGGAATGGAGGTGAACATTTAACATAAACACCACATCAATTTCATGCAAATCTTTTCTTTCTTCAGTGATAAAAAACAGCTGCAGTTTACATGAATATTCATTTGTTGATGAGTAATAGTCAAATCAAAACTTAATGTTTGTGGGTATAATATGTTTTGGGCTCCACTCAGAACAACTTTAACCCAGTGGCAAGGGTTAAAATGAGTTCTGAAAAGGGCCCTTAATACATTTTTGTCCAAGGAAACTATATTGCTATGGTTATCACTCTTGAGGGCAAGAAAACAAGAACAGTGTAAACAGTCTTGTAAAGGTGCCAGTAGGTTAAAGCCAAAATCTCCATTTTGACTTACAAAATAAACCATAATGCCCCACAAAGTGATTATCATAATGTTTGGTTAATGATGTACATTCTCTATCCCTAGAACCTTCTTATAGTAATGATCTGAAACTTTTTAATGCACCAATTCCCACACTACAATCAATTGTAGCTAATCGTGGATATTATTAATTTAATCACAGCATACAAAAAGAACTTATTTCTAAGATTCACTCTGAAAGGCTGTTACCTGTCTCTCAGCTGAGTAGGTCTGGGGCCAGGTCCTGGGGTCCCACCAATGTGTTTGCCTTTCATATCTTGATCCATTGTCCTGTTCATTATAAAACCAAAATTCAAATAATCAGGAAGAACTTTGTTAATTCCCTCTCTCATGAACGAAAAACCAAATAAAACTGTTAAGAGTAATGAATACAATAGTGAAAGCCAAGCAAGAAAATTTTAGTACACATAGAATAAGCCACTAGAATCTGATAAAAAATATGACGATAAAGCACGCAAAGAGAGAACAATAAAAAGAGAGAACTATAAAAAGAGAGAACAATAAAAAGAGAGAACAATAAAAAGAAGTAGACGTATAGTATTGGAGGTGGTTTGAACTCCAGAATAACAGTTGATTGTGCTATCATATTGTCATCTTAGTAAGAATAGCTCTTAAAAAGGAGTGTTGGCAACAGTGGCCTACATCTTGACAACCTAAGCTGGTGTTATCACCAGGATACATTTGGAGATAATTTCTGATCAGAATGTAGAAATGTCAGAGAAAGGAAAATTCAAAATTTTCAATACAAAAATAAAGCTCTAAAATGACATTTCACACACAAAAACAATGTCGCTTACATGAATAAAGTAGTATCGTGTCTCTGTTGCTAAAAGCCAATAAAGTGCCAAGATCACCCCAGGAGATGCACACTGAGGCCAGTCCAAGTAAGGTCTTACATGAAGTGCTAAAGGAGCACTACAGTCAGTGTATATTATTCCCACAAGGCCAAATAATCTATAAGAAAACAAAAACAAATAAAATGTAATGCATCAATTTACAAAGGGATCAACAAACATTTGGTTTAACACTAATGTAAGGTAATGTAACAAGAATCTGGCAGGCACATGTTTGAATCCCATGAAAGCCTGAATTTTTCTTTTTTTTTTGGGGGGGGGGGCCCCTTCTTTTTCTTCTCTTTATTTCTTAATAACTGCAGTCCACTTGTGAGGACCACTTTTCACTTGACTTTAATCCACAGGTCACAAAATTTATTTCTTTACAAGTTATTCTCTAAATTACAACTGTACATGTATTTATCCCTTTAATTCCCAATAACTAATTGCTAATTCTCTCCTCCAGCTGAGACCCATTTCCATGTAAATTAGTAACAAGAATTTGGTGTAGTTCCAGCTGAGACTCATTTCCATGTAAATTAGTTACAAGAATTTAGTGTAGTTCTACCTGATAAGTTTTGGTATTCTCATCACCAGATAATGTAAGGACATTTTAGGGAGGAGTTACATGTTAATCACTTCTAGGAGTCAAAGGGTTAAAACAGTATCTGCTGTTAAGTACCTTTGTTTTACATTATTGTATACCAGTACTTATAGATAGCACTGATTTGGTTTAGTAATCATGAACAGCCTAGTTTCAGGCTCTCTGGCAGAGTATGCAGGTCATTATGGATGTTTTAGTTATCTTACCTGGCAAGTAAACTTTCAGGTGGAAGAACATCCTGAAAAAATTGGAACTGGTACATGTAGAAAGTCAAAACATGCACACCAGAGTAAACCATCAGAGCAATTCTAACAGAAGCAAATGCTTTCTTGCGTCGTAGTCTAACTGCCTTATGGCATGCCCACATTGTTCCCAAGATCAGGAACATTAAAAAGTATATTGCAGAGGCTAGAGATGGAAGCATTATTCCACCAGAAAGTAACATAACAGCAATAAAATATGGCATCACATTATCCCATGAGGAAGAGTCAGATGTTATCCTAATACGCTGTGGTGTTGTTGAGTGGAGAGAAGAGGAGTCCACTAACCCTCGGCAACAGACAACACATGTTATAGATACAGCTACAACCACCACATCTGGGACAATGATTCTAAACACATCTAGTGCTGAGACACCATCAAACCTGTTTGTAAAATAAAACTCCCTGTTATCAAAATGTTCTTCACTTAGTCACATACAGCTGTATATTACGCATTTCAAGAATCTAAATTTGTTCAGACAAGTCAATATGGCCATGACTATAACCTCATAACAGATATATCAACTGTATCTAGGTCACAGATCACCATTTCTATCGGCTTAGTAGAGGTGTGTGTTTAATACATTCATATTGTTTGGAGATGAAAATAAATTTCTGTATAAAATACAATAATTTGAGCACTTCTCTTAACCCTTTAACTCCCAAGATCTCAGCAGTAATTCTCCTTACTGTCTTCTACATAGTTCTTGTGATGTTAGTTTGGAGAATATACTATTGGATCAACTAATAATCCCCTGATTGATATTTTCTTTATTCTCGTTACTTGTCTGCTTGATATTGTATTGATGTTGTAAAGAGAAATTCTGTCTTGGTCACTCATGGGAGTTAAAGGGTTAAACTTCTTTGTGATAAGACCACCCAGAGCAAGTACATGAAAACACTAGCTGAGTTCCACTTTTAAAAGAGCTACAGGCTGGTGTAACAACAAATTCAAATTGAAAAGATGTATGGGAGAAAAGTCAGATGACAAAGAGCAAATGTTTTACCTACTGAGTCCAATTTGCCTGGTAAGTTGCTCATACACAGAACCTACATTGAAAATAATAGTAATTGATTTATTGCATAATATTTCAACCCAGAAATATAGATAAAGTTGAATCGATATACTATTAGTATACTATCCAAATTATATTGAAAAACAATTAAATCTAATGATATATGTGATAGAAAAAAATCAAATTAAATATTTTCCATCAAGATTTCTCAATTCTCTTCATTATCTGCCATACTCTTTCTGTTCTTTACCTCTAAGAGGTTGATGATATTAATAAACAACATCCTGTAGTTGTTATTTTTCTTGCTCCACCTCACATTTTTGCTTGAAAAGTTATTGATATTGCAAGGAGAAATTCTGTATTGGTCACTCCTCAGGGTTAAACCTTTGACCATTGTGAGTGACTAACATCTTACTTCTCCATACATTATCATTACTAAATCAAACATTAAGGTTATGAGAATACAGGAAATGACTACCTACTCACAAAGCTCTTGTTTATTGTGCAAATCCTCCTCATCAATACCATAGCAAATGTATAGAGAACAGTATAGGGAATATGCATACTGATGTTAAGGTATTCAGGGTTAAGGGATTGAAAAAAGCAAAGAGAACTCACACAGTTCCCCTTTTACTTACAGTTTGGAAAGAAATGTCCATATGGTGGTAATGCTGCTAAGACTATCTGGAATGCAATCTGTGCCATCAAGGCAAACACTGATAGGCCAAGAAGGGTCTTCTGAAAATTTCCTGTGGGGCCTAAAGCTGTTCAAATAAAAATTATGAGTTAGCTTAGAGTTTGTTTAAAATTTCACAGACTGTGGATAGAAAAAAAAATTATTCAATTCATAGGAAATAAAGGAAGAGATAATTCAAACCTCGTGATGGATTGGGAAGAAGAGGAACTGCTAACAGGCAGCATAAGTAGATAACAGAGAATCCATTAAATCTGAAACAACAAGCTAAAAACGAACAAAGAAGGAATAATTTTACAGATCTAAGACCTTGGATAATTCTATGCATCAACAACATGTGACAACAAAAAGTTTATTGATCAATTTATGTAAATGAAATAAATACAAGAGAAAACATTTGATTAACTTCTTGTTACTGCAATAAAGAAAATTTTAAACACGCACTAATCGATTGATGTCTCTGCGTGATAATTCCGCCTTTTACAGCGTTCATAACATAAGAAATTTGATAACCAGAAAACAATGGATCAACTGATATTGATTTATATCGATTTTCAATGCCTGTTGATGGCTATGATGCAATGTATAGATTTGTAAAATGGGTAGTTTTGATACTGGTTCAACTTCAACAGATTACGTCACCACCAAAATACTTGTGGTAATAAAGAAATTAAGAGCTTTAGATACTTGAAATTGAAAGAGGCACAGTTTCGATTATACAACTAATGCATTTACTCTTCAGAAAGAAAACGAATGTGCTCAGTAAGCGACTTTCACAGTCCGCTGGTTTGATGACATTTGAATTAAATTCTTATTCGTCTGGACAGGTTCGATCTGGGAGATCGATCTTCGCCGGGTTAGCAGGAAACTTTTGCTATAATTATTTCTCCACCGTTTACGTACATAGAAGAAGTTGAAGCTCGAAGTACTGAAAAATACCCAATACTTAACAAAGATAGGCAAAATGAAACTTAACTTAGCCAAATATGTTACAGAAATCCCCCAAAATTTTCAGTTTAAAAGGTCCTTGTGTAATAAATGTCGTGATACCGAAATGGGATAGCTTGCTGTTATGAAACAATCGTTCAAAATTTAGTACCCACCTCCAAGCAAAACGAGTGGGAGAATCCACCTGAAAAGAAACGCACAAACCACAGGCGAAGACATCTTTCAGTATTCAGCAAATATACGCCTCTCTTTGATCTTCTACCCAAAATATCACGTTGTGTCGTACGCGTGTTTCTCAACCCCCGAAACGGGGGACATGTCCAAACGTCTTCGTAAAAACGCTCCTTGTAAAATGATTAAGTAAAGATAAGCTTGTTTTAAAGATTCTGTAACTAACTTAAGTCCTAAGTAACTCTCTTTCCTTAAATTTCAAGCGAAGATCAAAAGTTCACCAAATTTTTCCCTCCGATCATTTGGAAAACGAAAGCATAACATGAGCCCACAGCGTTTTCTTTAGTGGTCAGCTGAAAGCAAATTGCGTTTCGCAGTAACATCATGTTGTATAAAGCATCCTATTGTGTCAGAGGACGTGTAAAAATAAGCACCACTGCTAACGGTGTAATTTTCAGAAAGTGACGTTTGTTTCCTTCATGCGAATCGCTGTTTCAGCGACCAACAAAATATCATGTCGTGACGTGCGCATGTTTCTCAACCCACGAAACGGGCGACATGTCCAAACGGCTTCATAAAAACGCTCCTTGTAAAATGATTGAGTAAAGATAACCTTGTTTTAAAGATTCTGTAACTAACTTAAGTCCTAGGTAACTCTCTTTCCTTAAATTTCAAGCGAAGATCAAAAGTTCACCAAATTTTTCCCTCTGATCATTTGGAAAACGAACGCATGACGTGAGCTCACAGCATTTCCTTAGTGGTCAGCTGAAAGGAAATTGCGTTTCGCAGTAACATTATTTTGTATAAGGAATCCTATTGTGTCAAAGGACGTGTAAAAATAATCACCACTGCTAAAGGTGTAATTTCAGAAAGTGACGTTTGTTTCCTTCATGCCAATCACTGTTTCAGCGACCAACAATGAAGAAAACCTGGCTGAACCTTAGGAGCAACACTATTCATGTTTAAGTTTCAGTTGATAGGTCTTACTAAGGGGAAGAAAAGTTGATGACTTTCACATGAGTACTCCTGCATGCTAGGCGGGTATTTAAAATGTAATTCAGTTTTCATTCTCACCACTTCAACAAACGGTTTAACCACGGGAGGACCATACTAAATGTTCGTTGTGAAGGGACGAGCTACGCTGAGGAGAAAATATCAACCGTGATAAACGCAACTTAGTCATTTGAGAAAAAACCTCATTGAAATTTGATTGAATATTAATAGCCTTAACTAGTTTCAAATGAATCACTTCTTTAGCTTTATGTTTAAGGGAAGGAAAATACATGTACAGAAATACGCTATTAATCAGATACTGCTGTTTGCGACATTTCTAGTTGGAAGAGGACTGAGGTTTGGGGCCTGTTGTCCGTGAGGTTGTACTGACCATTGCCTTACCTCGTCCTCCGACACAAAGCTGGTGGGGAAGGGGGGAACTGAGATTGGGGAAGTAATTACACGATCTAAACGGATCTGAAAAAGTTTGAACAAAATGCCTACATCGAAGTGATGAAGATGTTTTTAAGGAGGAAGCTTACAGATCTTCTCGTTTGTTAAAATTAGGATCTGTTTACATCAGTGATGGCCTGTTTAGCTGAAGAGGAGGGCCATATAAATCTGGCATTTCCAGAATACTCGTTGTCAACATGTTCAAACGCAGATAGTTAAACTGAGACTTTCGCCGTCTACATTTGGCAGTTACAGAATCACCAATGTCGTTTTCAGACAAGTTGAGATAAGTTAATGAAGCATTGGCTGAAAGAGACTGAGAGAAGAGAGACCTGAGGGAGAGAGAGAGAAGTAGCACCACAATTACCAATCCCTTTCCATTTCAAGTTCACATTAGTGAATATGGTGTTTAATGAAAGATTCTAAGAGTGACGAGGATCACCAGTATCACCAATGTTATTCCCCATTAAATCCAAATGAGTCAGTAAAGTACTAACTGAAAGGGCCTGAGAGAGAGAAACAGTACCAAAAACGCCAATCCCATTCCACTCTAAGTCCAAATTGGTCAATGTCATGTTGACAAAAAACGTCTGAGAGAAATGAACGATCACCCAACTGAGGCCACGATCTTCGATATGAACCCTCCACTGAAAACTTGATCGACAATACCTACAAAATTATTTTTGTTGCTTACCTAGCGTCAGATAACAAAATAACAAAACAAATCGGGGCAACTTCCAACCAATTTATTCTGATCCATTCATTTTGCTGCAGAAAGAGACAAAATAAATCCAAGACTTTCAGACTCCTGGACCAAAAAATCGTTAACACTGTTTTTGTAATTTTAGCCTGATCTAAGAAACCGTAAGTAATTGAAGTGTAGCGCAGAAGATTGAGATTAGCCACGGAGAAAAACTCTTCTGTCTATCAGAATATGCACGACTGGTCCGATAGAAATACCGAGTTTTGTCACCCCTAGATTCTCATTGTGCGAGCAGTAGCGGTAATATTGATACTGGTTTTGATGTGGAAATGATCTGGTGTTTTGCAAGAGTTTTAACTAGAACAATTTCGTGTCAAGCGACACATCACTGGTTGAAGCACGCGTAAATCTACTACCAGTCATGTTGAAATGTCATTATGGCTAGTCGAACAATAATTGCGCGTGTTTCCCCAAACGTACACCAAAATACTCTACAACATTTTCTTTCCTTTCCTAGTATACTCATTTGGTAGTGAGGGTTATCCAATACACCCAAACCGCTGCCAATCGTCAAAGGCAGTTGACGAATCGTCAAACCGGAAGTCGATTCGCGGCTAAGTGGTGTTGTGATACCGGAGGTCTGAGAAACCATCTCTAATGATATAGAAACGCATACCGGAAGTAAATTTGCAAGAGACTTAGAAAATATTCCGCAAGTGTCTGCGATAGGGGGTTGAAGATGTTGTCGAACCGACACGAATCGAACGAATCGTTACAACAAATGACGACCCAGCATTCCGGATGTCGATTTGCAAGACACTTAGAAGGTAAAAGTTTTTCGTTTGTCTTACGATGTAGTCACGTGTGAAGTAGATCGCAACGTTTCGACTGCATACTGCTAAGCTTCTTCAGGCGATGATGTCGACTGGTCATCCGTGATCTTATAAAGCATGATGCTCTGCTGTGATTAGTTGTTTTTTCAACAGCTCTGATTGGTGCATTTTGATCCTTGCTGTTCAATCAGTGATTTGCTCCCTCGGCAGTCCCCTGTCGTACTGCTCTCCTGTTGTTGTGTTTTTTGATCGTGGGCATCCACGCTTCTGGAATTTCTATTCCACTATCCCCGTTGATGTTGTTAGGGTGAAGTCTTACATGAATTGCCTCTTTGATCCTGCGCGAATAGTAATAAGGGTCACGATTAATAAACTTTACTTCGTTCCAGAGTGGCTTGTGTCCGGTGTTGTGGGCATGCTCTGAAACGGCGGAGGTCTCGGTTAGGGCGAGTAGAATGTCTCGATCGTGCTCCTTAATTCTGTCTTGCATAGGTCTTCCAGTCTCTCCGATGTACACCTTGCCGCATTCGCAGGGAATCCAGTAAACTACGCCATCTTGTTTAGCCCGGTCGATACTAGACGATAGGTGTTTTTCTCCTCGGAGATGACGGAGGGTTTTGTCACGAGATGTTTAGCGCGCTCGTAAAGGCACTTAACAATACCGCGTTTTACTGATTGCGGGTGGTGTGAATCATACGCTAAGTATTGATTGGTGTGTGTGGGCTTCCTGTATATGCTGGTGGTGAGGCGGCCGTCAGGTTCTCTTAAAACTGCGATGTCTAGGAAGGCGAGTTTGTTGTCTTTCTCTGTCTCCATGGTGAAGCGGGTGGGAGGCTGCTTGTTGTTTAAATGCTGTAAGAAATCATCTACGTTTTCGCGATCCAGGATGGTAAAGGTATCGTCCACGTAGCGTCTCCAGATCCTAGGCTCATAGGATGATGTAGTTATTACCTGTTCTTCAAAACTCTCCAAGTAGAGGTTAGCAATAACAGCGGAAACCGGACTCCCCATGGCTGCGCCGTCTTTTTGCTCGTAAATCGATTCGTTATACTGGAAGTATAACGGATTTTTTTAAGGGAACCTGACGGCCACCTCACCACCAGCGTATAAAACAATAGACTTCCGGTCATTTCACGCTCTAAGAACGTGGGAGGTCCATGTCTTCTTCTGCAAATCGACATCCGGTATGACGGATCGTCATTTGCTGTGACGAGTCGTTCGATTCAAGTCGAATCGCGTCGAATCGTTGACATTTGCTACAATGTATAGTTTATAATATTCTGACGATAGACTTCAGGTCATTTCACGCTTTGAAAACGTTGAAGGTTCATGTTGTCATGTTCTCGTACCATGCCACTCATTTTCACTCACTCCTCACGTGCGCGCCCCTCGACATACAGTACGTTAATGCACGATTCGACATCCGGTGTAACGATTCGTCGAAGACCGTGGACGAATCGCAATTAATTTGTTATTTCTTGACATCCTTCCAAAGGCAATTTGTGTTACTAGATTAAAATTCCTTTTTTAATTACTTTTGTCCATTTTGTTTTTTATTTGAGGTCCCTCGCCTCCTTTTCCGCTCCTATACATCTACTAAGAGAGCATTAAAATATTGAGTTGTCGTTAACCATTATACTGTCTTAATCTTAAAACCTATCTATATCCTAGTCTCGGACTCAAACACTCTCGGGGACGTCTTTCTTTGGATTCATTTTTACTCTTCCCCTTTCCGATCTCCTCACGTGAAAAAACTGTGCCCCCTCCTTCTGCTCCGAAAAAAAGAAACAAAAAAATGCGATCAAACTGTCTTAAGAAAACTTTATTTCCAATTCTTATTAAAGTTACTTGACAGTGTTTAATTCATGAAACAGTTGTTTTCTTCCAATCAATCATTCGAATACAACACTTCATCTTTTCAGAAAAAAAAACTATTACCAATAATCCAAGTCGTTTTTTCGCTTGAATTAATCAACTATACAACAAGGTACGGTAATGGTGTATATACCTAAATGTAAAGTTGAGGTCCTCTTGCACATTTTACACTTCTCTGAGTGAGGTGCTAGAAGTCATTAAAGACTGACATTCATCTTTCGTAGTTCACGCGAGTGGAAATATTTACAACCCATGCAATGTTGACCTAGGTCTGGAGCAAAACTAAATCAAATGTCGAATCATTTTGTTGTTTCCAGTTAAAATACAATTAGCTTGTAACTCATTTGAGAGTATAAATGCACATGGCTGCTAAAACTATTGATCATATCCGGGTACATTCGACACATAGAAATATCGATCTAAATATCCAGATCCGTCAATATCGAGAAAACCTAAGAGCTAAGCAAAACCAATAACACTCATTAGAGCCGCATCTATTCTCAAAACAGTTGATTAATTATTTAATGAAAGGGCCGTTATAAAGAGGTATCACCAGCAAGATCAATGTTCTGCTCATTCAAGATCAAATGAGCCAATGAAGTATTGACTGAAAGAGCCTGAGAGAGAGAAACAACACCAGATTCACCAATTTGATTGCAATCCAAATACAAGTCAGTCAATGTGGTGTTGACTGAAAGAGCCTGAGAGAGAGCAATAGCACCAGAATCATCAATCTTATTGCCACACAAGTTCAAAGTAGTCAAACTTTGATTGACTGAAAGGGCAATAGAAAGTGAAGCAGCACCAGAAGCACCAATCTTATTGTTAGTCAAGTTCAAATTAGTTAAACTGCTTTTGACTAAAAAGGCATGAGAGAGAGAAGCAGCACCAGATGCACTAATCCAATTGAAACCTAAGTCCAAATGAGTCAACTTAGCGTTGACTGAAAGGGCGTGAGAGAGAGAAGTTGCACCAGAATCATCAATCTTATTGCCACCCAAGTTCAAATTAGTCAAACTGCTATTGACTGAAAGGGCATGAGAGAGAGAAGCAGCACCAGAAGCACCAATGTTATTAAGCCACAAATTCAAATGAGTCAAACTGCTATTGACTGAAAGAGCCTCAGAGAGATAAGACGCACCAGATACACCAATCCTATTGACACCCTAGACCAAATGAGTCAATGTAGTATTGACTGAAAGAGCCTGAGAGAGATAGGCAGCACCACCATCACCAATCATATTTTTATCCAAGTCCAAATGAGTTAATGTAGTATTGACCGAAAGTACCCGAGAGAGATGAGCTGCACCAATGGCACCAATCTTAATGTTAGTCAATTTCAAATGAGTCAATGTAGTATTGACTGAAAGGGCCTGAGAGAGATGTTCAGCACCAGAATCATCAATCTCATTGTTACCCAAGTTCATATAAGTCAATGTAGTGTTGACTGAAAGAGCCTGAGAGAGAGAAAAACAGCACCAGAAGCACCTATCTTATTGACATCCAAGTTCAAATGAGTCAATGAAGTATTGACTGAAAGGGCCTGAGAGAGATGTTCAGCACCAGAATCATCAATCTCATTGTTACCCAAGTTCAAATAAGTCAATGTAGTATTGACTGAAAGAGCCTGAGAGAGAAAAACAGCACCAGAAGCACCAATCTTATTGACGTCCAAGTTCAAATGGGTCAATGAAGTATTGACTGAAAGGGCCTGAGAGAGAGAAGCAGCACCAGAATCAACAATCAGATTGTTACCCAAGTTCAAATGAGTCAATGTAGTAATGACTGAAAGGGCCTGAGAGAGTAGAGCAATTCCTTTATCGCTAATCACAAGACCAACGGACTCGAAATTCCTAAAAATAGGAATTAGGTCTAGACCGGTCAAAAAGGTTTTGCATGAGAGACTTTCCAAGAAAAAGTCTAATCGCGGAATCATTTCTAAGGTGCAAACCTCAAGCTCGAGGTGAGCCCCAAACTCATGAAGCAACTGGGATCGAAGGCTTTTGTTACATTTTCCACATTCCTCTATTAAACAAAATGTCAATTTTATGATTCTCCTTACTCTTTTAAAATTCGCTCTTACCCTATTTACATGAGCAGTAATTTTCTGTATAAGAAATTTAGCAGTTTCCTCGGATTTCATAGCAACAACTCCACATATGTACAAAAGCACCTGCTTCAGCTCACCCAGAAATCTTTTATCTATGAGTGCGATTTCTGCTTCCTCATCTTCTCTGAGAATATTTAAAGCAAGATGAAAAACGGCAAAGAACTCTTGAAAGCTCTTGTGCAGAAAGCCATAACGAAAGCAAGGCTTTCTCTTACTACCTCCAGACTGAACTGACATAAATCCAAACTTCTTTAGAGCATTAAAATCATTAGCATTTACTTTGCTTTCTTCGATGTAAAGCTCACCCTTCAGAAGAGATTGTAACGCTATACGCCTTAAGCTTCGGAGTTCCCTTTAGTAAACTTCAATTAAATCTTCATTGTTGCTGGAAAATCCTTTCTTTTCTTCATATCTTCTCAAGACACACTTTAAGATTTCAATGTACAATTGAGTTCTGCTCTCTGGAAAGGCTTCTTTAAAATCTTCACAAAGAATGCATAATAGTGTGGTGTTAAGGGGATTTGATGTCAGTTGGCGTAAGTCTGATCTTGACCTAATCTCCTCAAAAATTCTCTCAGCTAAGTGTTCCATGTTTCTAAAGTACTTGAAAATAAAATCTTTGGCGTCTCCTTCTGTGAATCCCACAATCTCCCACAGATTGTCACAGTAGCGCCTCAATTTCATCCCAAGTGAAAACAAAAAGGCATTTGTGGAGTACTTTACTTTGAGTGAGATTGATAAACAGGTCTATTTTACCATGGTCAGCTTCGTCTAAGCCATAAAAAACAAACAAAACCCTGGACTGATTCTCACGAATGAACTTGAAAAGGTTTTGTTTACTTCCTTCGGCGATGTCATCAGGAAGTTGCTCATCAATTGTTTGCCAAAGGTTAGATTTGATATCGTGGCACCTTAGCAGTAAAAGTAGAGCAATCATCGGAAAGGACTCGTCCCAGTGTTCTCGTGAAGTTGCCCAGTTGTACGCCAGCTTCTGACAATAGGTTGTTTTTCCCATACCTGGATCCCCCTGGATCAAAACAGTCCGGGGCGCAGTCCCGCGCGCAGTCGGGGACTCAGTTCTGGACGGAGCTCGGGACGGACACCGGCGCACAGTTTGGGACGAAGTCTGGGGCGCGGCCGAGGGCCAAGAATTGAGCCTCTCATACCGGGGTGCAGTCTGGGGCTCTTCGCATTCTTCATCGGTTTTGAAGATAACTGTCATGTTTGTGATCTCGTCCTTCATTTCTCCTCTAGTCTTATCTTTACCTACAATTCTGAGCCTGGTGAAAATCTCGTTCAGACTAAAACTGAAATCTTCGCACCAAGGGACTGGCAGCAGTCGTTCTTCACGTATTTTGTACAGCTGACGAATCCTCTCAATCAACTCGCAAGGCTCATGAATATCTGCGGAAACAAATTACCATGTGGTGAATATTATGCCTTTGAGTAGAAAATCGGTAAAATAAGTCCCCATTTTATTTCGGTATCAATACCACTCTAGTTTTCTAAGGCACAGCACCTGTTTCAAACACCTTGCTTGAAATAAAAATACCCAAAATTGGGTAGAGCCCATGGAAATAGTTTTAAACATAAAATAGAACTTTTCATCAGTTTATCGTACGTTTACAACTTAACATCTATTTTTTATTATGGGTTTGCAAGTCTAACTTGCAAGTCTCATAGTGGAATGAAGATTTAGTTAAAATATATCTCCTTTATTTTTTCCCTGTTCCTATATGGACTTGGCTATTTCTTCTCTCCACCCCTCTATCTTTTCTTGTTTTGTGACATAGGAACTCTGCTGTGAATTAGACATCACCATTCTAATAATAGGAGAGTAAAGATGAACTTCAAGGGAAGAGTCTAAACTTCCGTTCTGTTATGTTCCAGCTTTCTTCGTGTCACTATTTTCAGTTCTGTTCCAAATGTATTGCAATGAATTTCATTAATTATGACATTTTGAGTATTTGATTAGCAGTGCTATAGCTCATTTCGAAGATATTTTTCTCTAGGCCCCTCGGATATAAACCCCTTCGTTTATAAACCCTTCTAAAACCCCTTCCGAAGTTGTAGATGCCCAGGGCTTATAAGCAGAAGATCACAGTATATTTAGCTCTTAAAGAGGGAAACGATGGTGTAACACGCTCATCGTTTAAATGTAAAAACTGGACTGTGATTATTTCATTACGTGTTCTACGTATACTCTTACACCAGTTTCGGACGGTATTTTCAACTTTGAAAGTCATACATGGTAAATTTATCATGATAAGAGAGGAAACTACACTGCTGAGCTATGTTACACCTGCGTGCTGATCATCATCCTTTTGCGCAACCTGGGAAAGGGATAAACCTGATGATTGGAGCTGATGTTGGGCTGCGCTCACCTCACCAACAGAGGCATCTGCTGGAAAGCAACAAAAAAAACTAACTGCATGTTTTAATTCAATGATTTGCTCCAAGCAAAACCTGTTACTCTTTTAGCAGTTCACCTGTAAGGATTCGAACTGATCATGATAAATCAGCACTCGAATCATGCTTCTAGATATCAATACTTGTTTTTAACAAACTAAATATCATTTAATCATCCTGTTCGCAGAATATTGAAATGACCTCCCTTACGTAAATTAAAACCTGAAAATCTGCACTCTGTCGCTTGGAATCACCCTTTTCACAACAAACAACAACAAATGTTCCCTTTCATGGTCCTCCCTAGTCCCCCCGCTCCAAAACAAAAACGTCAATTTAGATCAATCCATGCGTTCAATTCACATCAGTATCACCAGATATTCGCCACATTTTTTGTATGTAGAGAATCGCTTGATCAACCGTCAGAGTTAGATGACGCCCTTTTAGGTAAAAGGAAACAAAAGACGTTTGCTGAGAACTTAAAATAACCTGACGAAGATTGTTAAGTGTTGTCTCCGCAAGCCATACCATTAACAATGCTGATCATCTCGGTGACGAAAGCTTGAGTTTGCTTGGCCCAGCGGTATTCCATTCCGTATGAGGTGCGGAGTACATCAGCCTTCTGAAGCTGCATCTCTATTTTTTTCTTCCGGACTTTCTTGATCTCTTCAGCCCATACCTTGGAATCTTCTGAATCAATCACACACGCTGCACCAAATGGTACTTCATTTAGGGCTTCCCCGAACCCTGAGTTTTTACTGACAAGCACAGGGAGACCAGCTGATAAAGCTTCCAAACCAGTTAAGCCAAAAACCTCAGTCCTTGATGGCATAAGCACTACATCCACTTCGCAGAACAGGTTTTTCAGACCCTCTCAGTTTTTCATAAAGCTTCTCACAGTAAGGCGGTCGGCAGGCACACCGCATTCGAGAAAACGTTCGGCTATCTCTTCGTGTTTTCCTTCCGAAGCACCAACGAAAATAAGACGAGCGTCTTCAACCTTAGCAACAGCTTTGCCTGCAATGTCAAAACCTTTCAACTTGAAGTCTTCGGAATCTCCTCGGCCAAACACTAGAATGCCACAGAGTTTCATGTCTTTATCGACGTGTTTAATACCCACAAATTCGTTAAAAACACTAGGGGTGATGTCAAGAATACTTTTATCCTTCTTGCACCAACGAAGGTATCCAACTCCTACAATTAAGTCTGCCATCTCACAGAGTTCTACTTCTGTTTAGCGTTTTTTCTCGCCTATGGAAATGGAATTTTGATAGGTTTTGAACATTCCAAGCTCCTCCGCATCAGTGTGGACAACTTGAATCCACTTGCTTTTGTGAGAATCTCTAATAACTTAAGCTTGGTGCCCAAGTTTTACCCCATGGCCAACAATAACATCAATTAGGAGCTGAGCTGGCGGAAAGCTCAGCCATTCAAGTTCATCATAGCCAGGCCGCCTAGTTGCTTGAACAATTTTGATGTTGTGGCTGAGTGCAACTCTCTTGTCCTCCTCGCTACATTGTGGGACAAAGAAGGAAATTTGCACTTCAGGAAACTTAGCCAACTGAATGGCTAACTCTCTGTTTAATGTGGATAGTCCACCTTTACTTGATCCCCATTCCGATGCAAGGATTGTAACCCTTATCTTGTCAGCTGCTGGAAACAGTTGATCATTATTCTGGGAGTTATGTTGTTGGGACAAACTCATACCGGCTCAAGACACGGGCAGCTGACTCCTATGAAAGAAGAACAGTTGTTGTTTAAGGTAACCATTAAGCAAAACGCACAACGGACGATTATACAAAAATCGTATGAATCTATTAGATGCAAATTAGCAAGATGTCAAAGCTGGAATAAATGCAGAATAAGATTGGCCTGGCTGGTTATAAGGATATTTTCAACAAAGAGCACAGAAGAACCTCATACTCGTATCATTCACTGCAGTAACATTTCAGTACTAACGTTTCATAGTCAAGTTCAGCTCTAACATGGAAAAAAAATTGCTGTAAATTGTTAAGGCTGTTGTGTAAACTTCACAAATTTTTGCTGATGTGGAGTTTGCCATGGCTATCTTGACATGTAACTAATTTGCCGTGATACATTTCGACCAAACTTGTCCCAGTTATGGGTGACTAAGTTGAGTACAGGACGTGGTCCGGTGTACAAGGGTTTAGAAAGTTCCATGTAAAGTTTAGTACTGGGTATCAGCTTTTAGAGCACGGAGTGAGGTCGTTTAGAATTCAGAGTAAGCGTTTGAGCTTAGAGTGGTCTTCCATTTCCGACTGAGTCTTTAGAATTCGGAGTGACTTTAAAAGGTGGGAGTGTTGTGTGAAATTCGGAGTGCCCTTGTGGCCACCGTAACTGTTGCACATGAAAGAGACACTAGGTAGGGCGTTTACGGGAAACAGGAAACGGCTACTCGATGTTTCACATTTGCTTTCTGCCGTCTTCACTTCTTGCACTTAATTATTATAAGAGCGTATTTCTGAGAATATCGACAATTGATGGACAGTCCCAAAAACGTCAATTTTTTTTATTTTGCCATTCCACTCCTTTTATTCCGGACTTCAAAGCACGTGTTGCTCTCACGAGCAGGAAATGTGAACCAATCTTACACAACGCATCACCCTAGAACGAAGTTTTTGCAACAATAAAATTGTAAAGTAATATAGCGAACATACATCTACGTCACTCCCTTTGAGAAATGTATTTAATAAAAAATAGTCTGAGTTTCCATCGAATTATTTAATGGCAGAAATGTTCCAAAGTTTCAAAATTCGACATCAGTGCGGTTTCTCCTTAATTAAATATGTCAATTTTATCCGAAAATTCGCCTCCAAGCACATAATTCACCAAAACATTTCTACAACTTTCAGTTTTATCTTTAAAAATCTTTAAATTATTTCTAAACATCCCGATTTATTTCAAATTTTTTTCGAAATAATCACAAAATTTGCATAAAATGCGTGATTCCTATATTGAAATTGCATGGAAGCACCTGTAAACTTGCTAAAAATTATCAGTTATTTGCTAGACAATGAAAGTGGTTCGTCTCCTTTCAAATTTCTCTTTCAAACAAACAATAACGGAAATAAAAAGTTAGCAAAGTTCATGTAGAATAACTGCGCTTAAAACATGACAACTATCGCTGTTACAAAAGTAACTGGCTAAGTACCATTTGAAGCCACAAATTACAGAAGGATCGAGACTAACTTTTTGGCTATCGCTTGTATTTTTTTCGTAACATTATCCCCTAAAAATCCTTAAATGTTTAAAAAGTCCCGTTTGACGCTAAAAATCCTAAAAAAAAACTCGACTTTATCCCCATACTGGACGTAATGCTTAACCTCGCTGAAGTGCAATTAAACAAATGAGGTAAAAAGAACTGGATTGTACTTGGATGAAATGCCAAACATTAATTCTTATAATAACTACTACTTATTTAGCCGTCTACTTTGGGACAACAAGAATAAACGAGTATATCTTCTTCTTTGAAAGGACATTGAGGTAAAAAGTGAGCTCCCTAGTGGTGTAATTACCCAAATAGTCGACTGTTCCGTCACGCGTTTCTACGTCTCTGGTGTCGTTTTTAAGACGTTTTTGTTTGCGTATCCTGATTTTGTTTCAGTATTGAATGACACAGAACGTAAACGTAAGAGTTCAGATGAAAGAATTCTAAACAGCGATAGATCTTCCAAAGTCAGGCTACCTTGGAAACCTCTATGTTATGGAATTTTACCCGAAATTTAAGAAATTGGGAGAGGTAGTCAATAATGCCGTTTTCGCAAAGATGCAGTGTTAGCTAGTAACATGTAAGTAAGCTCACCGTGTCACGCATGAAGGCCTCTTTTGCTAATTACAGCGGACGTCCGGTAAGAAACAGAAAATAATTGCATTTCAATTCAGTGGAACACTGCTTCTGTCTCCGTTTATATTTAAAACATTTATTTCGGTCGTTTCAAACACTAGTGAACTCACTTAGCTGTATCATTTTGGGTAATTCACAATAATCAATTTACCTTTGCAAATCACAGCGTTGAAAGTAAAGAGGTCAGCCTGTCAAGTATCATTTACAAAATTGCGATCATGTTTTCACGTTCGATGGTTCAGAACTAATTTCACCGAAATAAGGATTCATCAATTTTCTCTTACACTATACGGATTTTAAGCCCCGCACTAATTTTGATTTCGCTGAAATAGTTGATACGAAATGTACTGAAGACTATGAACTAGTGTCAAACTGAGTCAGTGTACGGAATATTCACTTAATGCAAGGGGTGGCGAGTAGTATAACACAGGAATGACGAGACACCGAGACTCTTGTTTGAAAATCTGTGATCGAGACTAAAGACAAATTAACCTGGCCAATTGCAAGAGAGCTTGATTCAGGTAGTGGCGGTAATTGATTTCAAGATAATCTGACGCTTTGCAAGAGTTTTAATTTATACAATGATAATATTAAAACCTATCTATATCCTGGTCTTGGACCCAAACTCTCTCAGAAACGAGATTAGATGCATTTTTACTCCTTCCCTTTCCGATCTTCTCAAGTAAAAAAAAAGCCCCCTTCCTCTCCTCCGAAAAATAGAAATAATAAAAAAATTCGATCAAACTGTCTCAGATAACTTTATTTCCAACACTTATTAGAGTTACTTGACAATGTTTAATTCATAAAGCAGTTATTTTCTTACGATCAATCATTCGAATACAACACTTAATTTTTTCAGAAAAACAAAACAATCACCAATAATCCAAGTCATTTTTTCATTTCAAATAATCAACTATACAACAAAGTACGATAATGATGTATATATACCTAGCAGTAAAGTTAAAGTCCTGTTGCACATCTTACACTTCTCTGCGTGATGTGCTAGAAGTCATTGAAGACTGACATTCATGACAAACCCCCGAAAAACGAAAATACTTTCGTCTTTCACTTGAGTGGAAATACTTACAACCCATGCAATATTGACCTAGGTTTGGAGCAAAAATAAATCAAGTGTTGAATCTTTTTGCTGTTTCAAGTTAACATACAATTAGCTTGTTTCTCATTTTAGAGTAGAAATCCACATGGCTACTAAAACTATTGATCATATCCGGATACATTCGACACATTACTAGAAATATCGATCTAAATATCCAGATCCGTCAATATCTAGAAGAAACTTAGAGCTAAGCAAAACCAATAACACTCATGAGAACCCCATCTATTATCAAAACAGTCGATTAATTATTTAATGAAAGGGCCACTACGGAAAAGCATGACTAGAAGAACAAATGTCCTTCCCGTTCAAGATCAAATGAGCCAATGAAATATTGGCTGAAAGAGCCTGAGAGAGAGAGAAGTAACACCAGATTTCCCAATTTTATTGCCATCCAAATTTAAAAGAGTTAATGTAGTATTCACTGAAAGAGCCTGAGAAAGAGAAGCAGCACCAGAATTACCAATTTGATTGCAACCCAAATTCAAGTCAGTCAATTTAACGTTCACAGAAAGGCCTTGAGAGAGAGAGGCAGCACCAGAATCTCTTATCTCATTACCACACAAATTTAAATCAGTCAAACTGCTATTGACTGAGAGGGCCTGAGAGAGAGAAGTAGCACCAGAATCACCAACCAAATTCCATTTCAAGTACAAATAAGTCAATGTGGTATTGACTGAAAGAGCCTTAGAAAGAGAAGCAGCACCTGAATCAAAAATGTTATTAAATCCCAAGTTCAAATAAGTCAATGAAGTATTCACGGAAAGGGCCTGAGAGAGAAAAATAGCACCAGAATCACGAATCTGATTACAATTCAAATTCAAATGAGCCAATGAAGTGTTTGCTGAAAGAGCGCGAGAGAGAGAAGCAGCACCAGAAACACCAATTTGATTGTAATCCAAATTCAAGTCAGTCAATTTAGCGTTGACTGAAAGGGCCCGAGAGAGAGATGCAGTACCAAAATCACCAATATTATTACCAGACAAATTCAAATAAGTCAATGTATTATTGACTGAAAGAGCCTGAGAGAGAGAAGCAGCACCAGATTCACCAATCTTATTGTAACCCAAGTTCAAATAAGTCAATGTAGTGTTGACTGAAAGGGCCTGAGATAGAGAAGCAGCAACGGAAGCATCAACCAAATTACATGGCAAGTTCAAATGAGTCAAAGTAGTATTGACTGAAAGAACCTGATAGAGAGAAGTAGCAACAGAAGCACTAACCGAATTCCGTTCCAAGTTCGAGTAAGTCGATATAGTTCTGGAAAAAAGGACCTGAGAGATAGAAGCAGTAAAAGAAGCATTCCATTTGAAGTTCACATGAGTCAATGTAGCATTGACGGAAAGAGCCTCTTCGAGAGAAGGAGCAACAGAAGGACCAACCAAATTCCGTTCTAAATTCAAATGAGTCAATGTGGTATTGACTGAAAGAGCCTGAAAGAGAGAAGCAGCACCAGAAGTTCCAATCTCATTGTTGCCCAATTTCAAATGAGTCAATGTAGTATTGACTGAGAGAGCTTGAGAGAGAGAAGCAGCACCAGAATCACCAATCAAATTCCATACCAAGTTCAGATGAGTCAATCTAGTATTGACTGAAAGAGCCTCAGAGAGAGAAGCAGCACCAGAAGCACCAACTACATTCCATACCAAGTTCAAATGAGTCAATGTGGTATTGACTGAAAGAGCCTCAGAGAGAGAAGCAGCGCCAGATGCACCAACCACATTCCATTTCAAGTTCAAGTGAGTCAATGTAGTATTGACTGAAAGGGCCTGAGAGAGAGAAGCAGCACCAAAAGCACAAATCTCATTGCTGCTCAAATTCAAATGAGTCAATGTAACATTGTCTGAAAGAGCCCCAGAGAGAGAAGCAGCAGCTGAATCACCAATCCCATTGTTACTCAAATTCAAATGAGTTAATGTATTATTGACTGAAAGAACCTGCAAGAGAGAAGCAGGACCTGAGTAACCAATATTATTGTTACTCAAATTCAAATGAGTCAATGTAGTATTGACTGAAAGAACCTGAAAGAGAGAAGGAGAACCTGAGTCACCAATATTATTGTTACTCAAATTCAAATGAGTCAATGTAGTATTGACTGAAAGAACCTGAAAGAGAGAAGCAGCACCTGAGTCACCAATATTATTGTTACTCAAATTCAAATGAGTCAATGCAGTATTGACTAAAAGAGTCTTAGAGAGTAAAGCAATTCTTTTGTCGTCAATCGTATCACAACCCAAGAGTAAAGCCCAAAAAATAGGACGAAGGTCTAGATCAGTCAAAAAGGTATTGGATGAAAGACTTTCCAAGAAAAAGTCTAATCGCGGAATCATTTCTAAGGTGCAAGCCTTTAGCTGGAGGTGAGCCCCAAATTCAAAAAGCAACTGGGACTGGAGGCTTTTCTTACATTTTCCACATTCCTCTATTAAACAAAATGCCAATTCTATGTTCCATCTAACCTCATTAACTTTTGCACTTAACATATTTACATGAGCTGTAATTTTTCGTAAAAGACGCTTAGCATTTTCCTCGGAATGCATAGCAGTAAGTCCACACATGTGTAAAAACACCTGCTGCAGCTCACCCAGAAATCTTTTATCAATGATTGTGATTTCTGCTTCATCTTCTTCTCTGAGATTCGTTAAAGCAAGATGAAAACCGGCAAAAAACTCTTGAAAGCTCTTGTGCAGGAAGCCGTAATGAAAGCAAGGTTTTCTCTTACTACCTCCAGGCTGAATCGACAGAAATCCAAACCTCTTTACAGTCTTAAAATTCATACCATTTACTTTGCTTTCTTCGATGTAAAGCTCACCCTTAAGAAGAGATTGTAACGCTATACGCCCCAAGCTTCTGAGTTCCTCTTCGTAAACTTCAATGATGTCTTCATTGTTGCTGGAAAATCCTTCCTTTTCTTCATATCTTCTCAAGACACACTTTACGATTTCAATGTACAACTGAGTTCTGCTCTCTGGAAAGTCGTTTTGAAAATCTTCGCAAAGAATGCACAATAATGCAGTGTTAAGAGGATTTGATGTTAGTTGGCGTAAGTCTGCTCTTAACCAAATTTCTTTAAGAAGTCTATTAGCTAAGTGTTCCATTTCTCTAAAGTGCTTGTAAATAAAATGTTCGGCGTCCTCTTGTGTGAATCCTACAATCTCCCACAGATTATCACAATAGCACCTCATTTTCATCCCAGATTCATGACGAGATGTGAAAACAAAAAGGCATTTGTGGAGTTCTTTACTTTGAGCGAGATTGATAAACATGTCTATTTTACCATGGTCAGCTTCGTCTAAGCCATCAAGAACAAACAAAACCCTGGACTGATTCTCACGAATGAACTTGAAAAGGTTTTGTTTACTTTCTTCGTCGATGTCGTCAGGAAGAAGTTGCTCATCAATTGCTTGCCAAAGGTTAGAATTGATATCATGGTACCTTAGCAGTAAAAGTAGAGCAATCATCGGGAAGGACTTGTCCCAGTGTTCTCGTGAAGTTGCCCAGTCGTACGCCAGCTTCTGACAATAGGTTGTTTTTCCCATACCTGGATCCCCTTCGATCAAAACAGTCCGGGGAGGCTCTTCGCATTCTTCATGTGATTTGAAGATAGCTGTCATGTTTGTGATCTCGTCCTTCGTTTCTCCTCTAGTCTTATCTTTGCCTACAATTCTGAGCCTGGTGAAAATCTCGTTCAGACTAAAACTGAAATCCATGCACCAAGGGACTGACTTGCAAGGCTGTGGAACATCTGCGGGAACAAATTATCATGTGGTGAATATTATTCCTTTGAGAAGAAAATCGGTAAAAGATGTCGTCATTTCATTTTGGTACCAACACCACTCTGGTTGTCTAAGGCACAGCACCTGTTTCAAACACCTTGCCTGTTATGAAAATACCCAAATAAGTGGGTAGAGCCCATGGAAATAGTTTTAAACATAATGTAAAGCTTTTCATAAGCATATCGTCCACTTACAGCTCAACATATATTTCTTTGTAGGTTTGCCAGTCTAACTTTAAGTCCCCATGGTAAAATAAGATTTAGTTAAAAAAAAACATCTCAAGTATTTCTTCCCTTTTCCCATATCGTCTTGGCTAATTCCTTTACTTGCCAAGATATACTGCAAGCTACCGTTTATAAGCGCCCCCCCCACTTATAGCCCTACCCCACACACCCGCGTATATGCCCACCGAAAAAGAAAACCATTTCACGATTCTAATAATAGGAGAGCAACGATGAACTGCAAGGGAAAGGTCAAAACATCCGTTTTGTTATGTTTCAGCCTTCTTCGTGTTATTAGTTTCAATTCTGTTCCAAATGTATTGAAATGAATTAAATTTATTATGACGTTTTGATTTTTGATAAGCAGTGCTATCGCTCGTTCCGAAGTGCTTTTCCTATTCCGGTTATAGGCCCCCTCGGATATAGGCTTCTTCGTTTATAAAATCTTCTAAAACCCCTTCCGAAGTGGTAGATACCCAGGGCTTATAAGCAGAAGATTACAGTATATTTAGCTCTTAAAGAGGGGACCGATGAACTAAGTTGGTGAGTTGGTTCCCTCGATGATCTGTGTGACACGCTTATTAGCATTTCCATCGCATCTGGTTAGCACATAAAAGAGGTAGAAAATCAGGGGAGTGGAGAAAGAAGTAGAGTTAATTTAGAGGCTAGCGACACTTGTAGATTATCTGCCGAAAGTATTTTTATTCTGTACCTTGTTTGAGTCGAAGGCTTACATAGTGCTTCTCATGAATGTGACCAACCACAAGTGTATTGGTTTTGACAACATCGGGATGACTCGGGGTGATCATAATATCACAGCTAAGACTGCTGATCACACGAATACGAGTCTTGTAGCGGTTTGCTGCAGCATGAAGAATCATGTGATCACCCCAGGTGCCGTCTTTCTCCATGCTTCTCAGGTAATCAGACCATGATGGATATCCGTGGACAAACTTGAACAGCTCTGCTCCATCGGGCTTTGGGGGAGAAAAATAAGAAAATTAATCAAAAGACTTAAAATAGCTATCAGTCAGTGGATTTTACTGTGTTCATTGGTAGTCAGCATACTAATAAGGTAGAAAGATAAAAGACAAGAGTTTTGTCACGTGATTCAAAGTAAACCATGAGCGCTCTTTTCTTCTCAAAAGATTTCCATCAATATCTTGCCAAAGTTTGCGAGTAACTTTAAATTACTCGGTCACTTTAATAAAGTTTAGTATTAATGATCGCCCGAGCAAGGGTCTTACCAGGTTGGGAAAGTTTTTGAGGAACCTAACTAACTCCTTCCTTATTTCTTTGTGTGAGATGTTGATTCCTTTCACGCGTTGCAGTTGTTCTGACAATGCATAGAACATGCAGTTTTCAGATGCTGGATTGTCACAAATGACAAATCCTTTGTCTGCAGCAGTTTTCTGGAGGTTCAACAACGATTCACTCTCCTTTTTTGTTGGTTGTTCAGAATTCAATTGTTGCAGATCATGAATGATGTTCGTAGCTGGAAGAAAAATGAAAAGCCTTTCATCACAAAACGATGTGACCGTCCTCTACTCAAGCTTTACCATAATTGTCCTCTTTACAATATTTTGGCCATGTCCAATGATCTTCTGAAATATCGTTTTCACGCTGACGACATTTAAGATTTATTTCTATGGTATACTGGGCTCTGAATATTTCATTGCGTGTTCTACTCTTACGCCAGTTTCAGACGGTATTTTCAACTTTGAAAGTCATACATGGTAAATTTATGATGATAAAAGAGGAATTTATAGTGCTGAGCTATGTAATACCTGCGTGCTGATCATTATCCTTTTGCGCAACCTGGGAAAGAGATAAACCTGATGATTGGTGTGGATGTTGGGCTCCGCCCACCTCACAAACAGAAGCATCTACTGGAAAGCAAAAAAAAATTATTTGCATGTCTTAATTCAATGACGTCGTTAAGTTGCTCCAATCAAAACTTACTTTTCTAGCAGTTGATCTGTAGGGGTTGGAACTGATCTATCAGCATTAATCATGGTTCTAGATTTCTGTACTGGTCTTTCAACAAACTTATTATCATTGAATCATCCTGTTAGCAGAATATTGAAAGGCTCTCCCTTACCTTGATTAAAATCTCAAAGTCTATGCTTTGTCTCTTGGAATCACTCTCTTAACAACACTAAATATTCTCTTTTCATGGTTCTCACTGATCCGCCCACCCCCCCAAAAAGTCAATTTCAATCAATCTATGCGTTTAATTCACATCAGTATCACCAGATATTCGCCACTATTTTTGTATGTTGGGAATCACCTGGTCGACCGTTAGAACTAAATGACGCGCTATAGGTAAAAGGAAAAAAATACTTTCGCTGATAGCTTAAAATAACCTAATGAAGATCGTTAAGTGTTGTCTCTGCAAGCCATACCTTTAACAATGTTGATCATTTCGGTGACGAAAGATTGAATTTGCTTGGCCCAGCTGTATTTCTTGCCGTATGAGGTGCGGAGTGCATCAGCCTCCTGTAGTTGCATCTGTCTTTTTTTCTTCCGGACTTTCTTGATCTCTTCAGCCCATACCTTGGAATCTTCTGAATCAATCACACACGCTGCACCAAATGGTACTTCATTTAAGGCTTCTCCAAACCCTGAGTTTTTACTGACAAGCACAGGGAGACCAGCTGATAAAGCTTCCAAACCAGTTAGGCCAAAACCCTCAGTTCTTGATGGCATAAGCGCTAGATCCACTTCGCAAAACAGGTGTTTCAGACTCTCGCGGTTTTTCACAAAGCTTCTCACAGTAAGGCGGTCGGCAGGCACATCACATTCGTGAAAACGTTTGGCTATTTCTTCGTGTTTTCCTTCCGGAGCACCAACGAAAATAAGACGAGCGTCTTCAACTTTAGCAACAGCTTTGGCTGCAATATCGAAACCTTTCAACTTGAAGTCTTCGGCATCCCCTCGGCCAAACACTAGAATGTCACATCGTTTCATATCTTCATCGAGGGGTTCAATATTCTCAAATTCATCAAAAACACCCGGAGTGATGTCGAGGATACTTTTATCCTTCTTGCACCAATGGAGGTATCTGCAAAATGCCTCGCATAACTTGGGTCCAACCCCCACAATCAAGTCTGCCATCTCACAGAGTTCTACTTCTGCCTGGCGCTTTTTCTCGCCTGTGGAAATGGGATTTTGATAGGTTTTGAACATTCCAAGCTCCTCTGGATCAGTGTGGACAACTTGAATCCACTTGCATTTGTGAGACTCTCTAATAACTTGAGCTTGGTGCCCAAGTTTTACCCCATGGCCAACCACGACATCAATTTGGAGCTGAGCTGGTGGAAAGCTCAGCCATTCAAGTTCATCGTAGCCAGGCCGCCTTGTTGCCTCAACAATTTCGATGTTGTGGCTGAGTGCAGCTCTCTTGTCCTCTTCGTTACATTGTGGGACAAAGAAGGAAATTTGCACTTCAGGAAACTTAGCCAACTGAATGGCTAACTCTCTGTTTAAAGTGGATAGTCCACCTTTACTTGATCCCCATTCTGATGCAAGGATTGTGACACTTATCTTGTCAGCTGCTAGAAACAGTTGATCATTATCCTGGGATTTATGTTTGGACAAACTCATATCGGCTCAAGACACAGGCAGCTGACTCCTATGAAAGAAGAACAGTTGTTGTTAAAGGTAACCATTAAGCAGAACGCGCAACTGACGATTATACAAAAAACGTATGAATCTATTGGATTCAAATCAGCAAGATGTCAAAGCTAGAATAAATGCTGAATAAGATTGGCCAGGTGTTCGATTTCCAACTGAGCTTTTAAAATTCGGACTGACTTAAAAATGTGGGAGTGTTGTGTGAAATTCGGAGTGCACTTGTGGCCACCGTACATTGTCGCACACACATGAGAGAGAGATTAATTAGGACGTTTACGGCAAACAAGAAACGACTACTTGACGTTTCACGTTTGCTTTTTGCTGTCTTCACTTCTTGCACTTATTTAATTGAAAAGCGTATTTCTGAGAATATCGTTATGTAACAATACAACCATAACATAATGTAGAGAACACACACAGCTACGTCACTCCCTTGATTGAATATATTTGAGTAAAAATAGTTAAAGGTTCTACCGACTTATTAAACGAGAGAATTGAAACAAAGTTTCAAAATGAGACATCTGTGCGGTTTTTTCCAAATTAAATATGCAAATTGTTATAAGCGAATTTGCCTCGAATCACATCATTGCTAATACTTTATAGAACCATAGAATAATACACTTTTTACTCGCGTTCTCACTAACGTGAAACTAAAGTTGACAACGGCCATGGTCAAAAAATGGCGGGAATATTGCTCATGTGGTCATCTTTGCCGACTCACGGCAAGGCCTAGGTAGAACAAACTTGAAAGATGGCCATAAAAATCTATCCGGAAAGTCGCCAAAACATTTCTACAACTTTCATGTTTGTCCTTGATATGTCTTCTTTGATCGATCTCAATTTTCTTTGGCAATAATCACAATTTTTGCATAAAACGCGAGATTCCTGTGATGAAAGTGCGAGGAAGCACCTTCAAACTTGTTAAAAATGATTATTTATTTACTAGACAATAAAAGTAGTTCCGGTTCCCTTTCTCTTTCAAACAATAACGGAATTTAACAGTTAGCATAGTTCATGTGGAATAACTGCACCGAAAACATGACAACTACTGCTGTTCAGGGCTCCCATTGATAGCAGGTGGCTCTTTAAGGCTTCTGACGGGGCTACCCTGAGGTTTATTTTTATTTTTAAATAAAGGCATCCATCCACCCATGTTACAAAAATACCTGGCTAAGTACTATTTGAAGCCATAAATTACCAAATGTTCAAGGATGACGTTTTGGCTACGGCCTGTATTTTCTCTTAACATTATGATCCCGGAAAAAATGTAAATGTTTGATGATAAAAATCCTAAAAAGGCCCGGCTTTTTTGTGTCCACGTTTACCGTAGACGTAATACTTAACCTCGCTAAAGTGCAATCAAATAAACGAGCTAAAGAGAACTGCATTGTACTCAGATGAAATGTTAAACATTAATTCTTACACTAACTACTACTTGTATAGCCGCCTAATTTAGGACAACAAGAATAAACGAGTTTCTCTTGTTCTGTAAAAGGAATTAGTGACACTGGGGTGAAAAGTGAGCTCCTTAGTGTTGATATTACCCAGCAATAATTGACCTCTCTTCCGTCGTGCGTTTCTACGTCTCTGGTGTTGTTTTCAAGCCGATTAGTAGCCATTTTCGTTTGCGTATCCTGATTTTGTTTCTGTATCAAATGACACACTACGTAAACGTAAGAGTTCAGATGAAAGAATACTAAACAACCATAGATTTTGCATAATCAGGCAACCTTACAAACCTCTATGTTGAGGAATTTTATCCGAAATTTAAAAATTGGGATAGGAAGTCACCAATGCAGTTTTCGTAAAGACGCAGGGTAAGCTAATAACATACAAGTGAGCTCCCCGTGTCACGCATAAAGCCTCCTTTCGCTAATTACAGCGGGCGTCCGGTAAGAAACAGAAAATAATTGCATTTCAATTCAGTGGAGCACTGCTCCTGTATCCGTTTATATTTAAACATTTATTTCGGTCGGTTCAAACACCAAGGAACTCACTCGGCCTTATCATTTTGGGTAACTCACAATAATCAATTTCTGTTTTCCGTTTACTTTCACAGCGTTGAAAGCCTGTCAAGTATCATTTACAAAATTGCGATCATGTTTTCACGTTCGATGGTTCAGAACTAATTTCACCGAAATAAGGATTCGTTAATTTTCTCTTACATTATACGGATATTAAGCCCAGAGTTAATTTTTATTTCGCTGAAATGGGTGGTACGAAATGTACCGAAGACTATGAACTAGTGTCAAACTGAGTCAGTGTACGGAATATTCACTTAATGCAAGGGGTGGCGAGTAGTATAACACAGGAATCACGAGACACCGAGACCCATGTTTGAAAATCTGGGATCGATATTGAACGATCTGAGCGCTACACTTACTCTTTATTATCACATGTACCGGCGATTAACTCAGTTCATTGCAAGTTCATAAATATCCGACAGTAAAGTATTAGAGTTGCACTACTCTTCCGTTCGTTAGCTTTTGCGATGTATCAGCATCTCCATTGCCGAATATTTCCAAACGACAACGGCATTAAATAGACTTCCTTCACCAACTCTAGACTGTTATAGATATCTTTTGACGAGACCATCAGTTGCAATATAAGAGATTTCCAGAACTTTAGAACTTTGAAAGAAATGGGATACTTATGACAAAGACGAGATCTAGAGAACGGATAAAAAACGTTGCGAGACCCACGATTTTAAGTATACCAATTGAAACCCCCCATGCCATTTCTGCGTCTTAATACAATTTATAAACGAAACACTGATCGGCATTTTCTCGTAAGATTCGTCTGTCGACTCCTAGAACAAACTGAGCCCTTAAGATTTGGATAATTTTTTTACTTAGCAGCGTAACAACGCAAAACAAGCTATGGATAAAAATATTTCGTGAGGACATTCAAGGGCACAAACGCTTTGGATAGTAACTGATGTTAAGAGCCAGCTTGCTTCATTTAAAATGATGAGAAAAACTACAGATGTTATATAAAGCTTTTGAGCCCGATCAAATCAGCACGGCCTGAACCTCCCAGAAACCAACAGCGGCATGTACGAATTGTTAAATTAGTCACATACAAATATCTCCAGAACCTAATTTTGATGCCATCAAATAGCTCGTAACTTTATGCACACCATCAGAATATGCCTTTAGATTATCATTTCACCTAAAAAAAAAAATTCAGAGTAATTCAACTTTAACAAACCTGTCTCTAACGAGATCCAAGGAACAGAGGAAAGAGATTTTCTTGCATAATAGACAGTGAAAATTTGAAAAAAGGAAGCGATTTGAGGGGGCATTCCATCCATAATATTACTTCGCGAAGACGTTCAAAAGCACAAGCGCTCTCAATAAATACGTCAAGACCCGGCTTCCTTCAGTTAAAATGATGAGTAAAATTACAGATTAGAAATCAAATTATTGAACCCAACAGCATGAGCTTCGCAGAACTCACCAGAAACCAAAAGCGGCTTGTACAAATGGCTGACTTGATCATGTTGATAACTTTGCCATATTCAAATATACCCCAACCACACGATGATGCGCCAGTGGCTCGTAACTCTATGCACACCATCAGAGCAAACCTTTAGATTATCCGTATAACTATAACAATATACAGAGAAATTCAACTTTAACAAACCTGTCTCTAGATGTCCTAGGAACAGAAGTTGCACGATGATTACTGAAAATAAAAGAAGAGGGAGCGGTTTGAGCAGTAATTCTATTGATAGTATGATTTCGTGAAGACATTTAGGGCACGAGCGCTTTCCGTTGCCATGTGGAGAGCAGGCTTGCTTCAGTTTAAATAATGAATAAAATTACGGAAATGAAATAAAACTATTAAGCTGAATCAGACCAGCAAGAGCTGAACCCACCAGGAATAAACCGGCTTGTACGACTGAACTGGCTTGATGCCTTTGCCATATACAAACGTATCACAACCTTAATGGTGATGGGCCAGTGGCTTTTCTCTATACACACCTTCCGGATAAGCTTCAGGTTATCAATATAACCGTTAACATTACAGATTAATTTAAAGTTAACAAACCTGTCTCTGACGAGATCCAAGGAACAGAGGACAGTGATTTGCTAGCATAATGGCCACTGAAAATAAAGTAAAGAGGATGCAATCTGAAGGGGCAGTCTATCGATGGCATTATTTTGAGGAGACATTCGTTAATTAGGTCTAGAGCCGGTTTGCTTCATTTAAAATAATGTCTGAAATAACAGATTTAAGATCAAGTAGACCCCTCCAGAAATAAAAGTACGGCCTGTGCGACTGGGCTGGCTTACCCTACACAAATCAGTGTACCGCGACTGAATGCTGAGGCATCAGTGGCTTGTGTCTCTACACACCACCAGACATACGTTAAGTTATTCATATAGCTTTTAAAAACGTTACAGAGAAGTCAAACGTCGACAAACCTGTATTTAGCGGGATCCAAGGAACAGAGGACAATGATTCGTTTGCGGACACTGAAAATGAAGGAGGAGGTCATGTGGGCACTCTTAGAAGATGTGAATTGACGTAATCGACAGACATAGCAATGTAACTTAATAGTTTCCAGAACTTTCTCAGCTTCAACCGAGGAGGCCACTGTAAGCCAACTGGAAAGGTAATAACGGAAAAGGATAAAACATCTTTTTTAACTACCATATTTAGACACAAAGCCACGTTCCGAGACGATCAATTTATATTTGGAGAGAAATAGCAGCACTCTTCGGCTGTGGAACTAAAAGGAATCCTTTAGAAGAAACTGATCAGGAATCGTGTCACGCAACTTTTCTGTTGTAGCGCTTCCTTTTGTAAACAGCGATTGCGAGTTTGATGGAGACATTTGACTCGCACGTGCCACAGACGACATTGTAAATCTCGTGGGGTGTCAACCCATGCCATATCATCGAAAAAAATTGCACAATGGTTCATATTTTATATCTGAGGCAAACAAAAAATTTTAGTAGCTTTAAAGGTAACTACAAACATCCCTGCTCATTTTAAGAATTTTAAGCTAAACTCAATTGCAGATAAATGTGTTCGACATATAGTAGTATAATGTTTTCACTCTTCCACCTCTGGAGGAAGTTAGAGTTAGTATTCTGTCTGATTCATAAGGACAAAGTGCTTTACGGAGAAGATATTTCGGCACTAAACACAAATTAACCCCACAAAGGCAACTCAGCCTGTCTCTGTAAAAATAGTGACTTACAATACTTGACAGGGGTCTGATTGACAAACTCTGAAAGAGTCCGCGGCCAATTGCGAGAAAGCCTGATTTATCTCAATTTGTTAGATAAAATTCATATAACGCACCACAGTAAATTCAAGACTTTCGGACTCTTGAACCAGAAACTCGCTAACGCTGTGATAGTAATTTTCAGCCTGATTTTATTGTAGTGCAGCACAGAAGATTCAGATTCCTGTTCTAGTAGGACTCTTTTGCCTATTTCTATAAGCACTTTGTGACTGGCCCAAGGGAAATATCGAGTTTTTTCTCCCCGACATCCTCAGTATTCGAGTCATTAGCAGTAATTGATTTCAGATAATCTGACGCTTTGCAAGAGTTTTTATTTGAACAATTTCGTGTCACGCGAGATAACGTTGGTTAACACGGGTCAAGTACTATCGTACAAGTTCATGTTGACACGTCATTACGGCGGGTCAAGCGATAACTGCGCTTGTTTTCCCAACCGTGCGATAACACAAGCTAGAATTATTTTTCTCTTCTGTCTTAGTATACTCTTTCGTTAGTCTGGTTGGTTCTTAAACTCTTCTCGTTGAGGGAGCAATCAGGAAACAGGGTGGGTTGATAAATTATTTCATGACGTCTTTTCAAAGGTAATACGTGGTACTAGATTAAAATTCCCTTTTGGGATAACTCCTGCCTCTTCCTCTATTTTGTTGTTGTTGTTTTTTTAATTTTAGGTCCCTCGCCTCCTCTTACACTCGTATACATCCTCTGAGTGAGCTTAAAAATATTGCTGTGGTATGACTGTTGTACAGTCTTAATCTTAACACCTATCTATATCCTAGTCTCGGACTCAAACACTCTCGGTTTGTCTTTCTTTAGATTAGATGCATTTTTATTCCTCCCCTTTCCGATCTCCTCGCGTGAAAAAACTGTTCCCCTCCTTGTACTCTGAGAAGAAGAAATGAAAAAAATACTATCGAACTGTCTTAGGAAAACTTTATTTCCAACACTTAATAAAGTTACTTGACAGTGTTTAATTCATGAAATAGTTATTTTCTTAGAATCAATCATTCGGATAAAATATTTTATTTTTCAGAGAAAAAACTACTACCAACAATCCTCGTCATTCTTCACTTGAAATAATCAACTGTACAACAAAATACGATAATGGTGTATATACCTAACAGGAAAGTTAAAATTAAAATGACTTTTTGCTCATTTTAGAGTAAAAATCCCCATGGCTACAAAAAAACCTTGATCATATCCGGATAAATTCAATACTGCCCATACAGATAAAGAACAAGTGAGCTTGAGTTGGCTAAGAGAGCCTGAGAGAGAGAAGCAGCACCAGAAGCACCAATAAAATTACCTATCAAGCTCAAATAAGTCAATGTAGTATTGACTGAAAGAGCCTGAGAGAGAGAAGCAGCTCCAGAATCACCAATGTGATTATGATCCAAGTCCAAACGAGTCAATGAAGTATTGAATAAAAGAGCCTGAGAGAGAGAAGCAGAACTAGAATCATCAATTTGATTGAAACTCAAGTTCAAATCAGTTAACGAAATATTGACTGAAAGAGCCTTAAAGAGAGAGGTAGCACGAGAACCACCAATGCTAGTACTTTGCAAGTTCAAATGAGTCAATGAAGTATTGACTGAAAGAGCCTGAGAGAGAGAAGCAACACTATTACCAGCAATCACAAAGGAACGCAAGCCCAAATGGGTCAATGTAGTATTTACTAAAAGAGCCTGAGAGAGACAAGCAGCAGAACCACAATCAAAAATTTCATAGCCATGTAAGTCCAAAACAGTCAATGAAATATTGACTGAAAGAGCCTTAGAGAGAGAAGCATAACCAGGACCACCTATCATTCTGTTACGCAAACCCAAATGAGTCAATGAAGTATTGACTGAAAGAGCCTGAGAGAGAGAAGCAGCTCCAGAATCACCAATCTTATTGTAACATAATTTCAAATCAGTCAATGAAGTATTGACTGAAAGAGCCTGGGAGAGAGAAGCAGCTCCAGAATCACCAATCTCATTGTCACATAATTTCAAATCAGTCAATGAAGTATTGACTGAAAGAGCCTGAGAGAGAGAAGCAGCTCCAGAATCACCAATCATATTTGAATGTAAGTACAAATAAGTCAATGCAGTATTGACTGAAAGGGCCTCAGAGAGAGAAGCAGCTCCACAATCACCTATCATTTGGGAACCCAAGCTCAAATGAATCAATGAAGTATTGACTGAAAGAGCCTGAGAGAGAGAAGCAGCTCCAGAATCACGAATCCCATTGGAACTTAAGTCCAAATAAGTCAATGAAGTATTGACTGAAAGAGCCTGAGAGAGAGAAGCAGCTCCAGAATCACGAATCTCATTGGAACGTAAGTCCAAATAAGTCAATGAGGTATTGACTGAAAGGGCCTGAGAGAGAGAAGCAACACCAGAAGCACCAATTTCATTTTTACCTAATTTCAAATCAGTCAATGTAGTATTGACTGAAAGAACCTGAGAGAGAGAAGCAGCACTAGAATCACCAACGTCAAGCTCACCTCCATGCAAGTTTAAAATAGCCAATGTTTCATTAATTGAACAATTGTCATAGAGATAATCAAATTCTTCTTCGTCAATCTCACTAGTATCGAACCTATACATAGTTAGGTCTAAATCACTCAAAAAGGTATTGGACGAAAGACTTTCTAAAAAAAAGTCTAATCGCGGAATCTCTTGAAAGGTGCAAGCCTTAAGCTGGAGGTGAGCCCCAAACTCATGAAGCAACTGGGACTGAAGGCTTTTCTTACATTTTCCACATTCCTCTATTAAACAAAATGCCAATTCTATGATTCTCCTAACTTCTTTAACTTCCGCACTTAACATATATACATGAGCAGTAATTTTTCGTAAAAGACGCTTAGCATTTTCTTCGGATTGTATAGCAACAATTCCACATATGTACAAAAACACCTGCTCTAGCTCACCCAGAAATCTTTCATCTATGATTGTGATTTCTGCTTCATCTTCTTCTCTGACATTCTTTAAAGCAAGATAAAAACCGGCAAAGAACTCTTGAAAGCTCTTGTGTAGAAAGCAATAACGAAAGCAAGGCTTTCTCCTGCTCCTTCCAGACTGAGTTGACAGAAATCCAAACTTCTTTACAGCATTAAAATTGTTACCATTTACTTTGCTTTCTTCGATATATAGCTCACCCTTAAGAAGAGATTGTAACGCTATACACCCCAAGCTTCTGAGTTCCTCTTCGTAAACTTCAATTAAATCTTCCTTGTCGCTGGAAAATCCTTTCTTTTCTTCATATCTTCTCAAGATACACTTTACGATTTCAATGTACAATTGAGTTCTGCTCTCTGGAAAAGCTTCTTCAAAATCTTCACAAAGAATGCACAATAATGCGGTATTAAGAGGATTTGATATCAGTTGGCGTAAGTCTGACCTTGACCTAATCTCTCGACGAAGTCTATTCGCTAAGTATTTCATGTTTCTAAAGTACTTGTAAATAAAATGTTCGGCGTCTTCTTCCGTGAATCCTACGATCTCCCACAGATTATCACAGTAGCGCCTCATTTTTATCCCAGATTCATGACGAGATGTGAAAACAAAAAGGCATTTAGAGAGTTCTTTACTTTGAGCGAGATTGATAAACATGTTTATTTTACCATGGTCAGCTTCGTCTAAACCATCAAGAACGAACAAAACGCTGGACTGATTCTCACGAATGAACTTGAAAAGGTTTTCTTTACATTCTTCGTCGACGTCGTCAGGAAGAAGTTGCTCATCAATTGCTTCCCAAAGGTTAGATTTGATATCGTGGCACCTTAGCAGTAAAAGAAGAGTAATCATCGGGAAGGACTCGTCCCAGTGTTCTCGTGAAGTTGCCCAGTCGTACGCCAACTTCTGGCAATAGGTTGTTTTTCCCATACCTGGATCTCCTTCTATCAAAACAGTCCGAGGAGGTTCTTCGCATTTTTCATGCGTTTTGAAGATAGCTGTCATGTTTGTGATCTCGTCCTTCATTTCTCCTCTAGTCTTATCTTTACCTGCAATTCTGAGCCTGGTGAAAATCTCGTTCAGTTTAAAACTGAAATCTTCGCACCAAGGGACTGGCAGAAGTCGTTCTTCACGTATTTTGTACAGCTGACGAATCCTCTCAATCAACTCGCAAGGCTCAGGAATATCTGCGGAAACGAATTATCATATTATCATGTGATGAATATCATGCATTTGAGTAGATAATCGGTTGAAGAAGTCCTCATTTCATTTCGGTACCAATACCACTCTAGTTGTCTAAGGCACAGCACCTGTTTCAAACACTTTGCCTAATATGAGACACGCAAAAAGTGGGTAGAGGCCATGGAAATAACAAAGAGTAAAACTTTTCAACAGTTTATTGTCCACTTACACCTTAACGTCTATTTTTTTATCACGGCAAAATAATTTCATGGAGGTGGCGTTTACATTTCCACTGCGTCTGGTCAGTATATTAAAAAGGTGGAAAAGCAGGGGGGTTGAGAGAGAAGTAAAGTAAATCTAGACGCTAGCGACACCTGCAGATTATCTGCCGAAGGCATTTTTACCCTGTACCTTGTTTGAGTCGAAGGCCTACATAGTGCCTCTCATGAATGTGACCAACCACAAGTGTATTGGTGTTGACAACACCGGGATGATTCGGACTGATCATTACATCGAAGCCAAGACTGCTGATCACACGAATACCAGTCTTGTAGCAGTTTGCTGCAGCATGAAGCATCACGTGATCACCCCAAGTGTTGTCTTTCTCCATGTTTCTCAAGTAATCAGACCATGATGGATATCCGTGGACAAACTTGAACAGCTCTGTTCCATCGGGCTTTGGGAGAGAAAAATAAGCAAATTAATCAATAGACTTAAAATAGCTATCAGTCAGTAGATCCTAATGTGTTCATTGGTAGTCAGCATACTAATAAAGTAGAAAGATAAAAGACAAGAGTTTTGCAACCTAATTCAAAGTAAACCAGGAGCGTTGTTTTCGTCTCAAAAGATTTCCATCAACATCTTGCCGAAGTTTGCGAGTAATTTTAAATTATTCGATGATTTTAATAAAGTTCAGTACCAATGATCGCCTGAGCAAGAGTCTTACCAGGTTGGGAAAGTTTTCGAGGAACCGAACTAATTCCTTCCTTATTTCATAGTATGAGATGTGGATTCCTTTCACGTGTTGTAGTTGTTGTGAAATTGTATAAAACATGCAGTTTGCTGATGCTGGATTGTCACAAATGACAAATCCTTTGTCCGCAGCAGTTTTCTGCAGGTTCAACAACAGTTCACTCTCCTTGTCCGTTGGTTGTTTGGAATTTAATTGTTGCAGATCATGAATGATGTTCGTAGCTGGAAGAAAAATGAAAAGCCTTTCATCACAAAACGAGGTGACTGTACTCTACTTGAGCTTTGCCATAAGTGTTCTCTTCAGAATATTTGACCATGTCCAATGATCTTCTGAAATACCGTTTTCACGCTCATGACTTTTAATACTTAGTTTTATGGTATACTGGGCTCTGAATATGTCATTGCGTATTCTACTCTTACGCCAGTTTCAGACAACATTTCAACTTTGAAACTCATACATGGTAAATTTTTCATGATAAAAGGAGAATCTACACTGCTGAGCTATGTGATACCTGTGTGATGATCATCATCCTTTTGCACAACCTGGGAAAGGGATAAACCTGATGCTTGGTGTTGATGTTGGGCTCCGCTCACCTCACAAACAGAAGCATCTGCTGAAAAGCGAAAAAAAAAACTTTATGCAATGACGTCGTTAAGTTGCTCCAATCAAACCTGCTTAGTCTTCTAGCAGTTTATCTGTAGGGGTTGGAACACTCGAATCATGGTTCTAGATGTCTATATTAGTTTTTTAATCAACTAGTTATCCTTGAATCATCCTGTCAGCAGAATACTGAAAGGCTCTCCCCTACTTAAATTAAAACCAGAAAGTCTACACTCTGTCCCTTGGAATCACCCCCCCCCCCCCTCAAAAAAAGGGAAAAATAAATTTCGATCAATCTAAGCGTTCAACCCACATCATTATCATTATATATTCGCCACTCTTTTTGTATATAGAGAGAATCGCCTGATCAACCGTTAGAACTTAATGACGCCCTTCTAGGTAAAAGGAAAAAAGGACTTTCGCTTATAGCTTAATTAACCTGGCGAAGATTGTGAAGTGTTGTCTCCGCAAGCCATACCATTAACAATGCTGATCATCTCGGCGACGAAAGCTTGAATTTGCTTGGCCCAGCTGTATTTCTTTCCGTATGAGGTGCGGAGTGCATCAGCCTCCTGTAGTTGCATCTGTCTTTTTTTCTTCCGAACTTTCTTGATCTCTTCAGCCCATACACTGGAATCTTCTGAATCAATCACACACGCTGCACCAAATGGTACTTCATTCAGGGCTTCTCCAAACCCTGAGTTCTTACTGACAAGCACAGGGAGACCAGCTGATAAAGCTTCCAAACCAGTTAGGCCAAAACCCTCAGTTCTTGATGGCATAAGCGCTAGATCCACTTCGCAAAACAGGTGTTTCAGACTCTCGCGGTTTTTCACAAAGCTTCTCACAGTAAGGCGGTCGGCAGGCACACCACATTCGCGAAAACGTTTGGCTATTTCTTCGTGTTTTCCTTCCGGAGCACCAACGAAAATAAGACGAGCGTCTTCAACCTTAGCAACAGCTTTGGCTGCAATATCGAAACCTTTCAACTTGAAGTCTTCGGCATCCCCTCGGCCAAACACTAGAATGCCACATCGTTTCATATCTTCATCGAGGGGTTCAATATTCTCAAATTCATCAAAAACACCCGGAGTGATGTCGAGGATACTTTTATCCTTCTTGCACCAATGGAGGTATCTGCGAAATGCCTCGCATAACTTGGGTCCAACCCCCACAATCACGTCTGCCATCTCACAGAGTTCTACTTCTGCCTGGCGCTTTTTCTCGCCTGTGGAAATGGGATTTTGATAGGTTTTGAACATTCCAAGCTCCTCTGGATCAGTGTGGACAACTTGAATCCACTTGCATTTGTGAGACTCTCTAATAACTTGAGCTTGGTGCCCAAGTTTTACCCCATGGCCAACCACGACATCAATTTGGAGCTGAGCTGGTGGAAAGCTCAGCCATTCAAGTTCATCGTAGCCAGGCCGCCTTGTTGCTTCAACAATTTCGATGCTGTGGCTGAGTGCAGCTCTCTTTTCCTCTACGCCACATTGTGGGACAAAGAAGGAAACATCCACTTCAGGAAACTTAGCCAACTGAATGGCTAACTCTCTGTTTAAAGTGGATAGTCCACCTTTACTTGATCCCCATTCTGATGCAAGGATTGTGACACCTATCTTGCCAGTTGATGAAAACAGTTGATCATTTTTCTGAGATTTATGTTTGGACAAACTCATGCTGGCTCAAGACACCGCCAACTGATTCCTGTGAGAGAAGAACAATAGAATTGTTGTTGAAGGTAACCATCAAGCGGAACGCGCAGCCAAAGAGTATAAATAAAATGTATGAATCTTATTACCAATTGAAAATTTTGTAGAACTTACATTCTACAAAGAGTTATTATAGAAGAGTAAAATAGCTAAATTCAGCTTGATCGCGATCCATATTTTAATTTAGTTTCTTCTTGACACACAAGCTAGCCGCTAACAGCCCAAGCTCTGAAATGCATCTAATCTTCAAATCAATGAATGTGGTACTCCAGCATCGTTTTGAAACCGAGGATATTGCAGAATAATTGCTTTTAGATGACAGACAGAGGAATAGAACCTGTCCTACTTGAAGTTATCTATCTAAAATGTCCTACAACCTAGTGCAACTCAGTATCTCATTTTGGTTACGCAAAAGTGCATTTCTCGAACACACTCCAATTAAACCGAAGTTGATATTCTCTTGTTCTTGTGTGAAGTCGGGGAATGGTTGCTTTTGATCTGCATCAACTAACTCATGCGTGTCGTGAGTTCCAAATCAAAACTATCGCAAGAAACATAAAAGGCCAACATTTTAGGTAAGGGAGAAAGTCATAGAGGGTGGTTTCCCTTATCATGATTGAAAGCAATTGTACAATGGGGAACACAAGCCATTCTGTACAAGTGCACAGTCATGTAATCGCAGGGAAAGTTTTGGTGATGATAAAGCGTCGATGGTTCGCTTTATTTCTCTACATCCTGTCTTGGCTTTTAAGGAGTCGATGACTCCTCTCTTTCATTAAGTTGAGGTACTTGCATGAACCACCAGAATCAAAAAGGAAATCGTGGAGAAACTCTTAGAAGGTTTCATTTTTGAGCATTAACTTGACGCGTGAAGAATTATGAACACATGAAAATTATTTCTACGTTTCATAAAAAATCATTGCGAACTGATCCAGTATGCAATCTTCTCAGTGTCCAATCCTATGGATTGCACATGAAATTTACCAAGTCCAAAACAAAGATTATAAAATTCATTAATACAAACGACTTTTAGCATAGTAAGACTTAACACTGATCTGAGAGCCTACCTCTGACATATTCACCTCCATGCCTACGTGCGCGCTCAAGCAATCATCGTGTAGTTTTACCCTTGATAAATAAGCTATATTTTAGGGTTAGGATCAATCCTCCCTTGATAGAGAAAAGAGTAACGATCGACAAATGCCGAGTTGGAATAATGGAAAACAATCCTTGTTCGAAACCGTTTCCAGACTGTAATATTCGGACATAAAGCTGAAAATCACGCGTGAGTTCGTTCGCCGCTTCTTCAGTCGAGCGTGGAGTGGTAAGCAGCGAACTTGTTTGAAATAGCAGCTTTGTCAAATATGTTTTACATCGTCATAATCGGAATTCATAGTGAAAGTGGCAGCACCGTTACATACTCCTATGTTAGCTTAGCGAGTTTTTATGCTGTTAAGCTAACTCCAACGGATATGCTCCCATCTTAGCTGCGGAAATTCCTTGTAACATTGAAACGTTCAGTTGAAAACAAGCAGTTACAGGGAAAAAATAATTCAAGTTTCCGTCGATTCGCAGTGAACTAAGTAAGTTGTTCATCATTAAGATATCATTGAATTAGATGAGGAATCAAATTTTTCCAGCCACAAATTGTTTCCCTTATTTTATACTCAGATGATTTTGGTCCATATTGTATTATCTTTTTGCAAATAAGAAGTACCATTCTATGAAAAGATGTAATGTATTACAGTTATTTAACGTGCTCTTCGAGAGCATAACTAAATAAAGGGGGTAAGTTCCTAAAGAAACTGTGGTGCAGCATCGGTGGGAGAGTATGACAGGGTAATTTAGTATTATCAACTGAGTTGATTACGTAACTTTGCCACCTTAAAGAGTTCAAAAGCTGAAGTTTCGAGCTTTAGCCCTTCTCAATCACTCTAACTTCAGCTTTTGAACTCTTCAAAACTTCAGCTTTTTACGGTGGCAAAGTTACGTTATCAACTCAGTCGATAATACTAAATTACCCTCTTCGAAAGCACAAAATAGTGGCAGATGCATGGGTACAACATTCAATTCTGCTTGATAAAATTATAAAAGATAAACAGTTTTGCAATTGGGAGAAGTCAAACGAGCAGACGTTAATAAAGGAGATTTTTCTCGCTAACAAGATATCGAAATGAGTATCTCAAATGCACTCATCGGATGCTGGGTTTTTTGACTATCACGATAGAGAGCTGATGACGGCCGATCATTCACAATAACGAATGGGAGAGAATGATCACCAACAAAAGCGAAAGTCAAGCTTCGTCTGTTCCCTGTAAACGGGCCCCCTGCAAATCATGATTTAAACGAGTTTGCTGTTGATGGTCCAATTCTGCACGGTGTAAGGCGAAATTACTCATATTACTCGCCACTAAGGCCTTGTTTTGATAACAAGTCGGTAATCTTAAAGAGCAGTGGAACTTCCTTCTGCTTATACCATTTCTGATATCAACGGCCATTTTGTCTAACACAACGAAGTCACTCGTTCAGCTCTCTTGGTGAAGTTTAAACAGAAAGCATCGTAGAAACAGTTATGGAGCTGTGGTAAAGTGCTTCCAATAGCCTTAATTCTACTTAAGAGTGGTAGTTAAGCGAGCCAAGTTTACTCAAACTATCAGATTTGTTAGCGCAGCAAATAGTGGTGGGAAAGCGGTGGGTAATCAGCAAAAGCTTCTAAATATAAATCTAGCTACTGCAATTCAGAAAAGTACACACACGTAATTCGCAAAGCCACACACGCACACCCACCAAGTAGTAGAGGTAAATAGCAGAGAAAACTAACCTGCATCGACGATGATTCATTGCTACGTAAAGAGAGACAGTTGAAACTGAAAGAGGAAGTTTGAGAGTGGCGCTCCTTTTTTTGTGACGTCATTTACTTAGGCGAGTGTTCCTAGCACTAGGGGACTCCAGCCTTAATACCTGCCCGCAACTGATTTGCGTTCCGCCGAGTTCAGCGTCTTCCGCAATAATAGTGCTCCTTGAAACTGTTTCCATCACTCAGCAGACTTATGCACTGCTTCACTCTTTAACCTCCTATACAATTCAATTGGAGATTTTTTTTTTTGGGGGGGGGGGGGCAGCCATCGTCATACAACACGCGTAAACTCTTTCGTCATTATTCATTCATGTCTTACATCAAATGATAAATACTTTCTGATGCAAAACACTTGAAGTGAATTAGACAAGTTCCGCTTCATTTGTTGTAAATACTTAGTGCAATTTTATAGTAGTAAAGTAATCAGTTAAGATTTTTTAATGAAAATACTTTTTAATACAGATTCAGTAGATAAATAAAATCGTCTTGCACCATCTTCGTTATCATCCGTAAAGCACATTTCTCTTCAGTATTAAATACAAGACTGTCTGAAGAAGAAAGACTAACATCAAAAAAAAAAATAATAATCGCCTAAAATAAATCAGTTAGGACGTGTGCTTGATTGGTGAAATTACCAGTAATGTTACCACTAACTGTTTTATTATCAACGGTCACTGTTTCATATGAGGGCGGTAAAGGAACAAAATACCGGACAAATACGGCGGCACCTAATATCAGCAATGAAATACCCAACGGAATAAGACGTTTTATAATGAGAGACTTTTTCTCTGATGATGTTAGTCTTATATGATGACTTGTACCACACGCTGTTTGTAACGCACTGTCCTCTAGGTTAAATTCAAGTTCGCCATTACACTCAGTCCGTTTGTTCCCGTCACTAGTCAAGAGTTCAAAATGATTGTTTGCGGCATGAAATCGGCTTAAGAATGGAAGGGATGAGGTCTTGTAAATCCAGCTGGACAGCATCGCATCTGATGAAAAAATGAAGAAAACAAGCAGATAATCTTTCCGTTTTACATCATATCAAGGGTCAGAATTAGGAACAGGGTTATTATTGATGATTCTCCACTACCCGAGAATCTCAATGAGGTCAACCGTTAGCCGTAAAATGGTCAAAATTTTTAACCGTTAGCCGTGAAAACCATCAGAACTGATAAAAAATTCCTGGGCGTTTCACGTCACGCGGAAATAGATGAGCTCCTGCAAAAGATGGGCCCGTTGGCGCTAACACCTCACATCACATGCCGTCAAGAGGTGACGTCTTCTCAGCGTTTGGGGCAGGCTGGCTCAGGTTGAATTGATTCGAATAATTATCACAAAGAAGTTACAAGCACCCTAGGACCCCCTTTTCACCTCCTAACCACACCCTTGATATAACACCACTACCTCTTTCTCTTCTGCTGACTTCTACATTTATCCAAGTTTCTGATACATTGTACAACGCTGCCTTGATTGCTGTTCGTTCTTTCGCCTGATTGAGGCAAACAAAAAAGAAGCAAAATGATACGAAGTAACGAAGTAAGAAAAGAACCCAAGGTGGGGGAATTAATTTACTGCAAACTAACAACAACTGTAGTATTCAATTTAATAAAAACCGTAAATAATATTACGTAAATAGCTGAAAATTCAACAAAGCTACTCTAACGCCTCTTTTTGTCTTTCGTCCTTTTTTTTTATTCACCAAAACCTCTCTGGCAAAAGACCTCCCCACGTAATGTTCAGGGAGCTGCCAGTTAACCCATTGAATAAAATCGCCCTAGAAAAGGCTCTAAGACACTACCATTACAATGAGAGGTCATCTAGGGCAGATATGTCTTTCTCCGCTCTATTTTAAGGTAAAAGTACATAAAATAACGCCCAAATACAGATCATGACTACTACAAATATTGAATTACACTACAATAATATGAAATAATAAATATTAAATATGATAAATAACTGATTGATATACTAACCAGCTGTGCTTGCCTCTCCCAGTCTGTTCTCCACAGTAGAATCACATATAAAGACGCCTAAAATACAATCATAAGAGAGTTGAATTTTGAGGAAAAGAGATCCAAACTATTCCAAAGACACCAAAGGTAACCGGGCGCAAAAGCTGAACAGTAATTCAATGGCAATCAGCGACTCACCTGAGATACGACTCCAATCCCCAAGCCTATCCAGAGACCTTCAAGCGAAATGACATCGGTAAGATCTCATGACAAACTTAACACGCTCCCACAAAGCAAAGCGAACACACATAAAAAACGATCATATGACCTTACGCGAGCGCGCGCAAAAGAGCACACCGAGTGAAACAAACGAGGAACTTTAAATAGATGAGTAAATTTCGCCTCCAACAATACGAATTCATGTTCCACTTGTGACCTGTCAGCGCTTTCAAAGGGGAAATAATACCATCAAAAGGCTATTTCATTAGGTTTCATTTTTCCTTTTTTTTTTCTCCTCGACCATACCGTCTAGCATTCTCTAAGACCATCCAATTCCTTATTAAATTTTTTTACACCAACCCTCTTAATCTGCTTTTTTTATGTGTCATCGAACATGGCAAGAAAGTACTAATGGTATAAGCTAAGCTTTGTTCGAGCAGGAACTACCACGACCCACACGTATCATAAAATTTATTCTTTCACCGAAAACGGCTATCAAACATTGACATATTTGCTGAATTTGAACGCTGATGTAGCAATTTTCAATTCCTTTACCTGTAATTTCATGGAAGACTACAAACATCAACGTTATCCCACAAGGAAGCCCAATACAGCAATAAGCAACAAAATTTATCAGTACTCCTATCGTCTGCCGGCCTGATCCTCGGACAATACCACTGCAAACACCCTTAAAAAAATATTAACCGAAAGAAAACTCATTTGACAATGACTTGAGTCTTGGGCCCTGCAGTTGCTTTGAAAGTTGTGTCAGCGGTCTACTACAAATGCGGCTAATGCGATGTTTTTGGCAATTTTGACAACAAATCATATAAATACCATTTAGAGAGGAAAGAGTCATTGAACTCTACTGACAGCCCAAACATTCGTTATTACCTTGCCTGACCAATTTTCCTTTGAATTTTCACCAGAATGTAATGAACAAGAAATCGTTATTCGTCAATAATCCATTGAACAGTTAAATTTCAAGAGAGCGAAAGTGGCTTGTTACATTTCCTTTTCAGTTGCTATGGAAGTACAAGATTAGCAGCTAGATATTTTCGACTATAAATCCTCTTGTAAAATTGTAAAATACAAAGTCTTAGAACGGAAGTGACAAAACCAGTCAAGTAAAAAAATTAAAGTTTACCTGACTTCTGGTTGTTAATTAAAGACACTAAACGGTTAAGAATTGTTCTTTACCTGGACTCCATCAAAGAGAAAGTAGGCAGACATGAAGCGAATATTCTTTGTGTATAATGACAACACTTCGCTGCACGCAAAAAAAAAAAAAAAAAAAAAAAAAAAAAAAAAAAAAGATTTTCATTCAGTAAACATAACGTTTAGGTGTTTAATAAACCACAGGCGGCCCTAGCTCCAGCTGCGAGATGATCATCTCCACAGTCATGGCGAGATGATCATCTTAAGGAATAAAGCAATACGTCAATAACAGTCATGGCGGAATTATAAGTTGTTATCAGACCACTTTCTTTTTGAAAAGTATCAGTTGTTATCTGACCGTTTGAAAGGCCTTTCTTATATACGTTGAAAACCTCGAAATGGACAACTCGCTAAAATGGGTTCTTTTCATCAAAGCAAACGGTCAGATAACAAGTGATACGCTGTGAAAGTAAGGTGAGGTATTTTTATTGAAAATTTGACGTATTGCTTTATTCCTTAGAGCGGTCGTAAATATTCTCATACAAACTCTTATAATTCCGCCATGACTGTTATTGTGTAAGATGATCATCTCACAGCGGGAATGTGGGCCGCCTGTGAACAAACAAAATGACAGACAGAGAAATGGTCTTTGTCATAGGTGCGACTGATTTAGACTGACATGCATGAGCGAGATGCATGAGCGATTTGGCCCTTGTGAATTGGTGACGTTTCAACCAGTAATGACAACCGAAAGAATAAACATAGTAAACTTGAGCTGTGCTTATTTTTGTGTATTTGTATCGAATTCTTAAGAAAATCTCACAGAAAATAGTAAAAAGAGAAAAAAATTAATTAATAACAAACGCGAACCCTTTACATTTCTCTCACACACGCTTAATGGCAGACAAAAAAAGAAAAACGTTTACCGTTTGCGTGAGTGTTAACTCAAATAGTTTGCTAACTCTGTTAATGTAATAAGGTAATGACTCTTGTTAAGTCTTAATTTGAAATAAGTGTAAACAAAAAGACTACTCTATGAAAGATGGCGCCACACGTTGCATTCTAGGGTAGATTGACATGTCAGCCCCAAATTTACTGTGTTTGTATGGGAATCTGACGGCGAATAATTTCCTTAGAAAATAAATTCTGAACAATTTATTAACAGCAGAGTTAAGATACTAGGCAAAAGATTGTACTTTTCCTTTTTCTTTTTTTTTCGAATGACATTGAGCGAGGAATTTTTACCGGCACGCACGAGAAGTTAAGCGAGACACACACAAGAGCAAAACCTTTCTTTTCGATTTCTTTGGAAGGGAGCTCTATCTCGCGTGTCTGTTCCCTCGCACGCGTGTTTCTTTGGTGCACGCGTGTTTCTTTAGTGCGTGCTTTTTTTTTTTTTTTTTGCTACGTTGGCTAAGAGACCATTGCCTTAATTTTGAGATCCTTTCAATGACGAGGTAATAAAGCGGTAATCTGAGGTTCATAAGTATATCGATCACAACACCATAACTGATAACATTGCTAATCATAAAAATTACAATTCACTTGCCAAGTTGTTATCGGACAGTTCAATAAACCAATCACACTCAGAATTGTAGTGTAAATCAACCAATCTTTAATATGGAGAATTTTTTCTCCTTTTCATGGAAATTGTAATTTTATGATGAATTAGTAATAAGACTTCGTGTCATCCAATTTTCGGTCTGTAATCATACTCGTGATAAACAAATCGGAATGTCTGATTTTGATAGCACTCACATGATTACAGACTGCTTTGGACTCCACTCAGTCCTATCACCATTTCAAATTACCAATGAATAATGTACGAACCTGTTATCGGTAAACACTCTTCCAGTCATGTCTTGCAGTCCAAAGAAAATGGCAAACACAACAAGATCTATACAGACTGTAGGTAAAAGAGTTTTATCTTCAACTAAGAGTCGAAATCAATCTGCCTTTATTTCAAGAAGTAATGGCTATAGGTGACCGCAAATTTTGGTGAACTTATATTGGTATCTATGATTCCACTACGAGTTTAAGGTACTTTTCGAATAATTTTCTACAAGTTTTTACCGATAAGTCCAATAGCCACTTTTGCTGTCCTTTTTGCCGCAGCTGGGTCGCCGGCACCCAAAGCATTTCCAACACGGACACCAGCGGCAATGCTTATTCCAAGAGGAATCTACACATGTAAAACAACGGGATTAAATGACTATACCATATATCTTATTTGTGGAAAAGTCTATTGGCAGAGACATGTATCATGAGAGAGTGTTGATCTAAACATTCAAGAACAATGGGAACCTGAATGCATTGTCATAAATCTTAGTGCTATTAATGGATACCAATGATTTTAACCTGCATTTAATCATCATACATTTAATAAGTTTTGTTTTCTCACTCACCATAAAATGAAATGCGGCCCACTGGAAAATTACCCCATATGTGGCCAGTTGGTACTCACCATATGACCCTTTCAAGGTAAAATAACAGAAACTATCGTATTACTTATCACCACATGGTTATTAAAATAAAATCAATTGTATATCATAAAAAGTAAGTGCTGGACAAATCTCTAATTGAGCGTCAACAATAATCCTTGACTTTTAGATGTTAGTTTTAATTTACTTCACTCTGTGATCAGATGCTTTGAGTTCTCATCAGGTTGTTACATGTTATTTTCCTTTCCTCTAGAAAGCCTTAGTTTAGCTAAGTTTTGTTTTAATGACATTAAATCAAAATTTGAAGAAGTAATAATGGTTTTGTTGAAGGCTATACCAATTGAAACAAAGCAAATTGTGGAAAAACATCTGTCGTCTTTTAGATAAGAATTAGTGTAACAAGCAGACACAGGAGTGCAGGGTGTGTCTGCTGAATTCAAACTTATTTCAAGTGAACATGAGAGGAGAAATTTACTTCCTTGGGCAAGAATTCACTAAGCACAGGGTGTCCACTAACAAAATAGCATCTGCTCGGCACAGGTTTTGCTTGTTGTCAATTTTGCTAACTCATAGGCCTTGGACATTAATGAACTTCATAACATAAATTATGTATGAGCCAGTGCATGGAAAAATTGCTATGAATTCAAATGCTATAAATTGGACTGACTTAAAAATTGCCCGAATTCCCACTTAAGAGTCCAGGAATAACTTTCTGTTGTTTGAAACATTTATCTCAGTACCTGCAAGAAATGACCCTATTTCAAAACTCCACCACTCAATACAAATCATCACCATTCCAGCCACAGCAAGCTTGATAAACTGTCCCCAGTCTAACAGACTTTCTATGGTCCAGCCTAAAATGCAATATAATTGGACAAATTATACAAGAGAAGCTTGCAACCTCCCATGGTAGAGCTATGCTATAGGGCAAATCTACAGATAATAATACAAATAAATACCCCTGATGATGAATTTCTGGTGAAATGCTACAGTGCATGATGGTTTTGGTGACAAACAGATCAGGAAGGTTTAAGATAAATGAAAACTAGTTGCCATGTACCCCCCTCCCAGACAATAATTCCCAATTGAAAGCTTCCTTAAAAGTTGGCCTCTACTCATTTTTACTTCTTGGTGTATAAAGGCACATTAAGAGTAAAGCTTCTCTTGCCATGAACATAATGCAATGGCTCTGCCAGTCCTCTAACTTCTCTACCCACAGCCCATTGCGCTAACCTTGGGGCAATCCCATCTCCATCCTTTCTCCCTGACCAATTATTATTCTTATTCCAGAAAAGGAGAGAGGATAAGATACCACCCAAAATAATTCATGCCACCCTGTTATTCTTCCCATGTGAACAGTATAAACAGGAAACAAATTTTAACATATTTCTATACAAATTACAAAATTTGTCCTGCTACATGTCACAGCACCATCCTGATTACTGAAGTGGCCCTTAACGTGTGTATCCAAACTGACTCAAACAGTCAAGCTGTTAATTTAATTTTTCTGTCTACCAGTGAGTTAACAAAGCAGGGGTGTGCTGTCAATATTAATGATATAGGTGTGTTTTGAGTACCTGGCCATGTTTTTGCATCCAACTTCATAACCTTCATATAAACAAAGGTCGACAAAAATAGAATCACATTGGTAAAAGACCAGCTGATGGCAATCCCACTAGAGAGACAAAGCTAGATTAGTAATATTTAATATTATCAAAAGTCCCACATATTCAAGTGTTACAAAGTTAATAAAACCCACAAACAGTCAAGGGAAATGAAAAAAGTTTAAAGTATGGTGTGAATTTAAGCCTGAAAAGTGTTCTTCAAAGAAAATGGCTCTATGTCCACTTTAGCATGAAGTTAAATTCAAATTAACCCTTTAACTGCTAAGATCTGATTGTTAATTCTTCCCTCAAGCTGCAACTCATTTCTTTGTAAATTAGCCATAGATCTTGTTTGCTTTTTTATTTTTATATATGCGAGGCTTTATCCAAAGGAGTACAAGTTCTATGCCAATCATATGTTTGTTTCTACAGCTGTACCTAATTTTAGTGCAAATTTCCCTATTTTAGCAGGTTCACATTAGCATTTTGGTTGGGTAATTATTAAAGCTACGATTTAATAACCTGCACTGTCAAACTGAGAGATGCACCAACTGATTAACTGACCAAATGCATGCAAAACAATTTAGGAGACACTTACCTGAAACCCCATTTGAGGACATATACCATCAATGCACTTACACCAATCTGAATAGCATTAGAGACAGCACCAACATAAAGAATTGGTTTCACAACACCCTGCAAAGAAGATTAATAAAATATATTTAACAAATAAAGATCATAATGAATCCACCTGTCAACAAGCAACATTAAAGTGCATTATTTTAAATGGCTTACTGGGAGACAGACAGAAAGCCAGACAGTTAGATTGAGTCAATCATAAACTACAGGTTTCAGCATTCCACAATAACACAATTTAAGGTATTGTTTTTTTGATGTGAAATATACATGCATCATCCATTGCCTTTCAAATAAGAAATGAAAAGGTATATATATCGAATGTATATTTTCAAATTGCAGTGTTTTTGAAAATGGGTGTATGTATATGACTTCTGTATGAATGTATACATACATGTACATGTGTTAATTTTTAAACTGTATACATGTATTTACTTTTTAAAACATTTCATATATAGGTGCAGCATAATATGAAGTGTGTGCAAAATAGTTAAACACATCATACCTGGGTCTGAAGATATCTTTGTAACAGAAAGAACATGAAGATAGCCTGTGGAAACCAAGAACATTCACTTGTACTTAACAAGATTTCTGATCTACTAGGATGATATTTGAGTAATACTGTGAGTAATATTGATGTATTTTTCTATGGTAACTATGAATCAATCTTAAAAAGCCCAGGTAGGAGTTAAAATAGAGACTAGGGAAGTAGTACAGAAAAAATCCTCCCTGGTCTCCCCCTACAACAAAGTCCGCTTTACCTGTATGGATCCAAGATCATGGTAGCTACAAACTTTAATATGAAATAATAATTTATGGAAAAAAAATTGAGTTACTTACTATTGAAGCAGGAATGCATGTAAGGGTAAACTCCTGTGTTAGGCTATGGGAAAAATAAAACAATTAGGTACAAGATACCACAATTGGTAATATTGGGGCACAGCATCCAATTTCTGCATTGTGTTTTAGTTTACATCTAGCATTTGGTCACACTAGCCTGCTCTCCCAGCTTCTGAACCTCAGAATCTTATATGCCGATCAATTTGAAGCTTTAACATCCCCCAGTCAACCCACAGGGATTTGACCATCATCCATGCCCAGGGGGTGAGGAATTTGAGCCAAGCCAGGGTGAGGTGAGACATTTAAACTGAAAGTGTCAAGTCTTTCTGGCTTAATACAAGAAGAGGAATTAAAAGGTAAAGAGACTACGTTCATGAGCAAATGGCTTAGAAAGACAATTTCCACACACGAGACTGATACTCACAATAAAAAAACCCAGCAGCAGCCCCCCAAACTACTGTGTTACTTTGCTAAAATTCTACTCTATTGATGTTATTGTCTGCTGTTTATTGCAAAATGTATCAAGCAGATTAATTATTATTAAAATTTCATTTGTATTTTCTTTTACCCTTCCTCTTTCCACCTCTAAAATTCCTGCATCAAGCCCTTTTGTCTTTTGTTGTAATCAAGATGATGTCATACACTGTTGAGTCCTGGTATTTCACTACTGTCTTCATAAATTTTTTTTAAACCCTTCAAGAGATCAGGGCTTAATTGTTTCAAGGGCAAATAAAGCTCTCTTGGGAGTGGATAAATCCCCATCCGGTGGATAAGTGTTAATAAAATGTACTGTGTTATCCATCAGATATTTTTCTATCCTTTGAGCAACCACGACGTTTGTCTGTAATTCTCCTCTCTATATAACGTATCCTTGCAAATTATTTATGAGAATTTAGTGTTAGATCAAGACGGCAATCTCTATCTGATAAGTCTAAGTACTCTCACTACCTTATGGCTGGATAATGGATTGATGTTATTGGAAAAAGTCACTACTATTAATAATTTGTGGGAGTTACAGAATCTGATATGAAGACTGGACTGAATTTTCTAAGACTGAACTTGCTAGTGAAGGATTCCTCACATTCAGATTCATAGAAGTTTATCATTACCATTACTTTCTAAGTATTATAAGTTACTGGAAGTTTCTTTATATTTTACTCACTGGGAAACATTTCTTTTCTGTTCTACCCTCAGCAACAGCAGTTCAGCATTGATCCAGAGTGCCCAGGTTAATATACATGCAATACCCAATATCCAAATCCCTCTCTGAAATGCGATGCCTGCCATGCGATAGTTTTTGGCTCCAACAGCTTGTGAGCCTAATGTCTCCAAAGCTGAAGACAAACCGGTGAACAAAGATGGTCCCGTGACATTGACAAATGAAATAGCTAATGTCCCTGCTGCTAGTTCAACTTCTCCAAGACGTCCCGCAAAAAACAGGGTTATCATGGAGATCAAATGGTAGAAAAAATAAGAAAACACAGTGGGCCATGCAAGAGTAAACAGTCCTCTGATTTCAAGACAAGTACCACTTGATAACAATCCACCTAAACAGCCAGATGTCTTCTCCAGTCGATAACGTTCATCCTTTTGTCTAATATGTATATCAAATTCATTGTTTGGTGACACAGATTCCAATGCATCATTGGCCATTAAGTTTTGGGTATGAGATCTATAAACAAGGTCAGTCAAACAGAACTAAGATAAGAATTGGTTACTCAAAAAAATCCTAAATCATATATACCTTTCCGGCTAAGTTACATTATTGATTTTATGTTCCATAAGCAAAATTGTATCACAAGTTACTTGGAAATCTTCAAGTGATGCTTGAAATAGTAAACCTAACTACCAGTATTCACCAAATTTCCTTGAAAAAAATGTCCACGCTCTAAATAACCACCCTCCTTCCACCATTACATCAAACAAGTGCCTGTCTCAAATAAACATCTCCCCCCCTCCTCCTCCATCACTTTCTTAAATAGTAGGGATATGAGGAAAACCTGTTTCTATTGCCACTTATTTAAGTTAAACTTTTTAAGCTGCAACTGCAGTAGAACTAGTACAGGAGAATAATAAGCACCCCTCTTGATTAAGTGCCCTCCTTCCCTTTAGCAATGCTCCTTTTAGCCAAAATTTTAAATAAGTGCCAAGGTGCTCATTCAGGTAAATACAATATCTTAAGTTTTACCTGTCTGACATATTTTCAAGTTCCATTAAAATGAATTCTCAGTCAAAAAAGTTATTACTGCAAATGTATCATTTCAAATGCATCCCTCTTTGGGTTACACAGTAGTGAAATTTGCCCATATTCTCCTAGAATTCTTAAAATGAGTTGTTGAAGGGTTAGGAACAAAACATCCCCATCCTTTCCCCGGTTAAGGGGGTAAGAGTACAACTGTCTTCCCCCTTACTTTCAGTCTACATCAAAAAACAAGAGTGACTCACTGACAAGGAACAATGGTCACAATTTATTCTCACTGAAAAAGAGTAGTATATCAGTGGTGGAAGAAAAACTTTCAGCGTTGCTACTTAATTATTCAACAGTTTTATAATAGAGATGTAAAAGAGAGAAAAATAGAGGGATGAAACATGGACTACGGGACAATGGATCGGAATACGGACTTGCGAACTAGTCGTGTAACGCGAAGAATGGTATCCAACGAAGAATAGCAGTTACTTGAGAGAATCGTGCGGAGCGACTTAAAGAATTTTAACTTCTATTCTTGAAGAATTTCATATTAGGAGTTCAACTTTCTCAAGGTTGTTGATGTTGACGAGTTTTTGTACATCACAAAACTTTTGATCGACGATTTTCGACGCGCGTTCAAACAAAGCCTTTGTTATTAGCCTTTGCCGACTCTTTCGGGTAACCGCCACACGTTCATAGCCTTTGCAATCGTACCTTGCCTCGAAATGCTAATAGTTGTCTTTGCAAAACGGATAATAAGTGAAAGATCGGAGCTTTCTAATTTTAATAGCGCATTTATCCTTTTAATATTGGACCGATAGGAACCAAATTAACAAGACAACCGCACTCGAGGACCTCAAAGCTAAGAATCATACCGTTCTTACCTATTTGAAACGCTACGGCTTTATCCAAAGGCTCACGTTTACCACCTTGTCGCGTGACTTCCAACACTGCAAAAGATCTACTCAGCGTTTTCGCTGACGTAACAAAATTGACCTTCTCAAATACCCCTCTAAGGCCTACGACCTTCAATGGTTACTCCGACCGAAATGCCATTACTTACCCCGAGTCCCTCCTGTGTCCAGCCGCCCCCACCCCAAGTTTTCCCATACCCGATTGGGAGCAATTCACTAAGACAACAAGGACAAAAAGAATACCTGCCCTGTAATATTCTTGACTCAACGTAAACTGGGCAGCTGTTTTTAAGCTATATTTTTCCCTGAATTGAAAGAAATACAGTTATCTTGTACCCCATTAGTCTCCTGTAACCTTTTCATTCCAATACTAAGTAATCTATGTGATCTAGAGCTCTTGGTACCTGATTGTTTCCCATGCTTCAGTCACATTTCTTTCAACTTTATATTGGTTAGAATTACTATTTGACTATCTAACATCACAAAATAATAATCAGGAAATTAAGTTTCACCCTTTAACTCCCATGAGTAACCATGAGAGAATTTCTTCTTACAGTGTCAATGCAATATCAAGCAGACAATTGATGAGAATAAAGAAAAAAATAGCCATAAATGGATTGTTAGTTGATCCGATTCGAAATTCTCTAAACTAACATCATATGAACTGTATGGCAGATAGTAAGGTAAATTAATGATGAGATCTTGGGTGTGAGAGTTAATGCTGGCTGGCGTTTGTCTCTGGAGATTCATTACTGTCAAAGAGTTTAAGACTTAAACAAACAGCAAGGAAAGAGTAAATTTTAAAACCCTTTAATCCCCAAGGGTGACTAGCATGCACTATTGCCTCAAAATCAATGGCAACATCATGAGAATACAGGAAATAATTATGTTGCCAAATATCGAAATAATTTAGTGGCCAAAATTTTTTGCTACTTGCCATGGAGACAGGTAAGGTTGAAACTTAGAGCATTGGATCAAGAGTATGATTCTGTTCCTAGAGGGTTTTTAATAATAAAAATAATAATAATAATAATAATAATAATAATACAAACATTTCTATAGTGCCCTATTCTAGAGCTCTAAGGCACTTAACAATAAAATGTTTTAAACTGTAACTTAGTAAATAATAAATTCGAAAAATACTAAAGCAAAACTACAAATTGAAATAGCGCTTAAAAAGATAAGTTTTAAGGTTGCTTTTAAAAGATGTAAGATTTAAACTACATTTCATATGCTCTGGAAGATTATTCCAAAGTTTAGGGGTGCAGACCAAAAAAGCCCGATCACCATAACATTTTAACCTTGATCTAGGTGTCACTAACAAGTTCCTGGTTGATGATTGTAAACTCCTAGATGGCTTGTAAGCTTGCAACAAATCACGAACATAGCTAGGACCTAAATCATTTAAAGATTTAAAAGTCAACAGTAGGATTTTGAAAACAATCCTCTGCTCCACAGGAAGCCAGTGTAGCTCCCTTCGTAAAGGGGTAATACGATCATATTTAGAACCACATAAGATTAGACGCGCCGCACAGTTCTGAACTAACTCTAACTAACTCAATAAGTATTATTACTAAGATGGGATATTTCACTACTTAACCCCTTAGCCCTTAAGAGTGACTAGCATCTAATTTCTCCTTACCATATCACCCCTGAATCAAACATGAAAGTCATGAGAATAGAGGAGATAATGACAAACTAAAGCAGCTCTTGATTGTTAAACAAATTCTCCTTGTCAGCCTCTTTGGAAATGTATTGAGAACAGTATGGAGAATGTGCAAACTGATGTTAGAGTGAAAAGGGTTAACAAGAAAATTAAGAATGAGATAATGGCAGTTTGTTAGGTACATAATGATCTTAAAACAAGATTTTACTACACAGAACAACAACTGAGACTGCAAAGAGTCACTGAAAATTGTGTATTTAATACAAGTGTGGACTTAAACTGATGACATTTTGACAGCTCACTACTAGATAAAGCAAAAGAAATGGCTCTATCTTGTTCCTGTTTAATTTTTCTGTCCATAAAGAAAGTTGTTTACAATTACTTTAAAAACGTCCTCAACCAATGAAATTCATGACCACAAGATGGAGAATGATGCTGGCAAAGATAAAATCAGCAAATGCTCTCTCTGGAGAAATCCCTTTGAAGTCAGAATAGTTGGCTGGGTTGCTTTGCACTCGTAGACAAACTGTAACGAAAAGTATTACACCATTACACAAGAGAAACTGCTTCATGGGGGACCAGTCATTCAGTGATTTGTTATAAGGCAAAACAAAGAAACTTGTAGACATGATTTGAAATCAAATGAAAAAATTATAAATTAAATGTAAGTGCATAAAAGCGCAAAATAATACAATGCTAAAGCACAACGCCATCATCAATCCACTTAAAATTCCTCTCTGTTCCTGTGCAATGGGAGTTGCAGGTAAAGCTTTATCTAGAACATATGTTAAATTCCACCATTGTAGAACATTTGGCCATTAATTATGGTTTTGTTATTTTTTTTCTCTCAAAATCAAGCCCACAAATGATCTTAAATATTTCAGAAAAACCAATGCAAATTGTGAACTCAGTGTTACCGGAAAATTACAGTAAATTATTGGCTATAAAATTCTGTGCTTAGAGTGGTATACTTCACTTACGCAAATACCACGTGTCTTGTAAGATCTTTCAATGTACGTGTCACACGCAGAAACTGAGACAGTAGATTGCCCACAATTTACTCGCAAAACATGCTAATATGACGAGTGAACATCAGCGTTCGCTCTATATATCTTCTTACCTCCTAAAACAAAAGATCCGACACAGGAAATAAATCCAGACAGGAATGAGTTGAATGGAAAAGTTCCCACTAAGCAACAATACACGAATTGAATGATTCCCGTTAGCATGATGTAGAAAAGATATGCATCGACTATCTTAAGCTTCTTTGGTGTCGTCTGGTTGTATTCATCATAGAATTTCACCAGGATGTTCTTTATGTTGGAGAAAGTATCCATATTCGTATCCCTAGAGGTACGTGGTGATCTTTCCACACGACAAAGAGCTCCAAGAAAGGAAGAAGAACGGAATGCAAAGCATCATGGGTTTTGTTAACGTGTTGGACTGGTGCTAGTTTTAGAATTTTGGCGCCGAAAGTTTCTTCCTGATCGATGTGATTTCTGCGAAGATTTTTTAAATTACGCTGTGTTTGCTTCTTTATTCCTCTACCAGAATGTCGTGTTGGGAAGAGCTACAAACGAAGTCGTAGATCAGAAACAAGGTTAACACAAAAAGAAACGCTACTTCGTCGAAGAAAAATATATCCATTATGAGTTCTGAAGGGCCGCCGCTTCGTTCTCATCCAAGCTCAGAGCTTGATTACTACGACATCGACGACATATTGGCCACACAAGGAAGAATTCCATGTAAACTAGAAGCACAAGTTTATAATCTGGGCTTCTTAGATCCTAGTTCTGAAGGAAGTGATCTCCAGGCTGGATCAAAACTCGAGCTTCCATTCTGGCTGGCCAAAGAACTTTGCAACAGAAGAAGAAAAATTGTTTCGGTGGACATTCCTAAAGCTTACAAAGACGGCTACCGTGAGATTTTTAAAGCGGACGCTAGTGTTGTGGATCTTCATCGATTAGGACCGTATTTTTACGAGTTTGGAACAAAGTTGCTGCTTTTTGATTTTGAAGAAAATTCCCAAATGGCTTCTTCCATGCAGGAGGTACGTTAACTTTGTGTTTAACGAGAGATAGGCGAGGTGGGGATGAGGTTTTTTTTTCTTTGTTTGTTTGTTTTTCTCTTTTCTCCCCCTGGGTTGTGTGGGTAAGGAGGAAGTTTGCGTAGTCAAAGTCTTAAATAAAGAAGTGGGCAAGATTTCTGCAACGCCACCATACTTTATCATTGAAAGCAATGACAAGGACGTACCCAAACCAGTCGCTAAACACTCTAATCTCCCTAATCTTCCCAAGAAGTAATCTTTCCAGGTCTGTTACGATAAAGGAAAATGCAGAAGAGAGTATTGAAACAAATTCAGGCTTTAACTGGAGTTGAACCCATGCCCCCCTGCCCCCCCATCACGTATTGGGTACAACTATTTAATGAGTCACAAAGCCACAAGTAAGGAGCATTGTAGGTTCCCACAGAGGAATGAGATCACAATTATGGGACGATTCATTTGATTGCTTGGCTGGTAACATAATTTTAGATGATAGTAAATTCTGTTGTCAGACCTATCGCAAGTTGTGCCCTCATAACCTTCTTATAATCTGACATTTCTCTATGTAGAAGTTGATATTCCAAGAAAAAACCCTTCCAGTAATTTTCCCTTTTAGCTAAACAGTAAAATGTGCTGTTGTGGAGATTTCCCTCATTTAGTTTACTTGTTTGTTTGTTTGTTTTTAATTTTCATCTTCCTTAGACCAATTGATGGAAATACTCATCTCGATGTTAACTGCAAGTAAATTTGAAACACCTATTGATGTGACTGGGCTTTCCTTTCAGACATTCATGAAGAGATTTAGAAAAATAATGGATTCATCTCAGAATGCTGCAAATGAGGATACCTCCTTGTTAACAAACAAGCTGGAGCACATTGAAAGACAGGTGTTCACTGCAGGACGTAAGGGAGTGAAAGAATTTCTTCAGTGGGAGGCTGGCAGAACATCCAAACTTACAACATCAGAGAATGTGGTCAACCATAAAAAACGCAAAAGGTCTATGATTGAGTGAAATTTCACACCAGACTGGGTCAACAAAGAGGTTTGGACAATGCCATAGATTTACTTTGTTCTTAATTGTACAATCGTGATTTAAAAGAGAAGTATGCTCAAGAGAGCATGTTATTTTTAATCTCCCCCCTAAAATATCTGAAATTGACTTTGAAAGCAAGAATTTTGTCTTTTTACAAGATAAGACCTACAAGCTGATAGGTTTTTCTGTTCTTGTCACCTGTTAAGTGGATTAAGTATAAGCATAGTGAAGAGAAGTTGTACTAGTATGTAATTTTGGTCCATGAGGTAGATGTTTGACTTATGTTCACACCTTTTGATGTACTGTTCTGTCCTCATTTTTTTAAAATGAGTCTGCTAATTTATTTTTTGCAGCCTATTAGATTTAATATACTTTATTTCATTCTTTCCCTCACTTTTCTTAAATTAATTTACTGTTTGAATGCAATTAACAACTCTACTATGGGATCTGTATATGTTTTTGGCCAGACACATCTTGAGAAACTAAGGAATTTTTTGTAAATCACCTATCAGCCGTAGCACCATTATAACTAAATATGAATAGGATGTAACTTGGAATCATCTGCTTATTTTTAGTAGACTTTTATTGAACACAAACTTGTTTTAAACAAAACACTCTCTTGTAACAAATAACAATTATTAGAAATATCACACGAATCACATACTGTCAGCACCCAAAAGTGGAATTTACAAATCTTGAAGTAAATTTTTTTGTGAATATCTTATGTACTGTTATTTAAATTGATCATTATTCATTAATATAGACACTAAACTTATTCTAGACATTGATCTGAGTTTTCTTTTAGAATCTAATTTTTACTTACTGGCTTTAAACCCTCTAACCCACAAGATCTCAGGGGTAAGTCTTCCTACTGTTTACCATGCAATTCTAACTTACAAGATTAGTTCAGATAATTTGGTATTGAATCAATTAAGAATTCCCTAATTCATATTATTCTTTATTCCTTTTACTTTTCTGCTTAATATTGTTTCAATATCGTAAGGAGAAATTCCTTCTTGGTCACTTGGGGAGTTGAAGGTTTAAAAAGACTTACAAATCTTACTTTATTGCGAGCTCACAACTACATTTTGGTTTGCATGGAGGTTGATTAAGGAACAAGTTAGATATATTAATACCTCTACAAGAGACATGTCAACATGTCTCACTTTTTCAATCTTTGATGATTTAAAGTTGAGGATGTGGTACTGAAATGCCTTGCTTCTTTGAGGGTAAAATTTCATAGACCACAACATCACCAACAAATTGACCTCAATTTTCTATTTTTACTACACTACTTCTATTGGTCATAGAAATGACATAAACAGTGTTCAAATCTCTAAATACAGCTTTGCTCTGGGACTCTGCCCTCAAACTACTCATAAACAAATACATTTTCTCCCAACTAGCCATCAGCATGAAACAGGATTGGCATCTTAAATTTGCAATTAGTTTGTAAGGTTAAAGTAGTTCTAAGAAAATTCATCCTTTCACTCCCAAGATCTAATTTCAATTCTCCACATTATCTGCGATACATTTTTTATGTTTCAGATCTGATTATTTTTTGTGAAATCAAATTATAAGCCTTTATTGAAATTTTCCTTCTTCTCATCACCTTTCTCATGGAAAATGTATAGATATGAAAAGGAGAAATTCACTGTTGGTCAATCCTGGGAGTGAAAGGGTTAAATTTCATCAACTCCTTCTTTACAATCACAATTTAATAAATTTAATAGCATCAACCTAGGTTCACTCATGGGTATCTTACCACCAATTGTTTTGAAATGAGCTATTTAGCTATAGTTAACAATAATATTTACTTTATTGTTCTACAATAACTTAAAAAAAAATAACTCATTATTTTCCTCTCTAAACACTGAACAAATATATTGCCCCTCATCAAAAAAATAATAATAATAATAAATAAAATATACACGACTGTTTATGGATGACATGGTCATTCTTTACATGAAAGCGATCTTCGCAGTACTGAAACAGTATCTTTCATGAAGATTGCTTTCATATTCATTTCTTAAACTGCAGTTCACACATATGATTTCATATATTCATGGTCAATGGTCAATGTGTTTTTACAAAGCTCACCCAATCCATTGTATCTTGGTCCTTGTTTACTGCCAATAGTAAATAAAAATGTCAGTTAAGATAAATGATTACTGCTGTTGAAGAGGTTCTTTCCAAAATATTATTTGAAATTACTTTTTGAATAAAAACACACTTTTAAATTGGAGAGTGACTGGGTCAAATGTAATATTTACATAGAAAAGCCTTCTTTTATCAAAGTTTCTTGAAACAGAAGATCACTTTTAACATGTAGAATTTTGTGAAAAAGGCTCCAATATTTTAGCTTGTGAATGTTAACATATAACCACTCTTGTATTGATGTAAAAGATGATACAATATTTAACAAATTTAATTTTGTGAACAACTTTAGAATCTTGGCAGACTAAATTTCAGTGGCTTGAGCCACACTGAATCCAGATGTGGAAATTCTATGTTGCTAAATATTGCCATGTGATTGAGAATTTAATCTTTGATTATTTCCAAAAGTATTGTAGACAACATGGTCTTCCCATCATTTCTAATTAGAATACCAGTGCAATCATCATTTACACAAGATGTGTGTGGCCCGATGGTGGCTTTACTCATATTGAAAAGTGTCATTAAATAAAAACATCCCCCTATGAGAGCCATATGCCATAACATCATAACATGAGCAGGACTAGAATTAGATGTAGCACCCTAAAACATGCCAGCTGAAAGCAGAAAGGAAGAAAGTGAAAAAGCAGCCATCCATTGAAAGCAGTCAGTGAACTCCCTTCTTTGATTTTGGGTTAGATTCCAGGTGGGACTAAGACCCAACTTTTCCTTTTATGTCTTCCAATATGGCAAACACTTCAGAGTCGGCAAATAAGAACACTCCAATAACAACATAGCAGGCACCAAGACTAATCAATAGTTTTCTTGTCAAGGTGAGAACTGGATATTGTAGCATCTCTTGAACAAGGCACATCCCTGAACCAAAAAAAAAAAAACAGGAAAAAAGAAGATGAATTTGTGTAAGACACTAGACATTGCAAGTGAAGAAATTTGAGGTCATGATTCATGTAAGGCTAAAATTATGTTGGTGTTTTTGCATGTGCTACCCAACCGTGCAAGGAGGATTTGTTGTATTTATGGCAATTTTGTATTAAGACATTATCCACTCAAAATTTGTAATATTTCTTTATAATGTCTGCAAGATTCGCTAAGTCTTCACCATTTCACAAATAGATACCATGTTACCATGCATCTATTCAGTAAAAGATCACTTATGAGGTCAAAATGCAGTAAGAACAAAGAAGTGCAACATGAGGCACAGTCTGATCTTACCACAATTTGACATCTGTGATCTACTACTGAACAGGAGCATGCCAATATGGAATCTGTTGGCTTTATATAACAAAGAAGCAAAACTTGTCAGTAGTAACAACATCTATGCATAAGTCCCCTGATAGGTCATGAGGAAGAGCCAATCAAAATGCATCTTGGGTGTAGAATTCAGCTTCTTAGGATAGAACATTTTCTCTTTGCATGGAGTGTTTGCTTACCCGGATAAAAGAAAATGAACAAGGCTGCTAGTCCTCCAACAAATGTTATGGCATACAATACATCTTGCACACATAAAGAAATTATAAGGGATAACCCAAACCAAAGTAGTATTTCAATGATTCTCCGTTGTTTTTCATCTTTTCCTGCTTTTGTGGGAGGCACACTGAAGGCTGCCACATACAAGCCATCCAAACTGCTCCTGTAAGTAACAGAAATGAAATGTTGTTAAAATTGAGCTTTGTAAAAATTTTAAAATTCTTGGAATATGTACTATATTTAACAAATAGAGAAGCCTGCTCAAACTCCCCACTCAAGAAGTGGGGAAAAACTCAACTATGTCTTGTTTTTTTCCCAACACTTCTTTCACGCTCTAACTGCTTCCTGTGTGCTTTGCGACAGAACAGAGCACAGCCAAGGCTTCTCTATTTGTTTTATAGTAACTAATCTGTTAAATTCCCCACGCATTATTTTCAATTTTCAAAACAAACTTTACTTCCAAAGCAAACAACAGCATCATCAATAAACATGCTCTATACTCTGATGGAGCAGGCTTTCAATCAATGACAGCTTGCGTTATATCCAAACTTTATTGTAAACATCCTCACAACTGAGTACCAGGGAAATTTCACCAATTTTAACTTTTGCGATTTTGTAAATTTACCTGTACTTTTGATAACTTTTTTTTTTTATTGTTGTTGTTATGGTAACTGTCAGTATTTGATTGTGAACTTGGTTTGTTAGAAGTATTGACTCTGAAACCCCTAATAATGTTCGACATCTACACTGTAATTTCTCCTCACAATATCACCCCTTAATCAAACACTAAGCTGGACAGAATAAAGAAAATAATCACCAACTAATGAAACCCATGATTATTGCATAAATTCTCCGTCTCAGCAACTCAGGAATTGTGTAGAGAGAAGTGTAGATAATATAAATACTGATGTTACATTGTAAATGGTTAATGATCAAAAAATAACTGCAAAAAATATTGGTAGTACACTATCTTACCTTCCACAGAAAACAACCACTGCTGCTGATGTTAAAACTATGAGACACATTGTGACCCTTGCTATATTCACTAGAATGTCATTAGATGGATAACTCTTCAGCACATCACTTTCAACATTTGTGCCAAATGTAAGGTAACCAAATGTTCCAGTGATGATGTACACAGTGGAACAAATTGTCATTGCTATGACAACAACAATGCCAAATCTGGGTACACTTGCTCTTTTCAGTTCTGCATAAACAGCCACTGACTGTACATGACACTAAAAACATTGGATAGACCACATTAGAAACAGTAGTGATTGCAAATATCAAGAACTGTGTGCTAATAATGCACAGAATATTATTTTTTGGGGTGAGGTTCTCAGACTGTGAATAGTCAGTTGATGGTTTGCCATTGATTGTGTAAGGTGTTACAAGATAATTAATGAGACGAAAAGCATTTGTGGATATCTTAAGGATTATAGGAGTGCTGATTTAAAAGTTAAATATTTTTTCTCGAGTTTTGTGGCTTTCCAAACTGCCTAGATATAGAGGAAGGCTGCAGACTGCCCATATGTTAATCTGTGTAGAGGTATTTCATCTTCAAAGCGAGTAACAATGGAACATGGTGATAAATGACAAGCAAAATCACAATGTTGCTATTTTCCTCCAAAATAGATGTTGTAGTAACTGTATATTGTTCTTCAACCCCGACATTTTCTGCAGAAACCATTTACTGATTGTTCTTCTCTAAACACTGGTAAAGGAAGGTTGCATGCTCTTGGGACAGAAAAGTTGTATAATTTGCATTTATGATTAGCAATAATTGAAGTCCTTCCTTATTGCATAACTTGGCCCGAGGAGATGGCAAGACTGTTTTTCCCAATCCAGATGTATCAGAAGGGCTCAGTATTTTGCACTTTCATACTGCATGCACCTTCCCTGCAATTTGTTACTGTTAGTAATAAACAAAACTCATGATGATAAGAAGATTTCTTAGGTCAATACAAACCTGAAAAGCAAAACAAATAATGGGAACTGAAGAAAATGTGGTTGTCCAAGGCAGCTCAATCCTAAGATATGACAACAAAATTAAAATCTTGTCACTAACAATATATTCTTTCTAACAAAGAGGTATAAATTACAATTGTGATGTGATGTTATTTCACTAAGAAAGTTCAAGAGAATGTCCAGAATATATGTCCATCTCACAATGTAGTCTCCTAGTTTGACCATTTGTGACAAAGCAAATATGACTGGAAAAGACAGAAAACAGACCAATAGCATATGCCTATACTGGATCAAAAAGGAAACAATCACTAAAACATGTTCATAGCATGGCATGTCATTCATCTTCCCACTTCATTCAATCAAACTAAAGACATTTCAGGGACTTGCAAGGATAGCACCCTTATTATAATTATTTAGCAGCTAGAAGAAAAAACAAAACTAAACAAAATGAGTGTTGCTCTGTGGTCAATGTGAAGGTACAGCTGTAGGAAGGTACCCACTAACAATCTTGTATTCTGGGTCTGGGAATTTAGTTGCACTTTCTAAGAAGAACCAGGGTAATAATAAACACCATGCAACTTGTAAAATATTTGCAAATCTTGTAAGTCAAACCAATAAATACAAAGAAATATGTTTAACTTACAGAGTCTATTAGTACTGATTTTGTCTCCATTATCAATTTAAATGTTTTTCATAATTACTGCAAAGGGTAGAGTCTACACTCTAGCCTATAAACCCTTTAACTCCCAGAAGTGATCAATATGAAACTTCTCCCTATAATATCCATACATTTATCAGCGAAAAGGTAATGAGAATATTCAAACTTATCCAGTAGAAGCTGTTATCCTGATCTAGCACCAAGTTCTCATGGCTAAATTACAAGGAAATGTTAAGCCAGTGGAGGGGAGAATTAACAATCAGATCTTGGTAGTTAAAGGGTTAACCCACCCTGAAGCTTTTCACAGTCTCTAAGTAGCATGAAGTGACAGAGTATTACTACTTTCCCCCAGGATGGGATGCTACTCCATTGCAAGGGTACCCCCAGCATTTCAACAGGCTTTCCTGACAATTTGACAGTACCCATTAACACTCCTGAGTGGAGAGAGAGAGAGGCACTGTTACAGTAAAGTGCCTGGGTCTTGATCCCAGACCTCTGGACCCAGAGTCCAGTGCACTGACCATAAGGCCATTGTATGATTTTTCCCTAATAACCCTTTAACACCTAAGAGTGACAAGGTTCTAATTTCTCTTTACAATCTATCCCTTGAATCAAATGTTTAAATCACAAGAACAAAGGAAATGATCAGCAACTAACAAAACTTTGATGGTTTTACAAATTCTCCTTAGTAGAACATAGGAAATGTAAAGAGAACAGTATGGAGAGTATGCATAATGATGTTAGGGTGTAAAGAGTGAATTACTGTAATTACTGCACTTACTCTTCAAATTCCTTTCTATCAGTGTGATGTCCTTCAAAGTATTTTATGGCAGTTACCATGCTAACAAAAAATGCCCCAAATGTTCCACAAAAACTAAAAATGAACAATGTATATCGATATTAAAATTAGGAAGAAAATGGGGACATCTGCAGGTGAGAAGGACAAAGAATCCAAAGGGCTCCTGCATAAATGTAAGCTAAAAATTATAATGACACTGTGTTAAGTTCCAGATGACAAAAATCACAATGACATAGGTTCATCTTGATAGCACCCAACATGATAATTTCTTAAAAGATCATGGTTTTTATAATCAAAGGAACACACCTGGAATAGCTGAGGACCTTCAGTGTCTTTGGTAGGCAAAGAGGCAAGAGAAAGACAAGGCTTGTGACACCAGTAAGAAATTTCCGTCGTAAATACCAGCCAGGGGTAGAGTCAATGGCCTCTCCAACTGAAATAAATGTATGATCAACTCTCTGAGTACCTACACTATAATGTGTGGCTAATTCCCATATGGATTTCCCAGGGAAAATGAATGTTGTGTGCCATTACAACTTTCTTTCAGAGTGAAGAGAGTTTGAATGAATGCCCTATATTTTGTTGTACTTAGTGTTTCAACTGAAAGGGAAAAAGTTTTGATTACAAAGGACATAGAGGTACTTGATCAGAAAGCAGCTGTTCACACTTTGGGGTGTGCTTCAAATGAAAAACTCTTTACATTTCAAAAAGAACTATTTACTAGAATTTTTACCATCAAGTTAAACACTATTACAACCATTCTAATTTTACCATTACCTGAATAAATGGAAAGATAATTCGATAGCCTGTGAAAATGTGACCTTGAGATTGTATTTTGCTATTACTACAAATAACTTTAACAGACTCTGAACGTGTATTCTTCAATTCTTATTTTGTACTCAAACATTGGGCTCAGGGAACCACAGGTATATTATAACAGAGTAACTTGGGCTAAAACTCTCTCTAGTGAAGGAACAGAAAGCATGTTTTGGAACTATGATCATAACAATAACATGACAGGAAATTAATTAAAAAAAACATATACAAAATAGAGAATGCAGTCATTAAGGTGCTAGACTTGTTATCAGGTTGTTCCAAGTTCAAGTCCTCTGGTCCTTGCTGCTCACTGGATTTGTTGTCAGTTGCCTGATATTGACTCCTTGGCTGCTGTTTGTTAATTTAGAGCCAACTGATCTGCTTCCAGCCAGTTTGGATCTTTTAACTCTTTGTTTATTTACAATATTTATTCAATATATTTTTTTAATGGTCAGTTAAAAGCTCTGTTGGGGGAGTGGTCGATCAATGTTTCAATCATTATTACTTTTGAAATTAAATTTACCGGTACTCACCTTTCTCCAGTTGATCACCAATCAAAATCATATACGCCACAGTGCAACCAAACATATACAACGTTATTACAATCTCTGTTGCAACACATGCCCTCGGTCCCAAGACTGCTCCGATTATCTCTTGGAAATTATGTGAGCCATGGTTTTCAGCGCAGTATGCTAGGATCAGGAATGCTCCCGTAATGAACACCAGTAAGCACTGTAAAAGAGCAACCACCGTGATTATGCGACAACGCTGCTACTTCAATGTCTGATGAAATTTACTAAGTAAAGTGAAATCATCTTGCAAGCTTTAATGTAGCCCTAAAATTCATTATTGATGGATTACAAACTTTTCAATCGGTTTTTATGTGAATCAGTTAATCATTCGACTCCAAAGAGTGACTATAGTATCCTTACGACTTCACCACTTCACGGTCGCAATTAAACAGGAAATAATTACTAACTCAAGGAGCTTTTGATTGATATGCAAATTGTCTGTGTCAGTACCATACGAAATGGTGAAAAGTTTACAGAATATGCATACCAATGTTAGTGTGTGAAATTAAGGGGGGCATTGGGATTTTCGGTTTTGCGCTTTTGCCATCGGTTTGCGGCTTTTGTGCCAATGCACTCCGGTTTTTCGGCTTTGGTGTTCGTTTCGGTTTGCGGATTTTCCGTTTTTCAGCATTTGATTTTCGGTTTTCATCAAAAATACTCAAGAGTTTTCGGATTTGGTATCTGATGTGGTTTCTCTTCGATCTGAGCGGCAAGTAAGCGTTAGCCGTGAAACGCAAAAGTTTTTGAGAGGAATGCGTGACAAACCAAGTCTCGACTAACGCTTGCGATGTGGAGCAATTAGTTGATCATTTTTCGAACTATTAGCCTGTCTCACGTGCCGGCAACGGTAGAAGCTGAAGGACCTCAAGAAACACTGTATCGCGTGTTACTTCAAAAGAGGGAAAAAGCGGCGGTAATTTCACGCGTTCAGTTTCGGTCGAATTGTTTTGCGAATTTTTGCGGTTTTTTAAATAGACCCTCGTAACACTGATGAATGTGATGAGGATCAAGTGACCCTAAAAGCAGGATCGATGAAATGGCGGAAGGGCGAAGTGGCGGAAAATTACCCTAAATCCTAAAAAAAGGACGGCAGAAAATTACCCCAGATCCTAAAAGACGGAATGGTGGAAAATTACCCTACATCCTAAAAGACGGAATGGCAGAAAATTACCCCAAGTCCTGAGAGACAGAACGGCGGAGAATCACCCTAAATCCGTAACATTTCACACCCTGACATCAGTTTTCATATTCTCCATACTGTTCTCAGTACATTTACTACGGTGCTGACAAGGAGAATTTGTCTAACAATCAAGAGTTTCTTTAGTTGATAGTCATTTCCTCAGTATATTCTCATGACATCAATGAGTGATTCAGTGGTGATATTGTAACAAGAAATTAGATGCTAGTCACTTTGAAGACGGAATGGTAGCACACACATCCCGCTCAATACTGTATTTTCCTTTGCTACATCACAACGGAATTCTGGTCGTGTATGTGAGTGAGATGAAATGTTTCCTCACCCTTTTTCCCCTCATGATCACAACTTCCGCGGAAATTTAATCAATACCCAAAAAATCATCTTTGCTCGTAATGTGTAACATTGTGTTGTTGGCTGTTCAGTTTGTTTGATGTGATTTTCTGTGTTTGTCGAGGTGTTGGGTGGGTTGACAGGCCGACGCGAACTCTTGCTGTTTTCACGATTAGGTTATTTTTAACTGACCTTTAGACCTTTGCCCTAATGAGCACGTCCTTTTAAAAATGATTTCCCCATTTTACATGAAACTATTGGAAGCCCTTTATAAATCTCCTGAGGCTTAGGATACTTCGCAATAATTTGACAGTTGCTCAATAAAATCTTTTTAAGGCTGGTTGCTGATGGGTTATATTGTGAAACAAAAGGCAATGTGGTAAGTCACACTTTGTTTTTCTCCTGGAGTGCTGTTTTCCTACCATTGAAATCAAACCCCATGAAGATTCTTTCAAACAGATAATTCGGATAGCCCCTTACGAGTAATCGCGACTTGGAGTGTCTCTTCAAAGCTTGTTTCTGATGTTGAGTTTTGTTCCATGTAAATGGCTCTGTAAAATCTGCGTTTTCTGTCGCCTGGTTGACATAGTACAAGTGGTTTGTTTACAGGTCTTATCCCCCACCCAAGAGAAAATACCGTATTTATAGTTCCGTCGGTTAGGATTTTGGGTAATTTTCCGCCATTCCATCATTCCACCGTTCCGGCCTTTAGGGTCACCCAGTGAAAATTTTATTATTTTATTCAGTCATCTTCTTGCCTGTTTGGTGTATAATAGGTTTATTTTTATGAAATTTCGGATGATAAGCCGAAGTGAGAATTTCAATTTTTTAAGTCCGAGTTATTCTACGTCAAGTTGATTCCCAACCCCTTAACTTTCGTTATTTTGGCCCAATATTGTTGACGCAATCAAAAAATGTTTGACAAGAAGAAAAAATTACAGTTTGTTATTTCCTACTCTGACTTCCTTCAAATTGCATCGTTATAGAACGCTCTGATGAAAATGGGGAGAAAAAAATTGCATTTTTAAGTACCGGTCACAGCAACCAGCAAAAATCCTAGTCATGGGCACTTAGCACAATAACTAATCTTGGTCAATTGCTGCGATCGTGGTTGAAATTGCTCAGCGTTGTTTTCATTTCTATATAATATAACACGCACCATATGAATAATCAGCGTGGTGAAAATGCCTCCAGCTTGTGCATAGGCTTGAGGAAAATTCAAAATTCCAGCACCAAGGGCAGAATTTACCACCAAAAGAGTTGCTCTCCAAATGGGTATTCCCTTGCTGAAATGACCCGATCCATCCGATCGTTGGATAACTGTGCAAGAGGCAGAGATAGTGTCTCTATCACCATTTGCGACAGGCTTGCCGATTACATTGTCTCTACTATTATTGTAGTGAATGACTGTGCATTCATGATGACCATTCGGCACGCCGTTCTTTTCTAGGAGGGCTTCTTTTTCTAATAAATTGAGGCTGTGGTTCATGTTCTCTGGAGCTCGAAATTTCTGAAGACTTCTAATGAAAAAAGGGAATACTTCGATTTCGTCGGAGTTTTTCACTTTGTCTATATCGAATTTGTCAACAATGGTTTTTATGCCAAAGAAATCTGCACGTGAATTTCCAATGAAACCGGTGTCCCGTGGTTAGGATCAAAGTTTGCAAACATCACGAAATTTACTTAAGCCTGCTTTAAGATATGCTCTCAAGTAAAGGCAAAAAAAAATAACATTTACCTCTATTTGATCCACCAGGAAAAAAAAATCCGCAGAGTGAATGAAAGCGATATTTTGGCTAAATCAGCGCACATAGGTAGTTAAAGAATACAAGGACCAATTGATCAACAGGATGCACTGTTTACATCTATATCTCGCGCCTCTTCAAGTTCAAACAGATATTTATGACTTCGGTACCGTGACATTTGACGAGACTCTTTGATTACATTTACTGGAGTTTATCGCTGGATCCTGAGACTTGGTCGTGACTTGCGCATGACTTGCAACGCGTGGTTTGCTTTGCTGTGTTTTTCGTCGAGTAGACTTGTGCCGCGCCCGCCGTACCGAATAACGGGAAAAATATGCTTGAATTAAAAAAGAATAGATGAAATACCGCCCGTTCTATAGGCAAGTTCTGTTCAACAGGGCAAAGTAATGGTTCGCGTGCGCGTTCTTTAAAGACTCGACAATCTGGTGGAAGCAACGCAAAGCTGTTTCCCAGTCGTGTACCACAGAATGCGAATAAATAAAATGTATTCGTCCAAAGCCCTCGATGGCGATATCTTTGAGCTCTTCATTGACGTAGGCAATTTTCTCTTTTAAGCGTCTGGGAAAAATGGCATCAACTCACCTTCATGTCTATGATATTTACACTTCCGTTTTGCATTTACATCTAGGACCAGTATAAATAAAGCTTTTATCCCTGGAAAATTTTAATGTTCAACCTCTGTCGATTTGCCAGTAACGCATGAGAGAGTCACTGCTCATTATTATTTTCACTCAAGACTGGAAGGAGGTAACCATCATATCTTGCTTCCATACAAAGGAAAAGCCACGAGATACACTAAACTCCCTGGCAACGAGCCGAGCAACTGAAAATAATAAGAACGTGACCAAAACAATTTGTCACTGTCGGCTTTCCCATGCAGCCACATGCTATGCCTCTTGTTATTGCTTACACTGGGAACGATGCCAAATTTGACACTTAGCAATAAGAACTCAATCCGTAAACAGCCCCACAAAGCAGCAGGAGGGACTAAACTAACCTGTCCCAGGCCTGAACCTGTCCCATGCGTTACGTCTCGTTTAGATAGTAAAACGAAGAGCAATGTCAAATGACTCGATATTATGGAGTCAAATCGGGGACAAAATTGGTATCCTTAGTTCGTGTTGTCGGGTCATACTTCGTGACGTTAAAGTTCTCGTTTTCTGTCCTGGTACCCTTTGATCGTGTCGTCGAGCCATTCGTTCGTGTCGTCGAGTCATACTTGGTAGAGCTATAGTCCTCATTTCCAAACCCCCTCGTCATGTCGTCGGATGGTGAAACAGGTAAGTGTAACCATGGAAAAGGCCTCTCAAAAACCTTTCTATTACTTGCTGATTGTGACGGCTCTTTCCCGCTATAAAGCTTCCTCGTCCTGGTCCACCCTGTGGATGTGTGAGAACATGAACCATGCCACATCAACAGTTTCAGTGCCAGATCTCCCCTCACCCTTGAAGGAAGACCAATGCCTGAAACAGCTTTCAAAAACAATGCAAGAACTGTACATTCCTTGTTGTTATTATTGCACTTTTAAAAACATTGTTCTTCGAGAAGATCAATCAACACAGCCACGGATGACAAACCCCCACCCAACTAATTTGTGGTTTCCATCCAACTGCCTGGGTGCTAATGGGCCCTGGACAAAGTAGTGTCGACGATTGACAGTGTTAAGTTGGATTGTTCGTAACAAAACACTAACAGGGTCCGTTCCAAGCAGTGAGGAGCCTCAAGAAAGAATCCTTTCATTCTGCGAATGCCGAAGTTTGGAAAATTTTGCAAGGTTTTCTTTACAAGGTCATCAGAACAGTCTTCAAAAAAAAAAGTATACCTTGGTTCCTCCTTAAAAAGCTGAATTCGTCTACAGATTATTTTCCTGCTTGTGCCCAACATTGCGACACTTTTTTAAAATGAAAAACCGTAGCATAAGTACAGTTTCAAATTCCCTCGTGGTACCTCGAAGGCAAGTCTTCCTACTTCGCCAGAATGTACTAATGGCAAGGTTAAAGAACACTCAGCACTTTGTTTATTTCTATCTTTCAAATGCAGATAACTGTTTGCTTCTACCAAGAGGTCAAGAACGTCATCGAACACGCTCGCCTTTCTAAAGAAAGAGACGATATACCACGTGACGATTAAAAACGTGGTTACCACTGACCGTTACGACATGAATTATGTTTCAACGCCACAAAATGTGACGCGACTCGAATTTTTAGGAGAAAGCGACATGAGACACGCCACAAAGATAGCACGTGAATCAGAAAATTCATCCGGCAACATGACGAGGGAGGTTTAGAGGACAGGAAATGAGAACTTTCGCAGAAGTATGACTCAACGACACGAACAAATGACTCGACGGCACGAACAAGGGATACCAATTTTGTCCCCCATATGACCCCATACGATACTGAAGGTAGCCGGGAGGGGAGTAAAAATGGGAGGGGTCGCACCCCGACCCAAGCCTCTCTCGTTTTTGCTCAGCCGCTACTATCGCAACGCTAACTTTTTCGCTCTTTTTGGGCCTGTTTACATGGAGTAGGGGCACCCCCAGAGGGTGAGGTAACCCGCCTAAGTGGGGTAACCCTCCTGTCTATATATATGTTTTATCTGGAGCACGTTAACTTGATATAGGTGGGGCAACTAGACAACCCGTCTGGACCTCGTACAGCAGGACAAAAAATAGATGGCACATAAAAAAAGAAATTTCGTTTTCTGCAGTACATCACGCGACTTTCGTAAAGCTAGTGGCTGGCGTCTTCGATGGCAAATTAATTCATTGGCCAGTTGATCCATTGTGGCTTTAGAAGCTACGAGAGATCTATAACGCTTTACTTTATGTCTCGTTATTCATTCGCATTCTATTCCCGTGAAGCCAGCATTAATGAATTTCTTGGGTTCTTTTTGCCACTAGGGGTAGCCCACGTGTAGCCAGGCTCCCTCGCCTCCGTTTCACCTTTGGGGGGGAGAGGGTGCGGCTACACTTAGGCTGAACTGGGGGCCTCTCTGCACTTGCGAAAAAGTTGTTTATTTGGACCAATTTTCTATCACCACCAACACTTAACAATTGTTGATGATTTGTCGCGACTTAACAAATTTTAGCCGAAAAAAAAAAAAAAAACAAACAAATCTTCGTACGCACGGCCGACAAACTTTTGTTCCAGATAAAAACTGGACGAAATTGACTAGATAACCAAACGTGTGAACTTTTCTATCATTCTTAGCGCGCGAACTCAACATCACGTAGTTATGACGATGGAGCCTTCCATTCCATTCTTTATTTTATTTATCAAAAAAGAAGCAATTTTTGATGATTTTTGTTTATGATGATTGTCAGTTGCAGATTTTGAACCAATGCCATGATAATAGCCTAAATTGTAATCCACAAGGTCTTCTTACTCTTCAAAATATCAGTTATAACAATTAATCAACAAACACAAATTGATTCCGGCTAAATGACAAACTAGCCAACTGGATTGTTCTAAACCTGTACAGGGGCATAACCAGGATTTTTCAAAGGGGGAATCAGACTGAGTCAAACTGAGGGTACACACCAGATTGTCATGTTGACCTCCGTGTCGTGTTTCACTTATGTGACAAAAAAAGGCTTACAAGTTTACCGTACTTTTTTTAACGCCAGTTTTCATGCTACCACTGCAGAAATCTGTCAAAGGCATCCTAGGCTCTGCATTCTTTAATTATGATTAGGGTTTTGGTTCTTGCACATTAACAATGGATTATTCCTAGTTACCTCTTGTGAGTATCTAACTTAAACTACTATAGGCAGTAGTAACTTTGGAGACTTGAATTTAATTCATACTAATTTTATTAGTAATTGGACCTCATGTTATACAATTTGATTCAGATCACAATTGTGACAAATACATTTGTATTAAATTATAACATAACTATAAAACTCAGAATACCATGATACCTGAAATATCTCTGGAATGTTTTATGAGTTACAACCAATCACAGGATGGTATGTAAGTAATCCAAACAAAACTACATACAATACATTAATAAATATTAATGCTATCATGTACAATCAAGATTTTCTTGTATTTGATTGGCTTGTTTTTCCTAAATGCAATTACATTCCATAAACATTTTCAGTGGTCACAGACTTCAGAGTTTCACAGTATATACAATATTATTTTTGAAAAAAAGAATTAGATGACAATTTGATTTGAGTCTTTGACATGGCAGACCATAGTGGTTTGTCCAACATTTGCACCTCTCATTGTTTGCAGCACTACTGTTTTAATGCCATGGGAAACTGACATCTGAGTCTGTCATTATAAACACAATGATCAATACAAACTTCCTCCTTTTATGTCTTGCATTATGGCAAATACTTCAGAGTCTGCAAACAAGAACACTCCAACAACCACATACCAGAGACCCAGAAGAATCAATAATTTCCTTTTCATGGTAAGAACTGGATATTGTACCATCTCTTGAACAAGACAGATCCCTGAAAATAAAAAAAAGTGATGTAGTATTTGTAAACCTGGCTCATTTTCGCAAACGCAGGAACTTGAGGTCATCGAACCAAGGAATAGTGGTCACTTTTAAGTGCCATGATGGGATACGATAAGTGACTTGGTGTAGAACATGCCATTTGTTGTAAAAGATACAAACTAGTTGTCTAAGTTTCAACTGACAATATTTTCAGTGCACAATTAACACAAATCAGGGCTGAAAGAGCCTTTTTCCATAGTTGCCACTTAGCAAACCAAAATGTGGAATAGTAGCCAGAAATCCAATTCTGGTCAACCAAAAAAAAAAAAAATATATATATATTCTTCCAGCAGTATTCAATGACAACTAAACCATATAAATAATTTTAAAGTAAACAGCATGTCTCGTATTTGTTTATAGAAATTCATGCAATTTCTTACAACCAGCTACTCAAGCAACTAAATATAAAGAGGCAAAGTTTCACAGAAGAAAGCAACAAAACATGAGAAATAATCCACTAAAACTTTCCTCTCTCTCTAATGTCAGCCCATAAAAAGTAAGCAGCCAAAAATAGACACATTCAGGGTGTAAAATTGTGCTTAATACAGACGCCAATGTGACTCAATTTTTTACTTTGGCGACCAAATCCTGAAAATTAGTCGCCAAATTGGCAACTAGAATGCTTCATCGTAACCTAAGTACCTAGAGATACAGTGAATTAAAAAGATTTGCAGAGATGAATCTGTGGCAAACTTCCTTGTTAAGTTTGTTTCAAAAACGCAGCACATGCATCTCGATTGATAACTAGACACCATCTTGGATTTAGGTGAGCTTGAATGTTGTATATCATCCAACCTAGTTTCCACTTTGTTGCACGTTAAAGATCTTTTTCCTAGCTTAATATCGGAGGGTCTATCAAGAACGCTGACAGGGTAAAAAAAGGTTTAGTTTGTCTATAAAAATGGTGAACAACAGCTTTTGAATTGGCCACCACTTTGGAAAATTCAGGAGCTGAGAGGCTCTCAGAAGAAAAAAATTAATTTCATGTCCTGACATTGCAACAAAACTGTTGAGCACAGATTACCAGATTGGCCATGCCCTGCAAATTTAGTCGTCAAAATGTTGTAGGACACCATGGTGACCAAATCATTGCAACTTATGAGGGTTTGCTTACCTGGGTAAAAGAAAATGAACAGTGCAGCCAGTCCCCCAATAAGTGCAATTGCATATTGTATGTTTTTCACATAAACAGCAATAATAAGGGCTGACCCAAACCACACTAATGTTTGTATGATTCTTCGCCGTTTTTCATATATTTCAGCAAGAGTTGGAGGCATTCTGAAGGCTGCCAAATACAATCCCTCCAAACAGCTCCTGTAAGTAACAAATTTGACCGACATCAATTTTGTTGAATCTGTACTTTATAAATACTATACCTCTTTGAGTAAGTGCCTAGGGGCTTACTTAAAATTTTGGCTAAAAGGAGGAGCAGTTATCAGAAGAAGGCTGCTTAATTGAGGGGGCGCTTATCATTCTCCTGTACTGATTCTACTGTGGTTGAAGTTCAAACTGCTAGAAATAAAGTAGCACAATAAAAAGGTTTTCCTTGCATCTCTATTATTTAAGAAAGTTAGGGAGAGAGGGGGAGGGGGAGGGGGAGGGGGAGGGGGAGGCACTTCCTCTTGATTTACATTATTGAGTTTTATAGTTAGTTATTGAGGGAGGGGGAGGCACCTGCTCCAGAGGGAACCTTGTTTAACATTATGATCTAGGAGGTAGGTGCTTATTTGAAGAAGGGTGATTATTAGAGCTTGGGCACTTAACCCTTTAACTCCCATTGTTAATTCTCCCCTGTGGCTGCTGCACATTTCCTTGTAAATTAGTTATGAGAACTTGGTGTGAGATCAAGATAGCAGCTTCTACCTGATAAGTTTGAATATTCTCATGACCTGTTTGCCGAAGAACGTATGGATATTGTAGGGAGAAGTTTTATGTTAATCACTTCTGGGAGTTAAAGGGTTAATCAAGGAAATAGGGTATCTCTATTACCATGATACATTAAAAATTCTCAGGTTTTAACTTTTTCAGAATGTCTTTTAGTCCCAAAAATAAGAATATCTAAAATTTTTCTTTTTAAAACTATTATTTTTAAATAATTATGAAATTACTATAAACTTAGGAATTTAGTATCTCACCTTCCACAAAAAACAACAAATGCCCCTGTTGATAAAACTATGAGGCATATTGTTACCCTTGCAATATTCACCAAAATGTCGTTAGAAGGGTAACTTAAAAGAACATCACTTTTAACTGATGTGCCAAATGTTAAGTAGCCAAATGATGCCGTAATGGTATAGGCTGTGGTACAAATTGCCATTGCTATGACAACAACAATGCCAAATCTGGGTACACTTGCTCTTTTTAGTTCTGCATAGACAGCCACTGAAGGGACATGACACTGAAACACAAAAAAGACCAAGTTAGCAAAAAGCTTTTTGTGTGGTGAGTACTACAACTAAATTATGTAATATCAAGCAAAGATTAGTTACCCTTTCTTTCTCTGTTTCTTTCGGGTCATGATAATTGGACAGAGTTTAGCTATTGTGTTCCAAAGAGAATTTCTAATGTCCCTAATCATTTTGTCCATTGAACAACATTTAGTATCTTTCCTAAGGTATTGTGTGATTTAAATGTTTGGAGGACATCTTGCTCCTTCTCAGATTTTTCATACAATTATTTCAATAAGATTGTGATGCACAAATTTCTTTAAATAAAATTCCCATAAACAATCAATGTATATTTGAATATGTATATACACCAAATCAAAAATAAAAATGATACAAACCTGAAAACCAAAGCAAATTATAGGAATAGCAGCAAAAGCCTGAGTCCAATTCCAAGATTCCTCAATCCTAAGGAATGAAAACAGAATTGTACACTTAGCCACTATAGGAAAGGTGCATGCCAAGATTGTATACATCATCAATCCAACTGTTAAAATAATCAGAGCAATTTTCAAATCAACTATTGAAAATCCAAAACTAACTAATCATAACAAAGGTTTACATTATCATTAGCCAATGAGCACTTAACCCTTTAATTCCCATAAGTGACCAAGACAGAATTTCTCCTTACAATATCAATACAATATCAACCAGATAAGTGATGAGAATAAAGAAAAGATCAATTTGGTGATAATTAGTTGATTCAATACTAAATTCTCTGAACTAACATTATAAGAATTGTATGATTGATGGTAACAAATTTGATCTGGGAGTTGAGGGGTTAAATTAAAACAGGCAAACCTTAAAAAATGCAGGAGAATCTGAGCATTCATTTTACATCTGATTGGTTATAGGGATGGACAGTGTTTTGTAGACCAATCTCAGGCTAAATCACATTAATGAAAAAAAGACAAAATACTCTTGGTTTACTTTTGACATGCAATTGAGAATTGCTCTTCTTAGGGGTACTTACTCTACATAGTCTTTACTATCAATGTGATGCCCATCAAAGTATTTTATTGCAGTTACTATGCAAACAAAAAGTGCCCCAACTGTTCCAAGAGCACTGAAAATAATTTATCAACAGGTCAGTAAAAAATGTGAACAAATAATACCACTGAATCATACTACATATTGTAAGCTCACAACTGATTGAAAGCAAACTTGCTAAGTTCAAGTGAAGCTCTAAAGCATTTTGACAATTTGTCAATATTACTTTTACAGGAGCAAAAAAAAAAAAAAGTATAGTCTCATGCCTTAAAACTATTGCTTCAGAATTTGAGTTGATAGGAAAATCGTGAAAAATGTGAAAGGGAAAGATGCAAAAAAAATTCTGGTCATGGACCTAACAATTGTATTTACATGAGTTTTGTACACGTGAGAAATTTTTTTACAAATGTTTCTTGCCTCTCAGTTCTTTTGGTGGTCAATGGGACACTGCTTTAAGTTCCAGAGGTCAGAAAGCACAAGAAATCTGAGGCTCAAGTGGCACAATGTTCACTTAGATCATAAATTATTTATTTAGAAGAACTCATGGCCCCCAGTTGTTTAAAGTGTGCATAAAGCTATACACAGGACAAATCTCTAGCCTGGTGTCCTTGTCTCCCACCACATATACTGGAGAATGATTTATCCCTCAGATAGTGTTATCCACCCTTAGAACAACTGGGTCATGATTGTTATAATCAACACACCTTGAATAACTAAGAACTTTCAAAGTTTTTGGAAGACACAGTGGTAAGAGAAAGAGAATGCACATCGCACACATGAGAAATTCGCGACTTAAATACCAGCCGGGAGTAGAGTCAATAGCTTCTCCAACTATAAACATCGAATAGAAAGTGTATCATTAAGCTCTATAGAGCATGCTCTATCCTGCATGCTGTACATTATACCACTAAATAAAAGGGGTTTTGTCTTGAGAAAAACTCAACTTCTGTAAGAATTGATTAAAGTACACATACGTATTTTCTGGTAGATATGTAGAATATCTGTATTGGGTACGTTTGTAACTAAAGTGGTAAAACTTGTGTGAAGTTTGCTGCATGTTGTACAATAAGTTTGGGTCTCCATAGAAACCTTTTTTAAATAACTGGTGCCAATAAAAGTTGCTTTTGGTAGGCTAGGATTTTGACCAAATCTTATAAATAAGGTCCTGAGAACCAACATCTCAACACAATGCATTAACTGTTTTCAGCCTGGTGTCCATGTCTCCCACCACAAAAACATTTCCTAGTAAAAATAAGCGTGTACTTGTGCCCAGAGTTATGATCAGATCACCGAACAATTTTGTTAGATGTCTGGTGAGAGGATAAAAACCATGCTTAAGGCCATGACAACCATAAAAAGAGGAAATCAATTATAACTCGGAGGTGACATATCACTTTACTTGCCCTTCTCCAGTTGATCACCAATCAAAATCATATATGCCACAGTAGAACCATACATGTATAACATAATGACTATCTGTGTTAAAATGTATGCCCCTGGACCAAGTACTTCACGGATTATCTCTTGAAAATTCTGGGAGCCATGATTTTCGGCACAATATGCTAGGATCAGGAATGCTCCAGTAATAAATACCAATAAAGACTGCGAAAGATAAAAAAATAAATGTTGTATTACAAAAATTCTGGTTCACCATCAATTAGAAATTTACAAACTGAAAGGAAATTGAACAGCTTGGCTCTTAAGAGTAACTAGCATCTAATTTCTCTTTTAATATCAACCATGAATCACATTTTAAGATAATGAGAATATAAGGAAATGATCACCAACTGAAGAAACTCTTGATTGTTTAACAAATTCTCCCAGCCAGTACCTTAGGAAATGTATGGAGAACAGTATGGAGAATATATATACTAATGTTAGGGAGTAAAGGGTTAACAAAAGTCCACAGGGCATTTACTTGTCATCTTATTCTGACCTTGGTATAACTAAAACTAGCTGCCAGGGCCGGCTACCGCAACAACAGTGATAATATGGGAAGATGTTGTGTGTCACGTCTCTTAAATGGAAATTAGCAAAAATTTGAGTTTCACACAGGAATAGAACCCTAAGCCATCAGATCCTACCCTCTGAGTTACAAAGAACCTTCATGTTGGGCTAGGCCAATTTTGGGTTCATATGTAAAACACACACCGGATTAGCACTTTAGAAAGCACTGTTTGCGGCAATACTATAGGGAAGATGATAACTTTTGAGCTTAATTACCTTGAAAAAAAATCGTGTGGGACGAAGGAAAAATATATTTCCCTTCGAGAAATAAATCAGAGATAATCTTCCCCATACTATTGTAAAACAAAATTTGTTTTTTCTTTTCAAGAACTGAATGCATAATGTAGTATGGGGCTGTGCGGAAATTTAACCAATAACCCTGCACCAAGAAGGTCTAGTTCATGGGTCTTCATATGTGATTAAGTCGTTTCTTTTTCTTACTAATGACATAATACCCACCATTTGAGCAGTAAGAGCGGTTGTAATGCCTCCACATTGCGCATATGCTTGGGGAAAATTCAAAATTCCAGCACCAAGAGCTGAATTTACCACCAAAAGAGCTGCTCTCCAAATAGGTAAACCCTCCGCGTAATGATTCTCACCCGGTCGTTGGATCACTGAACGAGATTTAAACACACCAGCACTGGAGGTAGTGTCTAAATCACTTGTTGCACCTGGCTGATTAAGCATAGTTACTTCACTACCACTGTAGTATGGGCTTTCATAACGACTTCCTTGTAGGTTCCTTTTGTCAAGAAGGGCTTGTTGTTCCGACAAATCGAGGCTGTGGGTCATATTCTTTGGGCTCACGAATTCTTAGGACTCCTTGTGAAAAGTGAATACCCTGCAATCAACGTTTCGTGTTCACTGGTAACTATTTTGGCTTCAGAATAGTAGTTTCTATATTTAACAAATCTGCACGTGAATCGACAATGAATCCAGTTCAGCCGGTAAATCTGATAAACCGGTCTCCCTCAGACTGGATCAAGATTTACGCAACCACCGAATTTCCTTCCGCCGGTGGAGTAGAATTTTAGAGCTCTCGAGTTAATGAAGGATGTCAAACGCTTGCTCTCCCTAATAATGAATTATAAATAATGTTGAGTGTGGTCTACCGAAAAGTCGCACGATTGAAGTAGACCGGCAATTGGCGCAGTAAACTTCGTTAGAGAATGGAAGGGTGGTGATCAATTGTGCATATGACGTAATTTCCACATCAATTCTTGCGCCATTTTACGTTTCTTAGGCGAGAGAAATGGTGAAATAGTAACTTCGTTGCGGTGGAAGATGACAAGATCTAACGAAGAAGTGAGAAAGTTTTGCGATAGTATTCGTAGAGGAGGGATTGTCGACGAAATGAATCCCCTACCTTAAATCTCGTGATCTTGACCTTGAGAATTTCGGTGCCTCAATCCCGCGCCCTTTTCCCGCCGATCGGTAGGACCCGCAGGACTTTCTAACCCACGGATCCGTGTGTTAATGCCATAGGTTTTTTCTATTAACTTTTGAAAGTTTTTTGGTCTTCTCTATCCAACTATATAATCATTGAGGGTGATTTATACTGAAGACAAATGTAGGCCCCTTCATACTATGACTTATGGATAGAGAGCCGGGAAACACTCTTACATGACATGGTGAATACTATTTCCAGTACCAACCGAGATTCATCTAAGATGGCGGACGAAATTTGCGCAAAACGGATTAAGAAGTCTGATGGTGTTAACATGGTTACTTGTCAAGCCCCAGTCAATATTGCCATCATAAAATACTGTAAGTGGGATATAATTAATTTACAGATAGCTTTCAGATGCTGAAAAAATTCTATACTTATTTCCTGTAAAACAAAAACGATAAAGACTGAAATGTGAAAAAAATTTTATGTTGCAGGGGGAAAAAGAAACGAACAGCTTATTCTACCTTTGAATTCTTCGCTAAGTGTAACTCTTGATAAGAAAGAGGTAACGTAAATTTCGAATATTTTAGTTGTTTTTAAAAGTGGTTGGGTCACATAAACTGTCTATAACTGAAAACACCAGCATAAACGTCAATATCAAGCTTGTCCCCTTTCATAATATAGTGTGGTCAGGAAAAAAAATCAACATGACCAAATTTTATAGTTTCTTTAGAAACATATGTGCTGTGTTGACAGGGATTTAAGAAAAAACCTTGTTGTTCATCGTCGAGGAGTTAATATGAATGATAAACCGCAGTCGCCAAGTTTGAAAAGTTGATGTTTTGAGGAAGTGGAACAAGGCTAATGGTAGTAAGTCAGGTGTACATAACTCAAACCGATGAGGGACTCATAACATGTACACCACAGCATTTATTAACCCATGCCAAAAGATATTTTCACCCCAGCACCTACACTAAGAATAAAATAGATAAACAATTTTGTACCAACAAGTTAAAGACCAAGATCAAGATGAAGATTAGTAATTGTAATCTGTGGTTTGTTCTTACTTTAGCTCCATTCTTCTACAACTGTTGCAGCAAGTGAGGATTTTTCTGAAGATTGTATTTGGCTCAATGGAAGGTTTGGTAGCATATAATACCAGATGAGATTTGTATCAAGACTCATTGTCTAAGAATTTTAAAACATCCCATTAGCAGTAAGACTCTGATATTCTTACACAAGGAATATTGAGTTTTATTGATATTGAGTTAAATTTTCATTTTTTTTTTTATTTTGGGGTATTAGATGCCAAGCTTTACTACATGTAAGTCTTCCACCATGATAAACAAAATTTTTTAATACATTTATACAGCGGTTTTGAAACTTGAGGCCACATTCCAAAAATGTACCCTAAATATAGTATTATTGTACAATAAGAAAAAGGAGATCAAGATGAATTATAATTTCCAGGGCACATGCATGTAACTCACTTTTTCCCTCTTATCCAGGAAGCATAACATTGCTGAAATGCCACGGATTCAAAAGTGTCTAGCAACAAGTGAGTTCTGGTTTGATTTAGTCACCATTGGAATTTTTTTTATATTCAATCAAGTGAATGGATTTATTATCCAATTATGATAACTATCTTTTTTATTTACAGTGTAATACATTTTGAAAATTGGAAGTTTTAGAATTAATCTACTCTTTTCTTAGAATAAATTTTAGTCAGAGAAAATTTATTCGTATCTGTTCAGTCTCAAATGGAGGATGTCTTGATCAACACTGCTATAAAAGTCACATCATTTTCTTTTTCAGTGAGGAAGCTGTCACACAATGAGTCTCTTAAGGACTGCTGTATTCACATTTGCTCGCAGAACAACTTCCCTACTGCTGCAGGCCTGGCTTCATCTGCTGCTGGATATTCCTGCCTAGGTAGAAAAAGAGGAATCCTACATGTAAATTTACACACACAAAGGTTTGATCTTTTGAGACAGGAGACTTATTATACTCTTGAGTTTAGGAAGGCACAGTGAGATGAAAAGGTCATGCACAATGATCCTACAAGGGCTCAAACTTTGACCTCCTGATGTTGATTTCAGTGTTAAAACCATTAACTCTTGACACCCTAGCGTCAGTATACATATTCTCCATACTGTTCTCTATACATTTTCAAGGGTGCTGACGAGGAGAACTTGTTTCACACCAAGAGTTTTTTCAGTTGGTGATAATTTCCTTTATTCTTGTGACCTCAATGTGTGATTCAGGGATAGTGTATGGAGAAATTAGATGCACATCACTCTTAGGGGTTAAAGGGTGGAGCCAATACAATTTTTCTGAGAATTATGCTTATTTAATGTTAGCCTCCAGGTACTCTTTCAATTAGCAGAAAAATTAAGTTAACGTACTCTTACACACACACACACATTCAGACTTTCCAATTTTCACAAAAAGTTGTATAGCTTTGAATGTCAGTATGTATACATTCCAATTTTATTATAGTGATGGTAATTTTTGTACACAGTTTTTGCTCTGTCAAGATTACTTCAAGTCAAGGGTGATCTTTCAAGAATAGCAAGGTGGGATAACTGAACCTCCTCCGCTAACAGAAAGAAACAACAATAATGATGTGTACTTTCATGAGTAGAAGAAGTCACCACCATAAACTTTACAGAGAATGGTTTTATTGAGAACTCAAGAAACGCCAAAAGACTGAAGGGCATGACACATTCTGATGGCTGATTTTTGTATTGCTTGTTTGTCTCCCCTTTTCATTTTTATCGTGATGTTATAGGCAGGGGTCAGGAAGTGCTTGCCGCAGTATGTATGGAGGGTTTGTTGAGTGGGAAAAAGGTGATGCAGAGGATGGATCAGACAGCATTGCTAAACAGGTAATCATATCATTGTTTGTTTCTTAACCCTTGGCCCAAGCAAAGAAAGTTACAAAGAAATTTTCATAAGATATTGGTTTACAATAAGACATTGAAGAGATTAAAAAACATGCATCCAACAGTTTGAGAGAAATTGGAAAATGGTCTTACACAAAGGTAATTGGGGTTTTAGAAAAAAAACTTGCCATAAATGCAATATGTGCTTTTGCTGATTTGCAAGCTTTTCATGATGTTCTTGTAGATAAGCCACCCCCCCTGTTTTGTTACCAAAATTTTGGGAAAAGAGTTGCGGCATATATTCTGTTGTTTGCAGTACATCGCAATTCAAAATTTTGAGTCACAGCTCATGATTTATTTTAGGTTTGTTTCAAAATTATTGCTCTCACATCCATTCCTTGTAGAAATCACATGTACTGATATACACAACAGGTTAAGCAAAAACATTTTGATAATTGCATATTGAAACGCTGAAGATCAAGCACGAACTTCAGTATTTAAAGTTCCAGCAATATATAGAAAATCTTGTTTTTGTTTCTCAGATTGCTACTGAAGATCATTGGCCAGGTTTAAGGGTACTTATTCTGGTGGTAAGACCATTGACAGAGAGACAATTTCACAGTACATTACGATAGTTGAAAATCAATGATACAATTCCCTAAACAAGGATTATTGATAACTAAGTACCTCATACGTATTGGCAAAACGAGCTAAACTGCACTTGAGGTCAGTCAACATCTTCAAGAACAAAATAAAATGGATCCGAGAATTTTTCGCGCTCTTTACAGATTTCAGACATTGCTTTTTGCCTCCACAGGAATTTTGGATCCTTAAGCGTCCTTCGTCTTCTTGTGCTATTTAAATATACACTTCAGCTTTTTGCCTTAAGATATCAGTCTTTGTTTGACACCAACCTGAGATGTTAAAGGAACGTAACACATTCTTATTAGAGAGCAGAAAAAGAAGCTACTTGGCGCAACTGATATACATCTTTGTCTCACTTTTAGGTCAATGAACACAAAAAAGGCACAAGTAGTACTGATGGAATGAAAAGAAGTGTAGAAACCAGTGATTTACTTAAGGTACGCCCTGACAAGTTTTCACGCCTCAGTTGGGATAGAGCAAACATTTGTGTAACGTTTGCCTTTCCAATCAACAGTGTACAGCAGTTAGAAAAGAGAATTCGTATAAAGGCCCCAAATCAATGAGGATCTCAACTTGGAGGTCGTATATGTCATTTTAGCCTCACTAAAGCCACAGTGCAGTACCACTGTGGTGGTTTTGCAACCATTTAACGTATACCAACACGTTTACACATTTTGGGCTCTTTACCAGTTTAGATCTGAGTTTTGTGTTCCTGAGAGAATGAAGATAATGAAGAAAGCAATCTCGGAGAGAGATTTTGAGACATTTGCAGAAACTACAATGAAGGTAATAGTTTTTGCTCTGATTGTTTAAATTCTTTTTCGGTTATTCTTTGCTGTGTCACGCGATTGAAAAAGAGCTCTCATTACTACCTGAATAAAGGTGGTAAGTTTCTAAAGAAACTGTGGTGCTACGTCGGTGGGAGTGTATAACAGGGCAATTTAGTATTATCAACTGAGTTGATAACGTAAATTGGCCACCGTAAAGAGTTAAAAAGCTGACATTTGAATCCAATCCAATCTCTCTGACGAGGGGCTAACGCTCGAAACGTCAGGTTTTAAACTCTCAACGGTGGCCAATTTACGTTATAAACTCTGTTGATAATACCAAATTACTCTCTCTACTATCGTGGCGTTGCGGGACTTTTCCATTGAATGCTAAGAGAGAAACCTCCGCGGAATTCTGCGTTGAATGTTAACATTTCAACATAGTTGGTTAATTAGTGCTCACATGTGGAATGTGTTCAGTCCATGAGAACGTTTCAAGGCATAATTTTGTTCTTGTGTAGGAAAGCAATCAGCTGCATGCAGTGTGCCAGGACACCTACCCTCCCATCGCACCACCATACATGAATCAGACCTCGCACAGTATAGTTCAGTTGGTTACCCTGTACAACAACTTCTGTGGTCAACTTAAGGTAATAAAACTTTTGGTTAGCGTGTGATCAATTGTCCATTTTTGCATTCTACAATTGTTGCTGCTTGAAACGTTTTTGTGTTTTACTTGAAGGACTATTTAGGTCTCTTTGAATCCTACTGCGTAGAAAACATAACCGCCCATCAGAGATTATAAGAATCGCCTTAGAACTCCTTTTGCGTTAGCGTCAATCGAACTCACGCGGTGTGCCTTCTACCGTGCGCGCAATATTTGCTCTTTTGTCCCCTTTTATCTTCCTAGCAATTAGAATTGGCCAATCGTGTTTGCGGTGGGCGTGGCTCTAAATCTATCCCGAGAGTCTTTCACCACATTCTCAAAGTGCTTTGTATCGAAATCCTTTGGTTTCAGACTAAAACAAAATAACTAGGCTGTTTAACTGGAAAACTTCAGATTGCATTTCTGAACAGAAGCAAATACTAGGTCTGATTTAGTGAAACACAGATCAAACCACACCAGGTACTATTGACGGACTCTGTTGTATCCTCCACGTCATTAGGTTGCCTACACATTTGATGCCGGACCTAACGCGTTCTTGTTTGTAATGGAAAAAGATATTGCAGAAATTTCGTCGCTTATTAGACACTTCTTTCCTCCAGAAACCGACAGAGGGTAAGTAAACCAGATGAGTGACAGAGAAAACGATAAATTAGCCATCTCGAATAACAGTTCTGAGCTTGTTACGTCTTAATTTGCAAAGAGGAGCTTGAGAGTATTTCATTAGTGATTTTTCTGTTCGCACTCTCTCTCCATTTGAGATGCTAACCTCAGCCCCAGGTGTTTCTCGGTCCAATTGTTGTTCTAAGATGGCGGTTGATTTTTAAGGTTGAGAGGTATAGTTTCATCTTGAAAACTGACCGAGGAAGCTTTGGAACGAGGCTGACGAGTTGCTTGTCCATCATCGTTATTCTTAGGCGTATTTGTCCGGTGTCCTTGCAACACATTTTCCGCGCTGCCCTGGCGAGGAGATTCTTTTTAAAAAAAAGTGCCTTCACGAGTTGCACACCAAAGTTCTTCCAACCAGGGAATACTTAATCCGCCGCACCCCACTAAGGTCAGTGGATTTCCAACTGATGCTGCGAAGTTTGGCGCTTCGTGGAACACGCGTAGTTTCAGTTTGGTCGCCTTGTTCTCACAGTGTTAGGTTTTCAACCTTTGCGTGCGTTTTCTAACATCTGTTTTTCCATTTATAGATTTATTCAAGGAATGGAAATAAAATCTCAAACTGATTTAAACAAGGTGTGATATATTCGTCGTGTGAAGGGTAGCACAGAAATTACATGCTCCTGATATCACAAACTCCCACTTAAGGTAAACAACCCTCGAGTTTTAATCCAGGGTTAAGCTCACAAATTTTTTTTCGGTTTGCAGAATCTTTTGAAGTCGATTACTATTGAACCATCTCCAGGAGCTGTAAAGTACGTTATTTTAACAAAGGTGAGCATGTAATCCTTTGTTCTTCATCTTTGACAAACTGAACCATTCTGATAGCACGGCGCGGCACACTCCTAGGAAGCCAAATTTTGCCTGTTGCTTTCTCATTTCTCTCCGCGTAAAGGCATTGGTTACAACTCCACGTTTTTTCATTAAAAACAGTATCTCGTCACAGATCAGCTATAAGCAATGTTTGGTGACAAACTTTCAATTTTAGTGAAAGCCCGGAACACAAGCGAATACAAAGGGAGAAATCGTGCTCTAAGTGCATAAGCATATGAACTCTCCCATGTCGCGAAAGTGTGTGTTTTGTAATTCAGTGTGACAGTAATGAATTATTATTATTTATTGATATTTCTCTCTCAGGTTGGCAGTGGCCCAAGTGAACTGGGCGAAGAACATAGCCTTCTTGATGAAAATGGGCGGCCCAAACCCTAACATAACAAGAACTGTCTTGCAGTACTGTCCACTAATGGCCTCTCTTATTTCCAAGAACTCCAACAAGATAGACGCTTTTGAGAGACTTTTTCTACGCCTGTAATGCTATTCCTTCGTTAGCTTGTCTGTAACTGAAAGTTAAAATCTATTTCTCCCGTGCTTGGTTCAAAACTGACATCATAACTCATACAAGAAGTATTTTCATTTGCAAGAGTTAAATCGTGAATCTTGGTTGGCGACTTCACAAAGTATACTCCTTGCTTTGTGTGGCGAACCCAGTTTAATTTAGATATCTCTTCTGCACCATCTTTTTTCTGTAAGCAAAGAACAAATCGGTGGATCAATCATATATTTGAATGAATTCAACCAATTTTATCAAACATAGAAACTTTCCAGGGGTGTCGGAAGAATTCTGGATTTGCATTGATTTTGCTTTACAACGCTCTCTGATTGGCCTGAAAGTATCACGCCACTTTTTCAATTGGCCAGTCAGATGCAAAACTAGAGCCAAACATGGCTTGGCCACTCGAGTTTTCTGACGTTTGCGGTTAGATGTTTCTACTGTGAGTTCTCTTTTACCTTTTTTATGTTACCCTTTGTCGTAATCGGCTAATGTGATCACTTAGAATTTTTTGCTATGGCACACTCCATCAAAATCTCTTAACTCAAAAAAATGAAATGTTTCTTAAAAAATAAAGGAAATAATGATTTAGTCATGTCTCACCTGTTGTAATCCTGTAGTAACGGTTAATTTATCAGTGAGGTGGAAGTCCATCCAGATTGCTACACCATGAAAAGTACCAGGCCTAATAACAGAGACACATACCCTGAATAAAATTTACAACTGGGAAAGTATATAACTGTGTTACTGACTAAAAGAAATCATCCTTCTTTCGTCAAATCAACTCTCAGTCTCCGCATCGTGAAATTTTCCCTCTTTGTACCCACTTAAATAGAACGATGTTTTCATGTATCTTTTGTTTGTTTGTTTGTTTCTTTTTTCCATCAAAATGGTAAAAATCAGACAGTGCGTTGACTTTAACCCACCGTTAACTGTCTACCTTAATTCGTGTTTGATTTTAAACGTTGCTTATAGGAGTAACACTACACATGAATGAATGACAGCCATACTGAAGGGGCGTGAAACACAATTTGGTGCACACAGATGTGGACAATATCGACCCTGTGTTCCCTTAGAGTGACTAGCATCTAATTTCTCCTTACAATATCAGCGCCTAAATCAAACTTTTGAGGTCACAAGATTGAAGGAAATGATCACCAACTAAAGAAGCTCCTGATTGTTAACCAAATTCTCCTTGTCAACTCCTTAATAAATGAATAGTGAACAATATGGAGAATAGGCATACTGATGTTAGGGTTTATAGGGTTAACAGAACTCCAAACTGGTAAATAACCGTAGCTGTTTAATAACCTCGTAAGTTTCGCTTCTCCTTTGCTTGCCATTTTCTGGCTTGGTATATTTGAAGTGAAGTCAAATTCCATTAGGGTGAATTCCTGAGTTAGAGGATGGCACGGATACTCCCACAAGTGATGAGGCTCCAGTGCTATCCCATCACTACTTTCACTGTTGATTTCTTCATTTGTAAGTTTTGATCCCTGAAAGACAACAATCGATAGCCTGCTCAACTGGCTATTGATCAAACAGAGCGCGAGCGATTTAGACAAGGGGAACGAGAATTCACGCGCGCACGAGAAAAGAATGTCTGTGACACGCACGTGTTTCTTGCGTGACATCTTGGATGACATGAGACTAGCGTGTTAAGATGCCACACGTGTAGCTTCTTAGAACTCGAGAAATGAGGTAAAATTGTATACATTTCCGTTAACCGCAAGACTTAAGTTATCTGTGTTTCTGAAATGGCTCACTGCGATAATAAAATGAAAGGCAGTGAAGTTTCAGTTCCTTTTCTCTTCGCTCAGGATGCGATTTCGCACATGGAGATATCAATTTCTCCCTTTGATGCATTGAAAATTTCAAATGGCAATCTAACTTGTGACTTAATGCGTATGCAAAAGTTTATTAAATCTATTTTACCTCTATTAGTTCGTCAAACAGTGAGATATCAAATCCTTCCACGATATTCACAGGGGCATGAAATTTCCAAAGGTCATCAAACTCCACTAAAAAAGTTAAAAGGTAAAATTCCTGAACAAGGGTTGTGCCCTTTGAGATTGGTAGCTCAGAAAGAATTCTCAGTGAACCGATAATATATTGTAGGTAATCTTCTCTACAAAACAAAAATCTAAAATGCTTTGGTGAGTGTCTAGTTACATGCCGCGGAAAGAGAAACTAAAACGAAACCATGTATAAACTACGAGCATAGAACACCTGACGCACCCGCCTCAAACCTCTTGTAATCTTCCCTGGCAACTCTTTGTGGATTGTATCGATTTGACCACAAAAGATAAATAAATTTTGGGCTGGTTACAGTATGTGCAAGCACTTATTCAGTGACTAACGTTACCTCACACAACCAAATGAAACAAAAGGATTGAATGAAACATACGAGACTTAAAACTTTTGCCAATATCTTTTGGTAATTTCCATTAACCCACCTGCTATTGCCTTCAAGGTTGCACCCTTAGGTAATATCTTGACTGCTGGTTTGCTTACTCTAGCGGCACTGGCTGCCGCGTACCAGAAATATAGATTGTGCCACGGAAACAGGCAACTTGTAAAAAACGGCTCGCCTAAAATAACATCAACCTGAAAAGAGTATACACAGACATCAAAAGGATTCTTGTAAACTGCTACAACAGCACGGAATAATTATTGTAGACATCTACAACAAATCATTAATATCTTGCCACTGGCTATAAAAATGATTTTATGGTGTGGCTTTCTCCGCGAGCAGGCAAGATGAAGTGATTCCTGTGTTCTAAATGTCTACCCGTGCCCGCTCAGAACTCGCCCGCTTTGAGATTCCGTAGCAAAGAGTAAAAATCGTGATCAGTTTAATTATTCCATCATTTCCTGTTGTAAGAAAATGTTTTCACAGAAGTGGGATCACAAAACATGTTTTGAAGACGATAAACTCAATGAAGGCCGCAGCGACTTTCAGGAATTTCTTTCTATAATTTTGTCTTTTTTCCAATACTAAATCCTTTTGATTAATCTCGCTCGCTCAAATTGGCCAGACGCTGTCTAACTTTTCATTCATTCGTTCATATTTTTTTGGCGTAAAAGAAAAAAAAAGAAATTGCCAGTTTCCAAACTACTTGAATAAACTAGACGCATGTAATGTGCGTGCATGTACTCATGCACTCGCATTGGTAAAATCTAAGCTCAGTCTTAATACAGTATTCACACTTCTCTCACGTGAACCTCGCATTGTGAAAGTCATGTGAAAACCATTTGAGAAGCATGTGCAAAATGTCATCCCTTTAAAAGAATATCATCACATGCTTTTCACCTAGTTCTTGAAGCCTACACGTGAGAAACTCAGACTTACTCAGGCGCTCATAAGCCTCTACGACTATTTGTAATAACTGACCGCGCTTGACCCGAATTTTTAACCCGAGCCTCCTACGGAGAGCGTCTGAGTAACAAGTTGGGTCAATATCTCGAAGGACTTTGTGAGATCCTGATAGTAAAATAATGCGTCTTTTTTTTTTAAAGTTTTCTTTTCGTTAACAAATTCCGCGATTTTTCTCACATGTTTTTGCTGGCTTTTTCAGTCTTTTTCTCCGCCTAAGAACCCGGTAAGGGCTATACAACTGTCAGTATGTTAATGTTGAAACACTGGCACTTAAACCCGGGTTTTGGGTGAAAAGCTAAAAAACTTTAACGGTTAAACAAATACATTTACGCCCACGACAGGAAAAAACAATTACCATTCAATATGATTTTTTTTCTTGTCTGTGCATAATACGTGATCATATTTATTTCAATTTACCTGGACAGTTGATAAGTCCCTAAACTGCAGATCTGACTCTTCTTGACTAAGAATCTCTATTTTGTCAGCTATTCCATTTAAATCCATAATCTGACAAAGAAAGAAAACGAGATGGTGAAAGGGTGTAACGATTCAGTGAGACGCCATTGGGGAGAAATAAATGTAATGGGGGAGGTAAGAAAGCCTTTATACGGGCCCAAGTGGCCCATGGGGCCGGTGCTTAACTCCGGTTTTCTAGTGCTCGTCCATCGAGCTCGTCCATCGAGCTCGTCCATCGAGCTCGTCCATCGAGTACCCATTTGAACACCTGGGTGAAGAGAAGCACGGTGAGAGTAAAGTGTCTTGCCTAAGAACACAACACAATGACCCTGGCCAGGGCTTGAACCCGGACCACCAGATCCGGAGTCGAGCGCACTAACCATGAGGCCACTGTGCCTCCACAAGGGGGAGGTAAACAGTCAGTTATTTCCTTGCTGTTGTCACCTTTCTTAACCTTTTAACTCCTTGGAGCTACTAGCATCTAATTTCTCCCTGTAGGAACACCCCTGAATCAAACATGAAGATCACGAGAATGCAGGAAATGATCACAAACCACAGAAGCTCTAGATTTTTTAAACAAATTCTCTTTGTCAGCACCTTAGGACATAAATAGTAAATAGAACGGAGAATATAAATACTGGCGTTAGGGTGTAGTGGGTTATTTTAAGTAAACTGAACAAAACAATTAAGCCCTATGTAAATATGTGAAACACAACAGGAAGTAAATGGATCGGTTTGACTGAGTTTGAGGAAATCAAAGTTACAGCAGCACAGCAAAAAGATAAAGATATTGCTAATTTCGTGTACCAACCCAGCTTAGCATTTTCAAAATAAGCCAAAACAGAATATATCAGTCAACTAAGATAGGGGAGATTTTGAGACCACCTTAACAATAAAAACAGCTCCAACTCACCTTCTTTAGAAGCTTTTGAAATAATACTGATGACTCTACTGTAAAGACCTGCAAGACAGACATGTGTGATTACTACTTCATCACCAGTTCATTTTTGATCTACATCCACGTTTTTGTTTTTGGCGACATTTCATAATTCACTGTATAATTGCTTTAAATACCTTCTCAAAACCGAGTTTGGCTGCCATGACAGGAAGCAATGACCCATCACTGATACACAAACATCTAGAATGACCCTCTGCAACCAACTGGCAAAAAAATAAACATCTTGTTGGTAACTGATCTTATTAGATTTATCCTTCAATTTCTATTTAGTAGACTCCCCTGCAACATATGTATGGAAAGGGGTAAAAGTGGGAGGATAATCTGGATAATACAGTGGAAAAGCACGTAGGATGTAGCTGTTTTTACTTGGTTTACAGGAACTCCTCTAAAATTATCACATAACAATAATCCAAACCTTGAACTGGCAAGAGGCAAAACATTTACCAGTAGGTTAATTTTGTAGTGAAATGGAGTTGTTGAACTAGAGACAAATCCAGCTTGAGGTCAGCTTAAGATCAGAGCAGAACTTCAAGAATGTGAGTTTACTACATTGAGCATCTGTCTTCAATATGTCTTTAAACAAATTGTATCACCCAGTGGGCCTGTCCAGATTCCCAATGCAATTTACCAATTTGACTAAGAGACCAATGACCTGTATAATTAAGGATTCAACTCCATACGGAGGGAGGGAGGGAGGGAGGGAGGGAGGGAGGAAGGAGGGGGGGTTAGGGCACAAGACTTAAAGTACTTGTTTAAGAGGTTCAAAGAACTAATTTGTAACCTGTCTCAATGCCTCTTTAAAAGCCTGTGATCTTTGCCTGTCATTCAACATAGCAAATCTGTGACGACTCCAGGTGACATGGGCACCACATGTGCAGAGTGGACGATCAACTGTTGTTACAATTCTGAATACACAAAACATTAATATGTCACACAATTAATAACATAGTAAAACTCAGATCTTTGCATAATAAGGCTAATGAGGTCAACGTTGCTCTCAAACATTATATACCTTTTGCCCCATTTAAAAATGATTTGTTTCTTTTCCAGGGTCTAGATGTACAAAATGACAGGGAACACAAATATGACAAATTCACAATCCAGAGTGAACCTGTTTGATAAATTAGTAAACCTACTGAAACCTTGTGAACAAATACCTCTTAAAGAGAGGCTTGATAGAGCATGAAGATAATATGTAAACACTTACAAATAGACCCCTCCATAAATTGAGCTCCCTATGAAATGAGAGAGTTTGAAGTAATCAAACTCTGCCACTATGTGTTGGACATACCTATTCACTGGTGTGACATCAAACCAAATGCTGTAGTCATCATGGTAACAGTGAACATTTATTTTGTCACCTGTGGGGGAGAAATTTCAGTTGATCAAAAATTTGTCCCATTCTTATCAATTTTTTGGAGTACAACAACTAATTTGCTGAGGGTTTTTACCATTAATGTCATTAAACCCTTTTAACAGATAATGTAAGTGCTGTTAAATTATCAGATTTCAAATTTTTCAAATCTGGCACCTTCTTGCATGGCCAACGGTGTCTTTAAGAAATAGACAGCCTGCATCCAATGATCTCTCCACTATCAAACAAAACAAGAAATGAAACCCATAATTAATTTCATTTGAAAAAATAGTAATAGATGATATATGTCAACTAAATACCACCCTCTCTCCAATCTTCGAATCAACAGAACTTATCTTCTTAGGGGAAAATTGCTAGACATAATAAACTCTCAAGAACATCCAACAAAGTGACATGCAGTATTGGTTAGGAGAATTAGTTTTCAAATCTGAGAATAGGAAAGGTTAACCTTTTACACCCTAACATCAGTATTCATATTCTCCATACAGTTCTCCATACATTTACTAAAGCACTGATAAGGAGAATTTGTCTAACAATCAGCAGTTTCTTTGGTTGGTGATCATTTCCTTTATTCTCATGACTTAAATATGTGATTCGGTGGTGATATTGTAAGGAGAAATTAGATGCTAGTCACTCTTAGGGGTTAAAGGGTTAAGTGAAAACAACTCTTTCTAAACACCTGTCTTTTGTGGCCATCAGGGTGTACCCAGCGTGGAGCAGTTGACAAGATAATTTCACCATTCATGTCCATATCTAAAGACCACCACATGACCACTCCATGTACAGGACCTGTCTGGGTGACTGAAGCCTCAACATGATAACGAGACACTGTTTTATCACTGTCAACTTTGTCTTTGGTCTCTGGTATTGACACTCTGTTGGTGCAGTGGGTATTCTTTGACTGACATCCACTACAGAATTCAACCCTGACAAGAGAAGGTTATTATCAATGACTATGCTGTTAGGTTAATACAAATAATGTCATGGTATTTATGGCAAAGACAGGGAGGAAGCAGAGAAGAAAGCAAATTCAACCACAACATTGAAATGAGAGAAAAAAATAGTTTTAGAATGGACATGCTTGAACAAACAATAACCTAAGTAAATATGATCTAGCAATTGTCGCAGTGATGAACACTACTTAAGCAGTAGTGAAAATAAGACTTGAAAAGATTCCAGCTCTCAGTTGGCTTGTTAGCTCAGTTGGTAGATCCTTACACCAGTATTGCAGAAGTCATGGGTTCAAATCCTGTACATGCCTGAACTTTTTTTCAGGCCTTATATTAAATATTACTTATTAGGTGGTGTTCATTACTGCCAAGATTGCTGTCATATTCTTTTCTTAATTTAATCTGCAGGTCACATACACCATTTCATGTGACATATTCAGTAACCTAAGTAATAGCTAGCCAGTGCGAATATGGAGGGCAGGTGTAGTAAACACAGAAGAGACACAAAAAACAAGAAGATTAAGATGGGGGGCAACAATTGGTTCAATTTTAGCATAGTGACCTGTGAAAAAGACAACAATTGGCGAATTAATATTCCTTCACTGCTGTCTCTTCCACCAGTCAGAATATAATTTGTTATCAAATATCACCATCCATGAGCAGATTCCTTTCTGGAGAACGTTTAGTATAAGCACTAAACTGAGTTAAGTCAGTTATCCACTGGTTCAAGCTCACTGAAGTACAACTGATATTAGTTTTTTTTTTCTGCAACAGTTATCCCATTAAAGCACATTCAACTGATTTTAGCTTTTTTCTTCTGCAACAGTTATCCCATTAAAGCATATTCAACTGATTTTAGCTTTTTTTCTTCTGCAACAGTTATCCCATTGAAGCACAGCTGATTTTAGCTTTTTCTCTTTGGCAGCAAGCTTTAACTGCAGTTTACCAGCCAGTCTTGCATTTATACAAGGCATGCCTAAATCCTGACATTTGATTTAAATCTCCCTGTCTAAAAATAAACATTACATCATTATGACTCTGGACGTGGATTTTACCTAACAATTGGAACAGGTGATGTAAAAATATGAATTTCTTCGTCAGAAAGCTCATCAACATGTAGATCAAAACCACTTGCAGTCCCACGACAATCTTTCATATCAGCAGGTAAGGTAATATCTTGGTTGTCTAACATCTGAGCAGAAAGAACTTACGACTGAGTTTTATCAAAATTAGCTCTACCAGAGCTCCCTTAGTGTAAATGTCTTTAAATGTCACTTGCAACCTCAGTTCGAGCCATCAATAACCTAGAAAAGTTGACTACATTTACTTAAGACATACATTAAGACATACATCAAAACGAGACATAAGGTTAAAAACATTTCATACATGTATACTAGGCCTACAAGTACAATATATATTGCATGTCACACTGTTCACTCCCAGTAACAAAGCAGGGTATTATAAAAATCAACCAAACAAGGAGGCTAGGAAGACATTAATTCAAATTTCACAAATTCCACCCTTCTCATTTGCTTTTGTGGCTTGGTTTGCCTTTTTTCATACTCATAAAAGAAAGACACATGTGATGTTCTCCTTTCTCAAACTGCAATTTACAATTGTTAAGGCATTCTTACTACCTGCTGTGGATTTAACTGGTGCATACTCCAAAGTGCATCACTTCCTATAACTTGAGCATAAATTGTAGCTGCTGCTGGGACACTGACAAATCCTGGCTATAGAGATAAATCATTGTTAAAGTTTGTGCTATATCTTTAATAAAAGCAAACTCAGATTCTATAATTAACCTGATTCTGACAATTTACAGTACTTCAAGAGTCATGCTGTTTTGTGGACTGTAACATAGGCAAACAAGATAAGGAAATAAAAAATACTTGCTGAAAACAAAATTTACCATTTACATTTCCTATTTACTATTGACAAAATTAAGAAAATTTATACCTCCAGTAAGCGATTGCAAGCATCCCTTAGAGTTGGTAGTGCACCTTCTCCAATAAGTTCTGTATCCCAAAGTTCTGTTACTAGTAAGTTAGCTCTGCTTTGGCAATTTCCATCTGTAAGAAAAACCAACAATTACTTGTCAATTGAAACTGAATTTTCTATAAGCACCTTGTAAAAACAATCACCCACTACATTAATTGAAATAACAGTTATGAGTATTGCAGGATGTACAAATTATATTAATTAGCTGCCAAGTGCATTGCCCACCAAATCTGAATACTACAAGGTATATATAGAACTGACAAGATTTATTAATCGAGTACTATCATTTCTAATTCTCTTTACAAGATGATTCTCTCCAATTCTCTTATGCTCTTCCAGATCTCTAAAATCATGCTGCAGTAACTTCCCAAGGCTGAGACCCAATACTTCTTGTAACACATAGGTAAGTTATTGGCCATCCTTGGACCTATTTTGAGGATGGCCAATAACTTACCTAGTAAAAAAAGTAAAGCCTTTATATGGGCCCAAGTGGCCCATGGGGCCGGTACTTAACTCCGGTTTTCTTAGCATGAAGTGGCTAAGAGTATTACTACTCCCCCCTGGATGGGATGCTAGTCCATCGCAGGGTTACCCCCAGCACATTTGCTGGTACCCATTTGTACACCTGGGTGAAGAGAAGCACTGTGAGAGTAAAGTGTCTTTCCTAAGAACACAACACAGTGACCCTGGCCAGGGCTTGAATAACTTACTGAAGCCTGGTAAAAATGGTTTCAAGTGCAATTATCATCAATTTTCATCATCATTGTCATTATCACTCCGCACCATATTCCACCCACAATAGATAATTACTATTACATCTATCAAAATGATGAATTTTTTTACCTTCTTCCATTGATAATTCAGTTGAGCGTTTCCCAATAACTGAGATTTTGTCACCAAATCCATTCTTTTTCACTATTTCACTAGCTACTTTAGCAATAGGTTCAAATGCCTGGCAAATACAAAGTAAGCAGATTTGAGAATCCAGAATAACACAATTTGTTTCATGCATACTAAAAAGGTGATTGGTTACCTCGCAAGCAGTGGCCCCATCTGCCCCACTCCTCACAGCCATCATGGCCAGAAGTCCAGTCCCTGTTCCAATATCTAGCATGTGAATTTTTTTCCCAGCAGCTTTGATATTTTTGACAGCGTCTTTGGTTGCCTGATAGTACATTTTGTTCTACAGCGAAAAAGGATACAAAAAATCTAAGAAACAACCAGTTTTCTTTTTTCTTTTCTAGCGGATCTAATGAGTGATTTTCCTAACTGAACATGTCCTGAGAAACTCCTTCATAAGTGTCTCTTTTTTTCTCAACAATTGCAACTTATAGGATTTTATCAAAATCCTACCCTCTCGTCATCGTGAAGCATGTCTGCATAAGACGATCTGTGGAAGAAAGATGGAAGAGAATAACTTCGCTGAGTTTGTCTCTGGCTCGATCGTATTTCACTTTCCACACTACAGTTATCCTGTCAAATACGAATGTAACGATCTCCTAAATTACCTCGCGATTTCATTCCTCATGTCGTAATATTCATCCTCCATGACCCATTCCATTCTTCCTGTAGTTGGACTGAACCTCTGTAAAAACATTTCGCTTCTCAACCGACCAGAGAAGCCGTAAAATCTCTTAGCTATTTTAGAAGAAAACGTACACAACTTCCTCAAATAGATCGAAGAGACCATTCCCAACAACATGTGGGTTTTTCTAACAGGTTATTTGATTGGATTCTGTACTCCTGGCCAATGAAATTACGCGTTGTATAAGACTATAGTGAGGAGCGCCTGGTTTATACGGCAGCTTCTATAGCCTCTACTACATTCAATAGCGGTGTAGACCTCACAGGAATGGACGGAGCTCTAGATGTCAATATGAAAACCCCGTCAAATCAGTCTCATTTACTGGACTTGTGCCACAGTAGAGTAAAAAAATATGCGGAAAAAAGACACGTAATTGCCCACGAAGTTCAAACAAATCCGGAGTTCCTGACCGCAGGAGTTCTTGTTCCAATTTTTATCAGAGAGGGATCTCTTTATACCCTTCTCACATTGAGATCTGAGCATTTACCCACTCATAAAGGAGAAGTTGCATTTCCTGGAGGAAAAAAAGAAGATGACGATGAAGACATTGTAGCCACAGCTTTAAGAGAAGCTCACGAAGAAGTTGGTTTATCTCCGGAGATAGTACAAGTCGTTGCAGTATTGAGTCCACTGACATCGCGTGCGAGAGCAAGGCCGATGTACGTGTATCCGGTAATTGGCCTCGTAAAGTCACAATTTGACTTAGTAATCAACAACTCCGAGGTTCAGACTACATTTGAGGTCCCTCTGGAGTTTTTCCTTTCGAAAGAAACACATAAACGTGATAAAATGAATTTCAAAGGCAAGACATTTGAATTTCATTTCTTCCTGTATGACACAGGTGTAGGTGAAGGCGAGAGCCAAAAAGAAAATTCGACCTTCCATATTTGGGGATTAACTGCTTCAATTTGCTTAAGGGTGGCTATGGTAGCTTTGAGTAAACTACCCGAGTTTGACCTTGAAGAACACTACACAGAACTTATGCAGTACATAACAGAGATAAATGGAAATGATGATGATGATGATGAATTAAAACCTCTGAGTAGAATGTGAGAAGAATAAGGCCATGCTGAAATTTTGTGTTCAATAATTCTGCTAACCATCCTGTAATCCTTTTGGGGGAACGTCACAAGACAGTAATAATAACCTATGCTTCCGATATACCACATTATTTTTCTAAATATATTTAAAAAGTGAGGTTGTAGATTAAAAGACACTCAATGGTAGTCTTACAAATGATTGAGAGTTGAAGCCAGACAGGTCTTAATTATTTTTATCGGCAGCTTCACCCTGGTACCCTTTATCTTGATATTGTGACTCATAGATTCATAGATTTCATATATTGAATCATAGGTTGTTCATCGATTGAACTTTAATATAGATTCAATTTGATGGCAATAGGAATTTGCCTTTGCCCCACTTACCCCTCCCTCCCAAAAAATGAAGCTTGCTTTTGAAAGTCTTTTTCATTGCTAGTATTTCTCTGATTTAAGATACTGAATTTTTCAGACACGCGATATGACCGAAATCCCTAAAACTTTGCTATTGATTATCTGCAGAGAAGTATTTTTGTGACTTACCCCTCCCTGCTGCAACAAAAAGGCCCTATCTGGGGTCCCCATAGAAATGGTGACGTCACCATTTTGCTGCACGCACCACTCAGACAAATGCTGAAGTCGCGATTAATTCGACGATCGTGGGCACTGTAAAGGCTTCCCTTCTCTTCTTTGCTTTAGATACGTTTGTTTTTCACATCCTTTGAGTTGCATCATATCTAGAGGGAAAATGCCGTTGGTTTTTCTCGAACAACTGCCTCTTCCCTCTCTGCAATCATATGTGACTGTAAGCGTGTTGTTGTTCGTTTCGGCCGTTCTCTACGCATTGAATGTTACTGTTGGTTCTGATGAGAAGGAGGAGTTGAATATTTACGATTTTATGTCTCAGGATAATTTTTGTTTTTGGGTAAGTGTTTTTTCGCTTTTACTAAAGTGCTTTTTAGCCGAGAATTGAGTATTCCTCTAATATTTGCCCTTGCATTTTACTCCCTTAGTCGAACTTGAACATGGCCTACTGTTGTTTGTTTTTGTTCGGGAAAATTATCCAAAGGGTTGTATTTGGAGATCTTCGCGCCAGTGAACTTCAGGTAACTGATAAAACGACAGTTTAGAATGGTATGTTTTCTGAAAGTTATAACCGTAGCCTAATTCAGACTTGATAAGCTTTGTACACCCGCTTAAATGACCGACCGGACAAAAAGTAACTCCTCGAGAATATAGTAATTATGGTCGACTTTCAAATATTGATCTTTTGTTTAATTAGCTGCGCATCTTGCATTCCTTCTTAATTGATAAAATTATATAATGTTTGATTTGATTCAATCTCGTGAGAAGTAAAAGGTTAGGAGAACGGTAGTGATCCAAATCGATTTCCTTTGCACTCCAACGTTTTCTCAGACTTCCTACTCTTACTTATTTTGAAAAGATATTTTAAACTTACCCAAACGTGTATACATTAACCATAATAACGTGCTCACTTTTTCTTCACACCGTAATAAATTCGCTCATCATGACAAAGCTTACAAATGCAGATTTTGGTTTTACTTGTGAGCTAAATATTGGCCATCTTAAACTTCAGTCTTGCTCAAATATTTGTTCCATTTGTGGTTTGAGGTTTGGATGTCTACCTGTGAGAGCCAGTCTAAAGTGATTGGTTCACATATGAACAACATTTTAACCAAACCATGTGGAGAGTTTAAACGGATTTTGGTCTTTGTCTTACAGCAAATTCAAGACAGATTCTGGAACTTTATTTTCTACAAGTTTATTTTCATCTTTGGAGTTCTAAATGTGCAGAAATTCAACGAAGTGATGTGGTGGACGGCTTGGTTTACTCTACTCGGCTTCTTTCATTTGTTCACACAGCTCTGTAAAGACAGATTTGAATATGTAAGTCATTAGTGTCTTGCCTTGATTGTTAGCTGTCTGAATTACACCTGCTATGGTAGCTTAATTGAGGGCAATTTTGTGTCCCATACCCTCAGATATCACATTGAAATTATTGAGAAGTTTTTGTTTATTTTTAGATTGTTGTTTCGTTTATTTTTGTTTTTTTCGTGTCAGAATCAGTACATTGGACTTCAGGGTAAAGGGTCATGGTGTGAACAGAGAGTGTTATAACAAAGCCATAGTCTTTTGAAAATCACTTACATTATGATTCAATCTCTTATGGGGCATGCAGACATCTCAAGAGAATTTTGAAAGAACAATTGTTCTTCTCTAATGAGTATTCTGTCCTTGTAGGGAGTGGGAGGGTACAAACAAAGTAAAGGGATTATTATTCTACCACCACTTGCTTGAGCTGATATGTTTTATCAGCTGAAATAAATATTGAGGAAATGTTTCTCCTGGTTCTAAGAAATGATTGAATCATGACCATTTACAGAGGAACACGAGAAGATACATCATAGTGAACAAACAAACTGAATTGGCTTTTATTTCTTCTATATTTTGTTATTTTTTTCTTAATGTTCTTTATGCCCACACACTTCATTCTACATTTTCTTGTATAATATTAATGGCACAGTTAATCATTATACTATGAAGGCTCTTTTCTTCCTGGTCAGAAGGGTGTCTGCTTACAATTAATAGATTTTTAAGCAAGTTTATCACTAAATATACCCCTTTAATTTTTTCCTTTAGTTGTCTTTCTCACCAACAACGTCTCCTTGGTCTCATGCAAAAGTGATTGGTTTACTCAATACTTTGGTGTTATGTTGCAATGGATTGTTCTTCATCTGTCTTTTTATTGGTTGGCCAGATGGCATACACACTTTCACATTCATGTTGGCTGAGGTACATATATAGTCTATCTTTGCAGTTACTTTGTGTAGATGATTACTTATTTTTAAATGTTATCTTCTCTTATGAGAAGTTTTACAGTATATGATTTTATTTTTCAGTGTATGCTGTTACTGATCAAAATAGTTCATGGTCTGATAAGGTAATTTCTATTTTGATAGTTACATGATAAGTATCAAATGCATGTGATGATGTTGTTCTTCTTTATTATTTTAAACTCTTCTGCTAGCAAGCTGTGAGTGACCTTGTGATTGAGGTGGATTGAGGTGTTTGTATGGCACTTTATCTTAGACAGGCACTTCTCAGAAAATTTTCAGGGATGAAAATTACCAGCTGAGTATAGTTACCCCTTGCTCCCATCTCCAATCTTGAATGAAGCAGTCCAAAATTTGAAATTCATTTGATTCACAGTATCCAGACTTGTTATCAATAATCCTCTTATATCCTGTAGGTACGGCATTCATCTGTGGGATATAGGTCATACCAGTATGTGGGAAGGAAGAAGCACATGGAGTTACAACACAGACATGATGATGGAATTGGCCTTGTACGTTGTGGACTTTGCTCATCACCTTCACATGTTGGTGAGAATGAATTAAATATTAATTCTGTTGTTATTTCTGTTTGAAGTAAATGTGTTCCTAAATGGTCCATTTCCCTGGGCAGTAAATGAGATAAATGATATCGAATGAAATCTGTGCTGTGTCACAAAGATAATTATTACTCAAATTACAATTACATAAATGTTTATTGATAGTAATTCTGGTAATTGACAAGACATGAAATTTTAAGAACCATTTGAAAACACTGAGGTAAAATCAAACAACAGGTGGAAGTTTTTGAAAGTTAATTTGTATTTGTGTTTCATTTTCTGTAAATGCTGCCAGTTAACAACTTTCTTGTAAATATAAAAAAGTTCCTCATTGGTTATGACTGTGCAAGCTTTATTGTATTATACTTATCCAGACTGGCCAAAATTAGAACTATGAAAGGTTATTCTCTCTTTTTTTTTTGTGCTTGCAGAACCATCCAATAAACAAAATATCTGTTAGTGGTATTTAAAAGCAGACTTTTTCACTTTTTATATTTAATTGTATTCTTTTGTTTCATAGTTGTGGTCAAACATCTTCCTAAGCATGGCCAGCTTGGTGTTGTGTATGCAACTTCGTCACCTCTTCTATGGGATCAAGAAAAAGCTGGCAAAACATCGGAGTTATGTAAGGATTATCAAGTGTATGGAGTCAAGGTAATTTGTCTAGTTTGATTATAGGTTTGAAACATCTTTTGAAGAATAAGTTATAACATGGTGAACCTTTAAATGTATTTTAACCCTTTAACTCCCAGAAGTGATTAACAAGTATCTTCTTCCTACAATATTCATGCATTTTCCAGCAAACAGGTTATGAGAATACTCAATTGTATCAGGTAGAAGTTGTTATCTTGATCTAACACCAAATTCTCATAAGTTATTTACGAGGAAATGTGTAACAGCTAGAGGGGAGAATTAACAATTGGATATTGGGAGTTAACCCTTTCACTCCCAAGATCTAATTAGTAATTCTCCTTAAGGCCTATTTACACGGTACGACTTTGTCGCATGCGACAAGCTTACGACAGGCCTACGACACGAATTGTATCGTGTAAATCAAACCTACCACTCGCTCACGACTGTCGTGCACGTCACGAAAAATGTCGTAGGATTTTAAAACATGTTTTAAAACGCTGCGACAGTCGTAGCCGAAATTGATAGAAAATGACGTATTTTGTGACAAATTTCTACTGAGTAGGGGAGGAAGGTGAAATTTTCTTGCGTCAAAATGGCGGAGGAAGTCGCCTCCGGAAAGTCGAAGACTGCTTCCAAAGCGAGAAATACATTCTCAGATGAGGAAACAGAGAATATGATATCACTGTGGAGCAAGGAAGAGGTTCTTTTCCTTCTCTTGCAAATTATTGAAACAATGACCGCGGCCGAAACGAGTGGAATTGCACGCGATTTTGGCATGTCGTAGGTGAAAATGTCGTGCGCGTGTAAATTGTCCTAAGTCATGTCGTAGGCCTGTCGTAAGCTTGTCGCATGCGACAAAGTCGTACCGTGTAAATAGGCCTTTACTATCTGCCATACAATTCTTATGATGTTAGTTCAGAGAATTTGGTATTGGATCAACTAATAATCCCATAATTGACCTGCTTGCTTGATATTGTATTGATATTGTAAGGAGAAATTTTGCCTTGGTCACTTGTGGAAGTGAAAGGGTTAAAGAGTTAAATGTGACCATGTAGCTTACTATTTTACATGTGCAGTAATGAGATGCAGATGAAAGGTGATAATTTTGCTGCAGTGGTGAATTTTTTTTTATTTTTTATGGAATCATTTTACACCTCTGTCAGTGGTACAGGCAAAATTTGTATATTTTTGTTGAATGCAACTTGTTTTTTGACATCTAATTGATGGTTGTCTGCATATGATCCTCAGGTTTCCCTTGGCAACAGAAGAAGAGTTGATTAGGAATAATGATGATTGTGCCATCTGCTGGGATTCCATGGTTGCAGCAAGGAAGCTACCATGTGGTCATCTTTTCCATAAGTATGAAATTGTTTGAATTGTTCAAATTAATTTCCTCCAATGAGGAGCATTCCAACTTGAGCCTTTACCGTCCTTTTTACAGCTATATGTACACACTCTTTCTATCTCATGTTAATTCTTCAGCACTCAATATGGTAACAAGAATTACTTCTGTACTCGATAAAACACCCATTGATGGTTAAAATGCTGATCAAGAACTTTTTTTTCGGTTAGTTCTTGTCTCAGGTCGTGGCTGGAGAATGACACCTCCTGCCCTACCTGCCGCCAGTCACTTGCCAGCGATCTGCAACCTGAGCAGGAGGAGCAGAGGCAATCAAGAGGAGTGGCTGCATTTATGATGGGACGTGGACTAAGAAGAAACCACTTTTTCCACTTTGATGGTAAGGTTAAAGCCATTTGCTCATAATGGCCAAATAGTCAGACTGGGATGGTGGTGATTTAACACCACTTTAGACAAGTTGCTTGTTACTTGGTAATTAAGAGAGTAAACCATTCTTTGCCATATTTTCTCTTTAGGTTCTCAGATAGCCAGCTGGTTTCCAAGCTTCTCTGTGGAGGTCATGCACACTGGAGTGGAAAATGCAGCTGAGGGTCAACTTCCAGAGAGCCGCATTGAAGCTATGGTAAATCTTTATCAAACAATTACTCCATGAGCATACAATGGATATGAGATGACAAATAGCCAACAAGGCCTCATTGGCTAAAATCATCTCACATCCAACAATTGGTAGTGGAATAATTGGTTTATTAAAAATGCCCCAAAATAGAGATATATCTTCCCAACTTTATTTTGTAAGAACAAAGGGATTGTTAAAATGTACAAAAAATACTTCCCATTCAACTTGTCTTCATGTGTGTGCATAGTTTAATGGCTCATGACCCATGATGGCTAAGCCAATGAAAACTCTTGAATTGCATTATCCCAAGAACCAGTTTTTGATAATTAGGGATTTTCAGTCAATAATTTGTTTTTGTTTCTTCCATTCTTTTTAACCATTTTTTTATTGTGCAATTTATCAGAATGAGCCAAGGAGCAACAGTCCGTTCATAATGTATTGTAATCAGTTGTGAGATTTACTGATGGATGACCAGGCTGAGTGAAAGTCATTGCCAGATTCAAGATCATCCAAGCATTACTCACTGTTAGAACTATGGTTCCTTTCCAGTATTTAGGTCATTGGATAATTTCACTCAGCTGTCAATTTCCTATTTAAAATTGACTAAGAATGGTGTGATGTTTATCTTTAGGCACACCAAGTACAAGCCATGTTTCCAAATATGCCATTCAACATCATTATGGAGGACTTAAGACACACTCACTCCCTTGAGGTCACCACTGATAATATTTTGGAGGGAAACATAGCAGTGCCTTCTGTAAGTGATGTCCCTCAATTAGAATTGAAATATTGCAAGTGGGAGGATTTTGAAGTGGGGACCAAAATGATAAACAAAGTGACAACAAGATAACTTTCTCTAAAGATCCCAAGTTAAAATGTTACAATCTCCTTCAAAGGCAAGTCTCTAACAATAGTAAGAACTTAAAGTCCTTTTGTTAATATGCACGCACCAATCACATGTAAAATTCATGCATGTTACGTTATATTGTGGGTGAATTGAAACTGTAAATGTAGGTATCTTCTAAGAGACTTAGATGACAAAGAGGAATAAAATCTGGTTTCTTCAGCATATTCTGCTTTCGGCTGTATGCATGCTTACATACAAATATGTGAATGAACTTTAAAAAAGGTTATTGAGAAATTGAAGGAGTGAAAGAAAAGAGAACCAAATTAGAGTTTATTCTTTCCATAAGTAGTTGATGTGATTGTCATGCTTTGACTTACAGGTCGTGCTTCAACTCACAGGTTATCCTAATTTCTGAATCTTAACACTGTGACTTAATTTGCCTTGTTTAGGTCTGGACACCACCTGAGGAACAATCAGAGGATTCAGAGCTCCTTCAGATAACACACCCAGGTATGTGCTCAGAAAAGACTTTTTGTGCTAGGCTGGATGATATTCCAAGGAAGATGATTTAATTTCTATATAAATCATCTAACATGTCTAACCCTGGGATCCCAAGCCAAAGTTGCTAGAAGTTGTTGTTAATGTAACAGGAACATGACCCTGGCCAGGCAGGTTACCCTAACCCCACCTTGCAGCATTTACATGGCAAATTATGACCCTGGCTGACAGTGTTACCCTACCTCTCATACTGGACAATCTGCGGCAATCTGCCCAGGCAGGCTGCCCCACGTGTGTTGTAAACATGATCAACATAAGTTAAGGGATTTTATGGACAGATGGGTTACCCATCCTAGGCGTATCACTTCACCTACCTGGGGTGCCCCACCTCCATGTAAACAGGTCCTCAAACTCAACAGTGTATTTGGGTGAGGTGGGGCAAAGTAAACATCAATGCAGTCAGGTGGGAAAAATTAGCATCCCACGAAACTCTTGCCACTTATCGTAGATATGCTTATGGTTCCTTGCATACTCATATTTCAGACTCACTGACACCTTCAAATACACCTGAAGAAACTGAAAGCTCTACAAGTGAGACAGAACAAGACAGCACAGAAGCATCTAATAATGCGGAAGTGATGAGAGAACAGGCACTTGAAGAGGCTGCCTCGTTGGAGCAGCGTCCAAAGCGTGACGAGAGCCCACCACCTAATGAAACACCACCGGGAGAGAGATACAGGAGTGTATCGCCATCTTTGATGGAGTTTTCAACACAATCTTCAGTGAGACAGTCCCTTTTGTTAAAGAGAAAAGAGATGATGCTTCAACAGGCAAGGAGGTGAGTGATAAAGTCAGAAATGAAGAATACAAAACTATCTTAGGATCTATGTAGATTTTATAGGTGTAGAAAGGTAATGGAGTGTTAGCAAGATTTGGGGCCAACTTGCAATGGGCTACTGCGCTTTGCAAGGGTATTTGATTAGCAATTCTTCCAGTCACTTTGTGCGGTAGAAATCTAGATAAACTTCAGGATAGGCCGCAGGGATTTTAAACTGACTTAAACTTTTAAATATTTTTTACATGTATGCTTTCGACTTTATTTGGCATTTCCGAAACAGTAGAATGGTTTCTTTACACAATATCAATCTTATTACGTCTTTCAGGCGTTTTATGGACAAAGAAGTCTCCAATCAGAGTGAATCCAGTCAGTAGTTGACGCAAAGTGACAGTCTCTCACAGTGGAAGCAGCTGATGCCAACGTTCCAGATGGTAGGGCAGTTGTAGCCCGGAAGATGAACATCAGGCTGCTGTTAAACTTTGAAAATCCCTTTGGGGAGTGCAAGAAACTAAGAACAATTTAATCAACTTTATGACTCAGTAAAAACCAACTTTAGACTCAAAGACAAATTAAAGATATCCTCCTTTTGAGGAAACGGGCGTAAGATAATTTTCGTAGATCGATGGTAAAAGTCACTCAAGGCGTGGTATTCAAATGACATTACTAAGTCAGTTCCGCTTAATCTCAGTTTCCTTTAAACTTGCCCGTCCATCTATTACTGGGTACATTTTGCATAGGTTAGAGTGACGAATTTAAAGCTTCGACTAAAACTTTAGTGTAGCTCACATAGTGGGCATATAGAAGTATGCAGTGTAGTCATATGACAGAACAAATCACGAAATATTGTTTTTACTCCGTGGCAGATACCCTACTTGTTCTATAGTGCACGCGACTAAATTAATAGACCTACGCATCGGGTTTGATATTATCTTGAGGAACCTCGAAAAACTTTGACTAGACCCTTGTGTTGTAATCGAGGCTCTGAATGTGATCCTTGTGCTGATTCGAGGCTGGACGCTTAATTACTTTCCATACCTACAAGGTGGGCGCTTATTCGGGTGCTTAATCTAATAAATACGGTAGTTTTGTTTTCCAAGGCTGAAAAGTCGTTGAAATTTGAAAATTTGTGTTGTCAAATTTCGTATGAAAATGATTATGTTAAATGGCTCAAACTGTTGCAATAATCATAATTGTATAACGTTTTGTTGGAATGTTTTTCTTCATAAAACACGGAAAAGCCTTTTGAACAGTTCCTGGGATTTCATGGGGTTAAGATAATACAAACTCTGTGGTATTTATGTTCAATAGTTTTGTAGTTAAATTTGTAAATAAAAGAAGGTAGTTATTAAATGATGATCACTGCAGTGGATGAACTCACGTAGGCTTCAGTTCTTCTTTCTTTTACAATCAACAAAGTTGATACTACCAATTTTTATTCTTGATAATGTTCAAGAAGGGTTGAGGAAGTTACTCCAGCACCCATGGAACTACTGCCACTTCCAGGCGCTCAGTTTGTGGGGCCGAGCAAAAAGTTGGTTAAGTAAGGGAAGTACAAAGAAGGGACTGGGGTGACATTCTTTCCCAGACCCTTGGCGATTTTCGCGCGATCTCTAACTTACCGAGAGCCTAACTTAAACTTAACTCGTAAATAAATTGACGTTGATTGATAAATGTAGGGTTACAGGCCCCTTTATGAAAGACGTTCTCTCAAGGGTGTTGCAGGTGAAAGCGTCACTCGGGCGATTTTTTGTTTTACCGCTAACTTGAGAAGAGGAAGCCCGATAGAACATCGAGCTTCTCAGGGGAACATTCAGATTCAAATCTCTTTGGATATTTTTCTTACCCTTTCAAACCATTTGTTTCAAATGTGTTTCCTCAGTTTTGGTAACACGGCGGAAATCGAACCAATAGCCAAATTCTACGGTCGAAAAAAGTCCAGCAAGAGTCTGGAATCTTTAAAACTGAGGGCTCAGTTGTTCGAGGGCCGATTAGCGCTGACTCGCGTTTAAATTGTGACCCCGCCCAGGTTTCTTTATTCCTCCTTTCAAAAGCCTTTTTCGGATAGTTTCCTCCATTTGGTTTAGAGCATCCATATGTCGTGAATGCCGACAGGCAGCCGAACTTCACTATATCTCGAAAAAGATTTATCAACAGTAACAGAACTATAAAAAGAAAAACCTAGACCCTGTGAGCAGGGTAACTGGGATACCTGGATGGTACTGGATCCTTGGAATCAAGAGCAGTGATACTACATACATACATACATACATACATGCATAGTTTATTTGATAACGCAGGTTACAGAGTACGCAAGACTGAAGTCCTGATGTGGACCTGCCTATCTACTATTTAAAAACCAATGTATATACATGTGAATAAATAGAAAATCAACAGAAATTGAATAATAAATAATAATAATAATAATACAAATATAAATATATAGGACTATGGACTACAATTAAAAATATAGTTAAGAACTAGATGAAATAATTGTTAAAATTTTAAAATTTAGATATGATTAGATTAAGATAAGACTACGGGTGTCAGACTAGTATACTGAAATAGTGAGCTCAAGTCTGGCCTAGGGCATACACATTTCAAAACACAGGCATACTAAGCATGCAAGAGTTATTTTTTGTAGGGTGGGTGGATTACTTGAAACATTGTAAGTGATGTCTACATTCTTAAAAAAGGAAAGAAGAGTATTAACGCGGAAAAGAACGAAAATTACCTCACACACAGCTTCCGTTTCACCTTGGGGGAGGGTACGGCTACACTTAGGCTAAAATAAAACTTAATCAAGGAATCTAATTTTAAACGTCACGTGATCAAGGTGTTACGTTAAAGACAAAATCGAAGAGGGAAAAGTAACCGGCCTCCAACAACCTTTATTCCGCTTTCCTCAAAGCTGGCTTTTAGAAAGACAGAAATCGTCTGCCCAAGTAGATTGCAAGGAGTTGTCCATCATCACCACGGTGGGGAAATTGAGTACAGTACTGTCGCCAGTGAATACTTAAGATTTCAATCTGAAAAATAATGAGACTACTTTTTGCGCACTTTTACCTTAGATGATCGGAAGAAATCCTCTCATTTTAGTACTGCTTTTCTACAAACGAATAACCGAGAATGCGCGCCTGGGAAGGCAAGACAGGATTTCCGTTTACAATCGGTGGGTTAGAGAGGTTTGTGTTCGAATTTTAGATATCAGTGTAGAGTACGATTAATGCATATGGAAGTCTATTGCAGATTCGAGTAGGCTTATGATTACTGATATAAGCTGAATGAGCAGTATGCTAAATTGCATGTGATGCAGTTCAAGTCCACAGCGGTTTTGCACCATGTAGAAGGTGTATCAGAGCTTCTTCGCCGTTGCCTACAACAACAAGGCATCGGCGCGGACTTCAGGTCCGACACGACAATCAGATCGCATGCAGCGAAATCTACATCGGTGAAACGGGTAGACCTATGCAAGAGAGGATGAAAGAACAGGAGAGAGATGAGGTTCCTCCACATAAAGGGTTGCGCAAAAAGAGTATATATATATGCAAAAACCAAACTTTCTGAAACAAACAAAACTTTGACCTAAACATTGCGTGAGTCATGCAAGTCACGTAATGAATGGAGTTGGGGCCAGTAAGGGTACATAGTTGCACCAATCGCAGTGCGACTTGTATGCAAGGCAAAAGGCTCTATTATCCGGGCGTTTTTAGCATTTCCCTGATTGAAGAGGACGTCGGTCATACTTCAAGCAAATAGGTGAGCTCCCCTTGAGGAATTGGCACTTCACCAATCGTTATTCTCTAAGGTGCGTTCGGTTCTATACCATCGGGCTCAGTTTTCACCTTACAGATATTGACGAGAAAACAACCACACAATGCACACGTAAAGTGCAGTTTAAAAGCCGTAGATGAAGTCGCACCCTAATAGCACTAGAACACCTTCATTGTTAGGAAAACTCAATTAAAGTTAATAGAGTAATTCAGTATTGTCTTCTGGTCACCGTAACGAGTTTAAAAGCTAAATGATTCGAGCGTTAGCCCTTCGTCAGCATCCTAGAAGACAACAACGCCTTTCTAACCAACTCACCAACTCGTCTTCTTTTTCAGCTTAAGCCTCGAAACATGGAACAGAGGGAAATGGTGAGTAATTAGTACCTGCAAAAGCAATCAAAGCATATTTAGGCACACAATAAAAAGTGCAGCCATTAAACAATGAGCTCCCTCCACGCCACTAATTATATACCCCCGTTTACCACACGATAAAAAAAAAACCTGTCCCTAGGGTTTTGAACATTGTTACATTCGCCAATAAATCGATTTTAGAGTGCACTTAGAAGCTTGAGGAAATGAAATGTCTTGATTTACAATATGTAAAGAGCAATTGTGATAACGAGTCAAATTAAACCAATTTTGTCTCCAATTAATTTCAGCAAGCTCAAGGCCGATTGCGAAATCCGTAAGTAAATATCCTTTACTTAATTTCCCATTTACACGTACAGAAGTGTTAACTCCCAATCCACTTGCTTACTCGAATATATGCGCAAAGAAGCAAAGATTGAGCTTTACGTTCACGAATACGTTAGAGAGTTACTGCACCACCTAACATGAAATGATCATCTTTAGTGCAGTTGACCTTCTTGCTTTAAATAATTGAAACTGCAGATAAATGGACAGCATACGAAAAAGTTATTCAAGATAACAAATGCCGAGTTATTCTGTCCCAACGTCAATACTGGGCAAGTCACATTTACAACAACTCAGGATTTTTAAAACTACTTAACAGTAGTGCCGATATTTTCGTGTATTTATCACTCTTAAAAACACTAGATTCCTCAAAGCAATACAAATGATGTGGTTCTGTCTTGTGATTGTCTATGCATTTCAATTTCTTACCCATTTCTTATAAAATATTAATGACTGAAAATGTGCTTTGTTCTCAAACATCAACTCCTAGTTAATATTCATTTGTGTTCCCATCATTGTCATACAGTCAAACCTGTCTTAAGCAGCACAGTATTAGGCAGTCACCCTGTATTAAGTTGTGAGTTGTTAAAGTCCCCAGTTTGTTTCCCATCAGTCATGGTAATTTTCACCTCTATTGAGTGGTCAAATCTATGAAGTGGTCATGGTCACCTTTGAGTGAGTCCCAAGAGCCTGTTTGTATTGTCTATCACCTGTATTGCCTTTCACCTTTAACCTCTAAGAGTGACTAGCATCTAATTTCTCCTTAAAATATCACCCCTGAATCAAACATTAAGATAATGAGAATAGAGGAAATGATCACCAACTAAGGTGAACAGTCAATTAAAGCAGAACCATTTCATGAAAACTAAGAATTATCTTTCAGGTAAAATTAAATCCATGTTTTTCTCTCAAAATAATTTTTTTTAGTATTTTTGAGCAAGTGTTTGTATAAGTAATCACATGCTTTTTCTGGTGCAATTTGGAATACACAAGCACATTTTTTCAAAGACCACATATTGCACTTGTACATAAAAAAAAGTTCGAAGTCTGGCCAAACAGTTCAAGGAATCAGAATGTCTGGCTTGTTACTTCTTTGCACTAAATTAACCCTCTTCTGCATTGAATTACCTGAAAACTGCATTTATCTTAACCAATCAGAACTGAGTAATTTTTTCATGTATATCATTGGTACATTAAGTGGTCAATTATAGCATTTTTATTAATCATTTTTTATATCACCCCTCTTCTGTGGAAACTGTATTTAGCAGTCAACCTGTATGAATCAGTGACACCCTGACCCATTCCCCAAGGGTAACTGCTTAACCCTTTAACTCCCAGATCAAATTTGTAATTCTCCTTTCTGTCAACCATACAATTCTTATCATGTTAGTTCAGGGAATTTAGTATTGAATCACCTAATTATCCCCAAATTGATATTTTTCTTAATTCTCATCAGTTATCTGTTTGATATTGTATTGATGTTGTAAGGAGAAATTCTGTCTTGGTCACTCATGGGAGTTAAAGGGTTAAAACAGGTTTGACTGCATTACAAAAATTTAAAATCAAGTAGAGGGCAGGGAGGGAGGTCTACAATTGAATTTTTTCCTAGTATGCAGATTTCTCATTCATGGAACAGCCTATTTGAGGATTCATAGCAATCAATCTATGCTTTTTCAAAAGTTGTTTCATTCAACACAGATTATTGCTAAACATAATTATACAGCTTTTATTGCTATTGTAGAATTCCATTTTGAACAAATTTCAGGCATTCCACATTTTTAGTAAACACTTGCATATGTATGTTAAATATGTACTGGCTTAGTATAACAACTGTAACTACATGTATAAGGAAGCTAATGGTGTAAAATTATCAATCTGATAGTTTTAATTTCTAAAATTATAATTTAC